AGCACAGTAGCTGGGACTTGAACCAGAAGTGAGAGAGGATGCTGGCATTGCACGCCATGTCTTAACCTGTGACACATTTACCCCTTCAGTTTACCTTTCAATTCCAGTTTCCATGAACTTTTAATAGACTTTCCTGTTGTTAGGGGATTTTTCTTACTTTGTCATTGATTTTTGCAATATGAGAATCTGGATATATCCTTGGTGTACCAGGATGGGTTTCTTAAATTCAGGTGATTTTTGTTTCATCATCATTACATTAAATGCCAAGGATTTTTAAATAAATCTTGTAATCCTGGACACCATTCCTTTCTGTTTCATCCAACAATAATGGACTACCCACAAGGTTGTAGAAATTCTTGTCTGCCTACAGTCCCCTTTGAATATCTGGTTAAACTTGGCAATCAAAGAATACTTAGACTAGACCAGACAGAGAGCGTTTGCATTGCAACTTCAGGTAAGTTACAGAGCTCTGGCTTGGTGCGTGCGTCAAGACCTGCCAATGGGAAGTCGTCAACAGTGGCAGCTAGTACCGGAATTCAGCTGTTTAGAGATCTCGTCTTGTCCTTTCCTTTTTGCAAGTCCCAGCAGTTGGTATTGTAGGGAACTGATACATATTCAGTGTATAGGAAACCTCTTTGGTCACTGTCAGGTTCTGAAATGGATTATGTGTCCGTCAGAATCTCTAGATACTGCTGCTCCCTGACGAGGGCATTTAGGGTGAATTACTTGTTATTTCCAAGGGCATTGTTTGTTATTTTTCTTGTGAATTGTTAATTTTCTAAGGGTAAACTCTGTTCTCCAGGATTTAATTATAAGATACGAATAAGTACAATGTAGACCCAAGCAATCTCATTCTCTGCCCAAGTAAATAGAACCTAACTGGTGTGTGCCTTTTGAGTGTACAGTAGCAAAGGAGGTGGAAATTTTATGATATTTTGTAGTAACGGTTGATAGGTAGAAGAGCTGTGTAGAATTTGAGCCATGAGGATCCCTACTTTTTATTTAGTGTCTGTTTTGCTTCCTTGTCAAACCCTTAAGCATGCCAACTGAAATTGTTTTCCTCTTAGTGCTGCCACTGTTGCTATTATCTTATTTCTGATACTTTGAGTCTCCATCTCCCACTTTGTAAATGTTTTCCCCAAATCATTTGTGAATGTCTGGGTTTGAACCTAAACTCTGTTATTTGACAGTTTTCTCTGATTAAGCCTTTAAAAAAATTAACAGAACAGAAACATTAACGCTACATCTTCCAAATTTAGTAAGAAAAATGTTTCATTCATTTCACAGTTAGTGCTAATGAAGGGTAAACAATATCTCAAAATACTGTTGTGCTTCAACATAGAGACACATTTGTGAATACCTCTGTTCAATATTGTTTTGCTTGCACTCAGTGTATCCAAACAACTTTGTTATGGACCATCTGCTGGAACAGGGAAATCATCTCAGTGTATAGGACTGTATTTTGAATTGCCATTTTGTGCATTTTCAATGTATTGCAAAACTTGATGATCTTTCCCACTTAAAATGTAGCTAGAGAACCAAATTAAATGTAAACTTTAATTGATTATAGAATAGATGATCATTTCAATGGCTTGCTAGTTCAGGGTCTCCCGGGTCTTATTTGTTTTTTTACCTACCCTAAGTGCCTGTAAAGTATCTTGCTAGATATTCGAATGTGTGTGGAATGAATGAACAAAAAGTTAATGTTCTTGCTAACCTTAACTCCTAAACCTTAATTTAACCTTTATATTTGATTAGTAATCATTATAAAATTCAAATAGGGTATTACTATTGTTTAATTCTGAACTTTTCTCCCAACTATTCCTTTCAGATATTTGCATGGAGAATATAATAAGCTATAGTTTGTCATGAAGGGTTGTCCTAAAATATGATAACATAATATATATATATATGATATAATAATCCTCCCATCCAACACAATTTGGAATATTTTAGGAAAACCACAAGTTATTTAAAAATACAGTCTAGGTTTAAATTACTTGAGCTTGTTTACATTTTGATTTTCTCAAAAACTGAATCATGTTATGATTATTTAACTCTTGATATGGACTACTCTAAAGAAATGTTTCCTGTTATTTATTTCTTTGTATTGGAAAGGCAGATTTATAGGGAGAAGGAGAGACAGAGAGATCTTTCCCTGGTCACTCCCTAGATGGCTGCAGTGGCTGGAGTTGAGCCACGTGGGCTTAGGGTCCCAAGGCTTCAGGCCATCTTGTACTGCTTTCCCAGGCCTTGAACCAGGGACCTGGATGGGAGGTGGAACAGCCAGGACATGAACCAGTGCCTGTCTGGGATCCCACACATACAAGCCATTGAGCTGTCATGCTAGCCTCAGAAATGTTTCAAATATGTAATACATATGTGCATAATGAAGAAATGTAGAAAGTAAAACCCTTATTTTTAATTTAAAATTTAAAGGATATGAGCACTTCTCAGCCTTTTGGCAGAGAGAAAGTGTAAAGAATGTGATAATAAATTAAACATGTGAAATTAGAGTCCTTTCTGAGAGGTATGTCAATTTCAGTCATAGAACATTTCTTTATGGTATATTAGTAACTAATGAATGCTGAAAAATAAAGCCTCGTTTTGTTCGCAGTTTCCCCTAATGCTATGGACAGTTTTTATGTTTTCTAGCCAGTACAACGCAGATAAACAAAAGCAGAGCAGAATTACAGAAAGCAGGCAAGACATGGATTCTAAGTGCACAGGCTAGGCATGTGCAAATATGTTAATCACCTAGACCCTCTTATTTTCATGCTAATCTTGGACAAAAGTTCTCTCACCCACACCCACTGCTTTTAAAACCTGAGATCTAAACTAACCTTATCGTTGAGTCAACAGGTTTTTCAATTGTGAGGTGTGCTGATTGTCATTAATTTCACTTCAACCTGCTGAACATCAAATAACTATTGTGTAGCGTGTAACAAAGAGATACTGACTGAGGGTACAAACACAAGTGTATGTAACTCGGTGATTGCCAAAATCCATGTGTCGGAGTAACATTGTTACACCGTGTTCCTTGACTTTTTGCTGTCCTGATAAATGTTAATGAATGTCCCATGATGAAAAGAGGCACATATTTTCTTCAGCTTGGTAACTTTGAAAACTTTTTCTCAATCTTGTTGACAGCACCAAGAAATCTTTCAATAAAGAAAGCAATTTAATTTAATTAATTTTACATCCACTGTTTCTCCAGTACCCTTGGTTGTGCTTTGTGCACACCAGTGTCTCAAGATGTAAAAAGTACTGCTTGAGAACTTGTACGGTAAAAGTTACAACAAGACGCGTGCTGTGTGGCAGTCTGAGCACAGGAGTGCCGTGTGGCAGTCTGAGCACAGCAGTGCCGTGTGCCAGTCTGAGCACAGCAGTGCCGTGTGCCAGTCTGAGCACAGGAGCCGGGGACGAGGTGTGAATGATGAATGTGCAGAGGAAAGGAAGGGCACACTGGGCTAGGCAGCAAGAACAGAATGCAAAAGCTGAGGTGTGTGGCAGAGCTTGCCACCCCCAGTTCTTGTCATTAGCACCAGGAGGGGTTGACCGTCAGTGAGAAGGGAAACATTCCAGTGACAGGATCAATCTGTGAAATAGGAGGTAATCAGGTCAGAAGTTTGGAATTAGGTGATTTCCAATGTGTCTGATATTTAAAACTACTTTTCCTCAAAGAAAAGAAAGATTACAAATTTCTAAGTAGCTAGAAAATTTTGAGATAAAATTATTCTGGCAAAGTCATCTAATGCAACTCTTAACGCTATGCAATCATACTTGTAAAAAGTTAAGTCATGGGTGAACATTTTTATGTAGTACGTTTGGAATGATAAAGTGATTTTCCTTGTAAAATGCTTCAGGTGAACTAATTTCTATTTTAGCACTGTTCATCAGAAATCGTCAAACACAAAGATAGAACAATCGAATATTATTTTTATATTTAAGATTTTGCTGACTTCTGTTATCACCATTGCTGCTCCTTATAAAATATTGGAAAGTACAGAAAAATATGAAGAATAAGATACATGTACAAGTTAGTGTATTAGTCTTTTTTTTCTAGGCCAATTTTTTCATATTTAAATTCTGTATGCAGTACTTAATTTTGCAGAGCATTTTTCTCCCATATTATTAACTATTTGCAAGTACTACCTTTGTAGGCTGTATTCTAGAATATCGGACACTGATAATATACTTAAGACTTGATGTGTGCAAAGAATGATGCAGAGCTTTACCTTCCTATTGGGAGTGTGTCAATGTTGATTTCTTCTTATTTGGATAATCATTTTGAAAAAATAATGAAGCAAACCCCATTGGCTCTGAGTTTGAAAATATGATCATCATTGTATCAAGAGTTGGCTGTATGCTCTGCCATGTTCACAGCAGCGCTCGTCACAGATTCTGAGATAGGAAATTTGTCTTGTCAAATCAATGGATAAAGAAATGTGACAGATACACACAACAGAATGTTATTCAACCTAAAGAATGAAATTGTGTCATCAGCAAAATGGATGGAACTGGAGGACATCATATTAAGTGAAATAGTGTAAAAAAGAAACATGAAGACTGCATTTCTCTCATAGGTAGAAACCAAAACTAACTGAATACAGAACAATGAGTAGTAAAGACTGGAAAGCACAAAAAGAATAGGTGAATTTGGATAATGGGTACCAAATCAGAATTAAATCTAAGGAATAAATTTCTGGCATTGCTTGATATAGGTGGGTGACTGTAGTTTACGATACAAACAACTGGAGGAGGGGAGCCATTGGGTCCCAAGCATAAAGTAATTTGAAGGAGTATTACAGTGTTGGCTATTCTGATTTCATCCGTGCATGCATATATCGAACTGTGCTGTGGCCCACGAACAGATGAAGTTAATATTAAGGCAATATCATTCATGATTGTAATGGTTAGCAGTGTTTCAGTTAGATCTGTCTGTGCTCCATGTTAAAAAGATCAGAATTTTCTCTTGATAGGAATCTTTTATTTTTGAGGTATCCATCACGAATTGAAAAAATTGACTATGAGGAAGGCAAGATGTTGGTCCATTTTGAGCGCTGGAGTCATCGTTACGATGAGTGGATTTACTGGGACAGCAACAGACTGCGGCCCCTGGAGAGACCTGCACTGAGGAAGGAAGGGCTCAAAGATGAGGAAGAGTTCTTCGTAAGTAGCACGCTTTTTCCATTTGCTGACCTTGCTAGAGACATTCTGACATTTTTAAAAGATTCGGTTAAATTTTCTAAAGACTCACTTTTGGTTAAGAAATATTTTACACTGTTTAGGATTTTAAAGCTGGAGAAGAAGTGTTGGCTCGTTGGACAGACTGTCGATATTATCCTGCCAAGATTGAAGCAATTAACAAAGAAGGTGTGTATTTGAGATGACATGCAAGTGAAACTGGAATTAATAGTAAAACTATCCTGTATTCTAAATTCTGTTGCACGTGACTTGTTTGTCATTATTTTGTATCTTACTGAGTTTCCTGCTAGTCAGTATTTGTTTTAGGATCATTTAATTTGTTAACCACATATTCTCAATCAGATGGCATGTGATTTACTGCTGCAGCAAACTGCTGGAATTAATAAAGGTAAAACACTTAGGCTCACAGACCTCAATTATGTGCATTTAATTTCTACTTCTCTGTTTATAGAACACAGTGACATTTATATGCATCTCAACCAGAGTGCGATGGATGAAAAGTTAGAGAAAGGGAAAGTTGAATCACTCAACTTGCCGGTGGAATGTGTCTATTTTGTGTTTCTAAGGAAAGGGTTTGATGGGTTCCCTTACTACGTCTTTTCCCACTGCCTTTCCTTCCATTCTGTATTTTCTGAACAACTCTTTGGGCATTTGTTGGAATATTAGATACTGAGCAGAAGTTAACTGACATGGTTAAAAATACTGAAAATAAATCGGGTATTTTATTATGACATCAGAATGGGACATCTGTTCTTTAAAAATAGTTAAAAATTTTGAAAATTGTATGTTTTAAGTTTTCATTTAAAACCTTATTTGAAACACCTGTGAGATAGTTACAAATACATTTGCAAGTCATTAATGTATTAACTTTTATTTTTCCTAGGTATTTCTTTTTTTTTTTTATTGATTACATTGCATTATGTGACACAGTTTTATAGGCACTGGGATTCCCCCCTCCCAACCTGCCACCCTCCATGGTGGATTCCTCCACCTTGTTGCATTACCACAGTCAAATTCAGCTGAGATTCTTTCATTGCAAGCATCTACCAAGTCTAAATTCCAGCATCTTATTATCCTAGTGGGTTCAGCGATTTCTTGGTGAGACCATCTCTGGTCTGAACGTAGAGCTGGCAGAGTATCATCCCAATCAATTAAAAGCCCCAACATTACATCAGTAATTATTTATAGTGTTATAGAATTAGTTGACATGGTATTGAATAACCAACATGTTAAAAGAGAGAAAAAAAAAGAATGCAAGTTCTGAACCACATCCTGTGACTTCTACATTGACATTTCAATTATTAGTTTATATACAACTGGTTTTTATACACCTTTAAAATGGCTATAGATTACTATTCAGCTGTCTCATGTCTATTTTAATTTTAGTAATTAGCAGTTTATAGCGTTGAAGCATGATTTTGCTGAACCTGGCTGTTTTTCGGGTAGCCTAATTCTATAATTCTAAGAAGACATATGTCAACAGTTTAGGTGAACAGCTTTAGGAGGGGTGTGCAGAGAAATCTTCAATACCTTAGTGAGGAGTAACTAATATTTGTGTCCCACCCAGTGAGTTACAAGTGCATCCCCACTGACCGTTTCCTGTTCTGTTTCTAAGCTTTCCTTGTTCTCTGTCTATTCTAGGTTTTTTTGTTTATTTGTTTATTTGTTACTTTGTTTTGAGGGGTTTCTGGAGCGATCCTGATGGTCATTGCCATTGAGGGTGGGGACCCAAAGTCAGAACCAGGCAAGGACCAGAGAAGTTCCTCTCCCTAGTTCCGAAGGAAGTTTACTGTTCTGTTTCTGTGGACCGCTCAGTGCTCCTGGTTGTTGTTTAGATGACCTTGGATCCTGCAAGGCAGGATTTGGGCTTCTTCCATCCAATGTGTTAGACCCAAACGGGGGTGGGTGATTTCAGAGTTCTTGGCCTCTGAAGGCACTCCATTTCCCTGTGGTCTCCTTGGCAGTTGGGATGTAGTCCTCGGTGCTCATACTGATAGTCTTTGGTGAGGATCTGGGAGTCTACAGGGTTGGGATACACGCCTCCTCCTGTCCCCCTGCTCCACTCTGGGTTCCCCCCCTACTTTGTGCATATGACCTCCTGTTAAGAGGTTGTCAGGATTGCGCTTGATTCCTCCTGTATGTCTTTGTAGTTTTTCTAATGTCTAATGTTGATTCAAGACTGTTGTCTATGAGTTACGAGTTATGATCTTGATAGGTTATACTTCCTGTCTTCCTCACAACTTCTAGGCTGATGTAACTTTCTATTAAAGTTATTTCTTAAATTTGACCATTTGTTATTTTTAAGAAGGAAGTCACAAGGGACAGTTTCTTGGCAAAGAGAGTATTTAATCAAATTATAAGGGCATTTGTTTTAACTTGTGTGTTGGGAAAAAAAAAGGAAACTCACTAATGACTTCAAAGGGATTTTTCCAGAAATGTGGTGTGTGGACAGAGTAGCAAAGAGACACATCATATTTAAGGAACTCAGATTGTTTGAAGTATTGCTTTAAATAGGAAACAGAATTGAGAGTGGAGATTGAAGGGGAAGGGAAGCACAGATTGACAGAAATGTCTTGTAATCTTGCTAGAGAATTTTATTTTTAGTTGGAGCTTGTGAGAGTCATGAAAGAGATTTAAGCTGAGAACTAAACTAATAATAATCATGAGAGAAAAGAGAAGGTAAGAGAAGATAGAAGAAGCAAACATTGTGGAAGAGACATTCATTAATGCCAGACATCATCATGTGGCTTGGGACACCCGCATCCCAATTCATCCCAACTGTGGCTCTGTTTTTGATTCAGCTTGCTGCTGTTATGCCTTGGAAGGCAAGAGATAATGCACCAAGTACTTGGGCCCTTACCGTCTGCTTGTGAGACTTGGGTAGAGTTGTCTTCTGGCTTCAGCCCTGTCGGAAAGATTTTCTTGCTCTTTCTATCTGCTCTCTCTCCCCCTCTGTGTCACGATTTTAAATGAGTAAATAAGACTGTAGAAATCTGGATATTAAGGAATGTCGTATATAAAAAATTAAATCATAGTGTAATTAGAAATTCTGCTATAACTACAGACATTAATCCAATGTATTTTTCCATGAACTGAAATCTCAGTTATAGTTATGATCTGATTACCATTTACTGCTGAGCTGAAAGGCATCTTAGTCATTAGGGCTTGCCTTTTTCTAGCATGCCCTGTGTCTCACGATAATCTTAGTCTTCTGCAGAGCCATGTAATGGAGCTCATATTCCCTTGTTGTTCTCCCCAGTGTTTAACTCAGAGTTTAGCAAGAAGTAAGCAGTCTCCATAATGTCTGTGAGATCACCTGCTCATATTCAATGCCTTGCATTCAGAAACAAAAGCAAAGCCACCCTCTTGAACTAACTGGTCCATTTGTTTAAAGGCTCTTAATATAGGAAATCTATTTCTATTAGAGGAGGTGTAGTGGTATTGATTACCATCCTTTCTGTTCCAGAAGATTCAGTGAGCCTTAGCAAAATATGCCAAATATTATTTCTTTTTAGATAAATCTCAACTACAGGTATATTAATTTTGTGGTTTCTGTATGACCTGTGTGATGCATGAGTCTGCTTCCTTTCCTCTCAGAAGAAAAGAAATTAGAAAGAAACAAAGACAAATGAAATCCTCAGTTCAGCATACAACAAAAAGAACAAATGTGAACAGTTAGGTGCTTGTGGTATAACCTAAACACACAAAGAGAAGGTACAGTCAGTATTGGTTGGACTCTTTAGAAAGTTTTCAGGTGAGGATGGTCTTTGAGTGGCTTATAGTTAGGCAGACACGGGGAAAGGAGTCCCTGAAAACAAAATAGGACCAGCATGGGCAAGTGCAGAGCTAGCTCAATACCCAAATGGCCGACAGAACCTTCTGGCTCACCTGGAATGCCCTGGTGAAGAGGACAGCCAGGAGTGCTGTTAGAGCAAGGCATGTGTGCGGCTGGCATTCTCAGAACTTCTCCAGCGTGCTTGTCTTCACCCTTGTCTATGGTCTTTCAAGTCTGTGATCATTAGAATTGGACTAATTGCAGAAAAGAATAAAAATGAAAGATATTCAGATTGGAAAAAGGAAAAATCTTTTTGCACATTGGTTTTGATGCCAACTTCAATGCCCTTAACTACATTTGATCACATTTCTTTATGTTTTTTATTTTTAGATTTCTTTTGCAAGGGTCAAGTATCTGATTATTGGCACTCTGTTGTCACTTGGGAAATGGTAGAAAGACAGTCACCTCAGAAATACCATATTATTTGAGTTTCTTTGAGTATAAAACCTTAGTTTTTAGTATTTCATTAGCACTGGCTCCATTGGCTCAAAAGCATGATGCTATAACCAAAAGTGAATGTGCCTCATAAACGTGCAAGCGGTATGTTGATCCCGGAAGTAGCTGAGTTTGGAGATAGGCAGGGTTGCTGCATCTCTACAGGAGGTCATGTGAGTGAAAGCGGAGCTGCTGCGAAGCCGAGCATCATTGGATGTCGCATTCACCCTCTATGGCGTTCTGTGTGCTTGTGGCTGTGTGAAAAAAATTGTATCTAACTGTACTTATGATTGTTTTCTAGTTTTTAAATCTGGGAATCTAATTCGCCAGTTCATTACTGTTACCAAAGGAGCAGTTCTTTTCTAGGAAAGTTATCATTTCCAGTTTTCAGATTTTTCTCTTTGTTTTGAAACAGACTTCAAAGAAAATCATTGATATAGCCTAGGGAAATATTATGTTTACTAAATAATGATTTTCATTTTATCAGATTATTATTGCAGATTAGATTTAAAAATCAGTAGATACAATTAACTTAGGTTGGTTTGTGTATTTTATGAGGAAAATATGAATTGTATTAGGAGGGAAATAGAAAGTAAACTTCAAAAAAACTTGACCATGCCCTTGATAGAGCAGCCAGCATTGTGATTAAAGGGCATTTGTTTGTATCAGGTCACTATTTACAGATTCCAGGTGTTGCTAAGAGGTTGATTATGTTTTCTAATGATTCTGACTTGCTCCTGTTTTAGGAACATTCACAGTTCAGTTTTATGATGGAGTAATTCGTTGTTTAAAAAGAATGCACATTAAAGCCATGCCTGAGGATGCCAAAGGGCAGGTAAGAGTGTTCAACATCCTCGCTGACCTACAGACATACATGTCTTCTTGAATGGTGACTGCTCAAAAAAAAAAAACAACAAACAAACAAAACAAAGTTTGTGTGTATTGTTTTTTTTAAGTGATTCTAATTGTAGGGTTATGTGCTGATAGCCCCAAATAGCAGCGAGAAAAATATAGGATGTAAAGTTAAATACACCTGATTCTTGCTTCTCTGGCTGCAGACCTGCTAAAGTTATAGGTGACTAGTTTCTGTTCCAGGTGAAATCCCAGCATCCACTAAGCTGGTGTTGTCCTATCGACCCAGCTGGATCGTGGAACCAGTCTATGGGAAGTGAGGTGAGTGCCTTGTTTTGAATTTTGTTTTGTTCTTTTTTTTCTGATATATAGTATCACCTACAAGGTTAATTTTTTAACTAAAATTTTACATTGAGTTTCTCATGATCCCTTTCTTTCCTAAGTCATAGTTGCTCATCTTCTTTTCAAAGGCGCTTACCTTACCCTCCCTAGGCTGTCTCAGGTAGGGCTCTCTGAGTCATATGCCCGAAGCCGTGCTTACATGCTCTGTCACTGCTCAGAGCCAGGGGAACGGTAAGCATTTCACAGAGAAAACCGGGAGGAAGTTAAAACCATGATTCCATTAGTTAACTTTGTTTTCTGAATCACGGAAAGAAAAGGTGCCATTTGAGTTTTAAAATATTTCTTATCTATTCTGCTGTTATTTGGGATTTTCAGCACCTGGACCTACAATTAATTTTAAGATCTTAGAAGTAATTTATACAGTTGTCTAATAAGGAAATAAACTGCATGTTTCTCCATAATGTGCAGTAAAACAATGTCATTCTGAAATGCATTTTGATCACTTGGTTATCTCCAGTCAGTTGCAAATAGTTAACAGTCTGCACATGTACATCACTACGTTCATATATATATAACTATATATATATATATATATATAATATACGCCTGAGAAAGTCTTCACTGTGATTGTTTTAATCACTTGGTTTTCAAAAATTTAATTATGAAATGACTAGCCAGCAGGGCTTTATCCTAGTTAATAAAAAAAATGCAACTTAAAATGAAAATTCTTTCAGTAAGGAAATTGCATTGTATCTTTTTACATGTATGTATAAATAAAATGTTCTTTTAAACATTCAGTGGTGTGATTTCTTGATTACTGCATAAAAACTTGAAATGTTGGGAACATGATTAAGTTTCATTAAAGAAAAATCTTGTGTGAGGGAGTTAAACATTACTATTTTATTATTCTAGTTGTTCATCTCTTCTTGTGATGACACAAGTTTTCTTGCTTTAAGGTTTTTGTTTTTCCCCCATCAATAAGGCGCTCATTGAGCCAGTTTGCTTGTTTATAAGATGGTAGGTGCTAGAATTATGTTCTGAATACTCATTTTTAACAAGAATGAAGAGACCTCAAAAGGTTCATGGGAAAATGAAATTGAAAGTGAAAGATAAAATATATAATATTTATTTCTCAGCATAACCTCTATCAAGTTCACTTTTATAAGCAGAGACAGGAGCTATTGAAGAACTGAGAGGGCCTGGGAATTTAACCATCCATATCAGTGCAGCCTTTTTAAACATAATTAACTGAGGAAGAATGGGTGCTCTTTAAAGCTTTTTTAAGATTAGAAAAATGAAAGTAGGCCAGAAGATGACAGATCAGGATTGCAAGGTGAATGCCTCATGGTTTTTCTTAGAAATTCTTGCAGAGTTCCTTGGTCAGATGAGCAGAATGAGAAGGAGCTTTGTTGTGCTGAAAAGAAACTCCAGTCTAGCTTTCCCAGACTTTATTTCCACTCAAGCTTCAGCTAACTTTCTCAAAACACTCCCCTAATAAGCAGATGGTATTATTCTTTTGGTCTCTAGAAAATCAGTAAGCAAAGTGCCTTGAACATAGAAAACAAAATCCCAAAGCAATTGCCATGACCTTTGCTCTTGATCTGACTGCTCTTTCCTTGGCTGGACTCCGGCTTGCTCTGACTGGCTGCTGTTCAGGATCCTGCTGGTAAAACTGCACATCCACTGTTAGAGTCCTTGGAACAGGTGCATCAGGACCCTGGTCTCACCTTTTCAAAATTCCGCTGAAAGCCCCGCTGTTGTCTCAGCTGATGTGGGTGCAGTAATTTTCACACCCTTGAGTCAAAAGCTTGTTCTACTGAATTTTTCAGGCAGGATTGTGTAAACTGAAGCAGTTCACTCGTTTGTTGCGCTGGTTATTGTTTCTGCTTTTCATCTTCAGTCTTACTGAATTAGGGTACAAACAAGTGAGTTTTCCTTGCCAGTTGATGTGGAGGGTCCAGAGGTGTGGACTTCATCTTTAGCATTGTCTTGTTGCTCCCTAAAGAGGTGGCCTGTTTGTGAACTGTGCTGTCCTCATCATTTTTTAGTAAGACATCTGTGATTTCAATATTCTTCCGAAGCTTTTCAGTTTAATGTTTGATCTGGCTTCAGTTGCAGCAGAGTTCATGTTATTCTGGTGGGGATCATTTTAAACAGATGTGTTAGCCTTTAAAATGTTTCCAAAAGTTTTACAACAAATTTGAAAGTGTTTATTTCTTACAAAAAGTGTTTTGAAAGCCATGTATATATATGTATGTATGTGTATATATTACAATCAGTGCAGGAGAGCACAATTAGCCAGCCATTCAAATGCCAGTTTTGTTTCTACTTTTGGACTACCTGTGTTTGCAGCCTGGCTCCAGCTCTTTGCTGAAGCTCCAGCTCTTGCACATGGGGACCCTGTCAGGCAACCATGATGCTCAGAAATTTGGGTTCCTGTTACCCTAAGTGGCACAGGCTTGCCTTGGGCCTTGTGGGAGTTTTGGGGAAGGAATCAGTAGATGTAAGATTGCTATTTCTTTGTGTCTCTCAAAATTAATGACTAAAAATCAGTACCACATTGTAAAATTACTGTTACATTTTATGTTTGAATTTTAATTTTTATTCATAATTATTAATTGCAAACATTGAAATATTAGTAGAATTGCTTGTAGAAACTACTCCCATTCTATGGGTATTTTTTCCCCAAAAGAAGTTTTTGACTTGTTTTTACCTTGATGTGTTAAAACAATTGATTTATTGTCAAGCCTCAGTGAATCCTTTCTTGTTTATCATCATCTAGATTTTGAGTGTCTTAGAATTTATTTATAAGTATGTCCAATGAAATTTCTTTTGTTAAACAAAATTTCTTTTGTTAAATTTCTTTTGTTAAAATTTATGTTAAATAAATTCTGAACCTTCTGTAAGTTCAGCATGAAATATGACATGTTTAACAATTTGAAGTTCGCAAGCCTTCAGATTAATTAGTATTCTTTTTTTTAAGATTTATTTATTTTTATTACAAAGTCAGATATACAGAGAAGAGGAGAGACAGAGAGGAAGATCTTCGTCTGATGATTCACTCCCCAAGTGACCGCAACCACCAGTGCTGCGCCGATCCAAAGCCGGGAACCAGGAACTTCTTCTGGGTCTCCCACGCGGGTGCAGGGTCCCAAAGCTTTGGGCCGTCCTCCACTGCTTTCCCGGGCCACAAGCAGGGAGCTGGAGCAGCTGAGACTAGAACCGGCGCTTATATGGGATCCTGGTGCGTTCCAGGCGAGGACTTTAGCTGCTAGGCCATGCCGCCGGGTTCTAATTAGTATTCTTAACTCCAAATAAAAGTGTTAACATTTTGATTTATTACTTGAATCAGTTCATAATTGGTCACATCCAGTGACTACTTTGAGAACCTTGAAGAGGTTTTAATCAGTATGTGAAGTGTGAGCTGGAGTCTCACAATGGTTTTAGATGGGATGGTAAACATGGTGACCACCCAAAAATGTGACCCCCTCCTCTTTCCTTTTCCCATTTCACACAATTTTGAGTGGAATGGTTGTGCTAATACATAAACAGCTTATGAGAATTTATAAAGTGACAATTACAAAGGCATGTAGCAAGGGAGTTTTGTGGTTTTTCTTTTCCTTTTTCTTGAAGGTACGTTGGTGCAGAATCAGTGTAACTCACTAGTGTTAACCGTTGTGTCATAAGTTTCTTTACTGTTTCCAAAACGTGTTTTGCATGTCTTATTTTAATAGATTCTTACACCAAGTCCTTTGGCATAGGTATGGCTCATATTTCAATTTTGTAGTTGAGGAATTCGGAACCAAGAGAACTGAGTGACTTAAAATCTCACTGCACCCTCGTGTGCAGAATGGCCCCTTGAACGATGGCTTTCACTGCTCCCTCGTGTGCAGGATGGCCCCCTGAACGATGGCTTTCACTGCACCCTCGTGTGCAGATTGGCTGTGTGAATGCTGACGTCTTGCCTCACAGTGCCCTTGGCATGCTACCATCTTGCCATGTCTGAGAGAACTGGAAAAGCTGTCAGTATTAACTAATCTGTGGAAAGGATCACATTTCAGTTGTTTACTCAGTGAGATTTCTACTAAAAAATACAATAGCAAATAATGCTGCAATGATTATGACAAAATCCTGTCATCAAGGGACATTTTTCAAAATAATTTGCAAAAGGTACAATGATTCTCTTTTAGTTTCTAACAGAAAACAACTGAAATGGAAATAATTTGACATTTTTCAGCATTTCTCTCACAACTTAAATATTTTTGCATATCTTTTTTAAGGTATATTTTATTTTTATTGCTAAGTCAGATATATGGAAAGGAAGAGAGACAAAGAGAATGATCTTCCATCCTCTGATTCACTCTGTAAGTGGCCACAATGGCCAGAACTGTGCCAATCTGAAGCCAGGAGCCTCTTCCTGGTCTCCCATGCTGGTGCAGGATCCCCAGGCTGTTTTCCACTGCCTTCCCAGGCCACAAGCAGGAAGCTGGATGGGAAGCGGAGCTGCTGGAATTAGAGCCAGCACCCATCGTGATCCCAGCGCATCTAGGCTATCATGCAGTGACCTGTTTTCCCATCTCTTTGTAGAACCCAAAATGAAATGTTCTTGTTTTGAGAATTCAGAAGTCTGCACACAGACGGAGGCTCTGTGCCTCTGCTCCAAGCTTTCCCTCCCTCTGCCCTGTTGCCGGACCCTCTGACTTCACTGCTTCCCGTTAAGGCATTTCCTGCCTGAGCGTCTGTTTCTTTCTTTTCTGCCGTCCTTTAAGTGAAAGATCCTGCCTGTGGTCAGGATTCAGGATTCAACCTCAACTCATTTATCATTTCCTGCCTGAGCGTCTGCTTCTTTCTTTTCTGCTGTCCTTTAAGTAAAAGATCCTGCCTGTGTTCAGGATTCAGGATTCAACCTCAACTCATCATTTCCCATGGCACCCTCACCAGTGTTTTTCATTAAACAGCAGGCAAACTTAGTGAGAAGCAATCATTTCTGTTCCTGTGCTGTCCTTCATTTATTCCTCTAGTGTATCTCCTGTCATAGTGTCTGTCTGAAGGTTACTTAGGAACAGGACCAGTCTGTCACCAGTGTTTCTTAATGCTTGTATGCTTCTTGCATCTTTAGCAGATTAATCTGTAAAATACATAAGAAAAATGGAGAGTGAGTGTGTTGTGTGTAGTCACTTAATGCTTCCAGTTTGTCTTTCCGCATGGGAGATGCTCAGGTCCTGCTTGCTTGTTTTACTGCGTTGTCATCGTCTCTGTTTCCAAGATGAACAGCTGTCAGCCCATGTTGAGTACTTCTTGCTCAGTTTTGTTAACCTCTACTGCTAGTATTGGTTAGTACAACCAATGAATTTTATCCATTTGAGACTGGAAATATTTTTAATTCTTTGCACTTGGAATTTGACACTTTATACAATTTGGATGGATGAGTCAGAGCTTCTTATAGATGAACTCTGACGGCTTTGATGTTTTGAAGATCCCTGATTGTGGAAGTTAACATGTTGCCATAACTTTCCACTTGTTGGTTATTATTTCATAATAAACCTTTTGAGTGAGAGGCAAACTAGTAAAGTGTATTCAGCAGAAAACTGAGCAGTTAACAACAGAAAAAGAAGTATTCAAACTCAAAGCTACAGTAAATAATACTGACCCAGGAAATTGTAGGGCAGGCGAAATGAGTTGAAGAATATGTTGTGTGCTTTGCTGTGGTCGAGTTGTGGAGCCCTTCTCTTTTCTTCAGAATATTCAGCTGTTGTGATAGTATCCAGATTTCAGCAGGTTTAGAATGTAATAAACGTGTGCCTTGATGTTTTATGAAATTACTATAGTTTGAATGGTACATTGTCATAAAGCGTAGTAATTTGTCTATTGGAGTATGTTTATTTTATGTTTTGTGGAAGTGTGAAGTAAGTATTTTTTTTTTTTTGATTCATTGTGCTATGGAAAACCAGAGCATTACAGCACTTAAGCCTTAAAAGACTAGGGTAGCATGTCATGTAATCATCCACATTTGCCATAGGTTTTCTCTGTTACTTTACATTTTGTTTCTGGTAAAAATAAGTCAAAAGAATATTTGTTACTGAATATTTTTCTGGTTTTTGGATGGTTGTACAGTATGACTAAACAATTCCCCAATAAAGTTGAATACTGTATGATAATGATTTACCATGCAAATGTAGTTAATCAGATGTTTTGTGCTTCTTTAAAAGTAGCTTGAAAATCTGATACATAATTTTATTCATTCATAATACATTGATCAGTTTTTAATGCTTAACATGTCTTGTGTTTTTTCTTTGGAGGACTGGATAGCTTTAGTCAAAGCAGCTGCTGCAGCCGCAGCCAAGAATAAACCAGGGGGTAAACCTCGAACCAGCGCTAACAGCAATAAAGATAAAGAGAAAGATGAGAGAAAATGGTTTAAAGTACCTTCAAAGAGAGAGGAAGCATCTGCTTGTATAGCCACACCGGAAGTTGAGAAGAAGGAAGAGTTGCCTGCGTCTAATGAGACATTTGGTACAATATATGTTCTTACGTTTCTTTATTATGATATCTGAAGACTTGGGTAGTGAGGAAGCACTGAATCCTGTAGTACCTGTAGTTATGAGGTCCCCCCAAAACATCGCAATACGACAAGGGTGGCATTCTTCACAGAGAGATTTGAACATTAAGGATATCATGTGGTACTTGATATGAGATGCTCTCAGTATTATTGGTGGTGCAATTTTGGTTATAGTTTTCTCCTTGACCTTTTAATTATTAATATATGCAATGTGCAATATAAAAAAAGGCAAAATATTTTTTTCCTTTTTTGCTTAAATAACAACTGCTTACTAGTTATTTCTTACACATGAAAATCTTTCAGTATAGAGGAATTTGTGTTTTCTAAAGTTCTCATCAAATACTAAATTTAAAAGGTCAATGTGCAAAGTATATTGACTGTTTTGATGTTTTTACAAAAGAAATACTGCATTTCCATTTTGGATTCTAGCTGAACTCTCATATATGTGTTCTGTTAAAAGTAGGCCTTCATGTAGAGAACGTTCCAAAGATGATCTTTCCGCAGCCAGAGAGCATGTTATCAAACAAGAGGAAAAATAATCAAGGCAACTCATTTCAGGCAAAGAGAGCACGACTGAACAAGATTACTGGTAAACCACAATGATTCCTTTTGGGGGGATTGAAGGGCTTAAATTCCAATTATATTTAATAACGTAAAGAATATCTTTAGTGTAGTATAATGAACTGGTTAATGAGAAAGAGAATTTCTTTCGGTTCTTCAGTGTCTTCTAACATTGTCAGCTTTTCTGTTGTAAGATGTGAAACCTGCCACATGTACCTACCTCACAGGGTGTTGTGAGGATTGATAATGCTACAGACTCAGAGGTTTGGAACCTTGCTGGTAAAAGTAGTTCCCATAACAAATGGAGTATCTATTCTGAGTATTTTTATACAAACATTTTATACTTAGGAATACAACAATGTATAATTGGAAAAATGAATATCTGAATTAAATTGACTTCCTGACTCTGTTCATTCCTCATGTTAAAAATACTTCTTTATTTCTTTTCCTATTTTCTTTATTTCTTTCATAGAAGAAGGAATTGTCTTATTACAAAGGGGCCAATGCAGCAAGGCTCTGGCTCCTCCGTCTTGTTCACCTTCAGGATTATAAGTTATGAATGTACAAAGATTTTTTTGTATGCTAAAAGTATAGTTGATATACTTTAATGATTCAACTTTATGTTCTTATTTTAAGGACAAATGGTTTTTAGTACCTTTGGACTAATAAAGCTGTATAAACTGTTGACATTTATTCAATTATTTGAAGAAGTGTGGTTTCATTGGCAGATGTAGGAAGAAATGTAAGTTACACATTTTGACCATTTTCTCAGAAGAGCGAACCTCCTGAGTTTGCCTCCAGAACCCTGTGGTTGCATTCCACCGAACTGTTCCAGCTCCCTTTACATGGCATCCAACCAAGTGACCACGTGTGATTTCAGCAAATAGAAACAGTTTCTTTTCATTTGTTTATGTTGCCTTCATAGCCTTCTATGATAAAGGATACATTTGGTACCAGGACAGAAGATATTTCAAAACCAATTCATTTATTATGCCTTTTCTTCAGAAACAGTAAGCCTTGAAGAAAATCAGAATTTCCTCTATGTGATTGCTCAGATGGCAACTCAATACTTCTGTTTTGCCTTAAAATATGGAGCTGAGAGCTGTCTGGGCAGAAGTAGAAAAGTGCTTCTAGCTGTGTGGATTCAAAGATTGAAGCAGCACTGGTGGAGGAGCCAAGTTGGAGGACAACAGAGGTGGACTGATACCTTGCAACTCTCCACTGACCAGCACCATATTTCCCCCTTCAGTCCCAGTTACCTTGTTAGTTTCAGTGTGTGAACTCTGAAATGTATCTGTTTACATGTTTTACCTGGCAATTCAAACTCAACATAAAGATGTGAGAAAGGAAACAGCTTGTGGCCACGATGATGCATTATCTGTGCAGGTCTTGAAAAGTGCGTGGAGTTACAATGCCACCTCGGTAGCATTGTCCTGTGCCTTATCCAGAGGGACCAACTCCTCACTTTGCTCTGGGACTTGCAGCTAAGAGCATTTGGCAGAAGCAAAAACAAAAACATCTAAGAGTATGAAATCGACCTTGGTGATCTTTCCCCGTTTATTTACTTAGAAGTAAATTCTTATGATGCATTTCTCTTCATCTGCCTCTAATTTCTTCTTGAGAACTATGTCAGGAAAAGACTATAGAGACTTTAAGATCGTCTTCAGTGGTTAAAACTCAGACTTGCCTCTGCACAATGAATTTCATGTTAAGTCATAAAAAAGGGGCTATAATAATAGAACAGCTGTTTAACTCTGATATTATGAGCTCTGTTAACATTATTGAGCTCAGCCATGTGTTGCTTTTAGTCCCTTCACTTCCACGTGGGTGGTGCTAGGATCGTGGTGGTGTGCAGCTGTGCAGTCTGTTGTAGTTTGAATGGTTTCAGCATGAGATTAACAGATGAGATACTGGTTAAGTTTAATTCACATATTGGTTCACTCTGCCTATTTCCATCCCAAATCCCTTACGACTAATCTCAAGCTGGTGTATGTATAGAGAATGATAAAAGCATGGCTGTTGTCAGAGCTTCCACCTAGGTGTGAACTTCAAAAAGTTTCTGGAAAGTAAACATTAAGTTATGCTTAACGTTTGATGAAATCTTTAAAGTATCCTGTGCATGTGTTTTTCCTAGTTCTCACTTTTCATTTTTCATTGTACTCTACGGCTTTGATGTATAACATTGACTTTTTAAAATCATTGTTTTGTATTTAGCCTTAACCTTCATTAAATAATAATCTCAGTACTAGATATTCAGCTTTCCCAGGTGTCTTTTGCTTAAGTTAACATTTTGTGCCACTGTTATTTTAGGATTTTAATTTTGTATGTAATTCCTACCTACATCTCCTAATAACTTTGGGGAAAAGGCAAGACAAGTTGCTTTCTGGACAGATAGTTCTACCTTATGTAGTATTTGTTCAACACTTTTCCTATTAAATATGTTGTGAACAGGTTGAGTAATAAATCAGGTATTGCTTCTTTCATATATTTTTAGTTGGTAAGCATGCTTTCTTTAGTTTTTGCATAGCCACTCTTGAAGTGGCATGTAAATTTTTAATGGGTTTTTATGTGCTAGGTGACCATAGAAAGGAATACTCATTGCCCTAAGGTTTGTGATCCTGGGACGGTAGCTGATGGCCTTAATGAATAGTTTATAGCAAGTAAATGCCTTCAGTTTATTAATTGAAACAGAGTTTTAATGTCTTGTGAAATTAGTTGTATGTATTTAAGAGAAATATTCTGTCCTTTAAAGTTGATCATTGGTATACACTGGGGAAACTGGCACTTTTTTCCCATTTTGTAGAATGAAACTGTAGTTTAGGTTCGTTTGTTCTAGGAGGGATCCACACTTTTCCCTCCTCGCACTGAAAAACTCTGTCCATGTTTTGGAGATAAATACACAAGCCTTGGGTGGAGAAACTTAGGTGAAATTAAAAACAGTGAGAATATAGTTAGCTACTAATAATGTCACAAAATTCTTGTTTATATTCTGGATGCTTCAAGGATTTAGCCAACCTTTAATATTCTGTGTTTTCTTTCGGTTATATAGACAGCTCATATTTTAACTTTAAGTTAAATTTAGAATTTAACATTCTAAATTTTCTTAGCATTAAGGCATAGAATTTTACATTTTTACAAAATAAATGTATATGTTTCTTAAGGAACATAATTAAGTATATTATTTAAAAACCCACACAACTTTGTAAAGACTTCTGAAGTTTTGATTTTGTCCCTTGATTTCTTCTAAGGGTTGTTTATAATTTGAAAAGTGAAAACATTTGGGAATATTTAATTAATGTTTACCCTATATATTAAAAATGTGAGAGATTTCAACTGCTCAAATTTTTGGAAAGTTGTGAAAATCAGGTTTTTTTTCTAATGAGCAATTTCTGTGCAATTTTTCTCAAGGTTTGTTGGCATCCAAAGCTGTTGGGGTGGATGGTGCTGAAAAAAAGGAAGACTACAGTGAAACAGCTCCAATGCTGGAGCAGGTATGAAATGGTAGCATTTGATTTTTTTTCAAGGTTCCCACTGGAATGACCATGAAGCTGTAGTACCGATGCAATTGAAATTGACCTCATGATCAGATATGGGAATAAAAAGCTAATTACTTGATGATACGTTTTTAACTTTGCCTTCTCTGAAATGTGCAGATCAATTGCAGACTTGGTTAGCATTTGTTTTCAACAGACTGGCTTTAAAAGCTGTCATCTTTAAGTTTGAAGGCCTGGTGGAGGCAGGCACCTGGGGGTATAAGCTTCCAGCTGGATCCCCTTTAACTGGCTTACACTGAGACCCTTACACAAATACTTCTCACTTGTGAGTTAGAACAGGGTTTTTCCAACATCTAACAAAGCTTCTTTTCTAAGAAGTTTCTTTTATATTGTAATAATTGGTATTGTTAGACTATATGTTTTATGAATTGATCAATGAGCCATACACTTTTGCTAGGATGTATATTTTAATAACTACAAAAAAGAATTTTAAAAAACTTTGAAGGGTCTGTCTTTAAGCCACCTACTAGAGGAATTTAAAGGGAAGGTGGCCGTTGCTGGATTTTGCCTTGGCCACCTTCCTAGTCCCACAACTCCTGTACATATGGACCGTGCATGCTTTTCCATTCTCTTAAGGGCTGAACTTCTTAAGACTACAAGAACACGATAATAGCCATAACTGAATATCCTTGGTTCTCTTGTTTTAAAATCTGAGCCTTAATGTAGTTTTAATATATCTGTTTTGTATTCTTTTACTTTTCTTTATTAGTAACCTAATAAAGAAGACTTTAAAATAAATACCTTTTGCTCTTCTCTATATGCATTTGAAAGAATAGTCCAAATTTAATTGATATTGTATTGAGTTTTTCAGGGTTATTTTTGGCCTGATTTGAAAATAGTGTGTTGTTTTGGTGCCTCCATTGTTTTATTATATCGATGGTCTTTAAAATCGATTAACATGTCAATGCATCGTATCTTCTGATTTTCTGTGATCATAAACAGTTAAGTCTTTGCCGTTACTGTTGGTATATCAACTGAATTTTAAATGACTTTTTTTCTGTGTACTACTATATTTAACATCCCAGATAATAACTATTTTGTATATTCACCACTGTTTATGGTATTCTCAGAACATAATAAATCAGGGACTTGGGTATTAGAATGTTTCTGGAAAATTCATTACAATGTCAATCTTGGATTACGCACAATCCTGCTGAGCTGAATGTGATTATGAGAATTATTTATATATGTGGAAGTTAGTGTGTGAAGTAGTATCCATTTCAGAGAAAAGTACAGAAAATATTTGGAAAATTTGGGTTAAAAAAAGAAGAAAAGGAAATTGAATAACTCGGCTATTTCTGTTTGTATAATTAGAAGTTTTGAGTCCTTGCCAGTTTTGTAACAAAGAGACCAATAATTGTTAATGAGAACTTTGTAAATTAATTAAGATTTTTCAGGAACATCATGTTGTTCCTCCATTTTTTTTGTCATTCAGGTTGATTTCAGTGTGAAAATGTTTTGTAACCAAACCCTTAATTTTTATATTATGTTTTAGCATTGCTTCAGCGCTAAAAAGCCGAGTTATAAAACTCTTAATTATATCTGTTTGTTTCAACAATAAATCTAAAAGAGGTATTGATTGTCATTAACCTCTGTTGTCCTGAGTTAAAATGTCACTCATGACAGATTAATAACAGGCATGTAGCCAAAACTTCATGTACTAATGGATTTATTTATACATTTAAAAAACTTAAAATCTGTGGTCTTGAACCCCCATTTTAGATTATTAATAATAGATTATTTAATTGTATTAGGGAATTGTCATGTTATATTTACTTTGGGATAAAACTTGCATTTGATGCTTAATAATTTAACAAGTTTTTAAAAAATGTTAATTTGTCCTGTTTAGAAGTTAAGCATCTTATCAAGATACTAATTTAAGTTTAACTTGTTTTAAAACTTTGTAACTTGAGAGTAATGGATGCTGTAGCGATGTCTTTCACATTTGTGAAGAACAATAAAATTGTTTATTTACAAGTAATGGCTCTAATTACTTTTCTGGCAACACCTTTGGTGATAAGCTTAAAAGTGCTTTCCCTCTATGGAATACTTTTTCAGGTGACTAATATGCACATATACACATGCGTAATGAGTAAATTCAGCACTAGTTATGACACCTGAGTCAGTGTGACATTGTGCCTTGTATGTGCTATGTTCAGTATGCTGCTTATAAAGCATTCAGACATGCCCTACCTACTATCACGTGTACACTTTCCCCACCAGAATGGGAGTGCCTTGTATTGTAGTGGGAACAGAGTGATGGATCTGGTTCCCAGGCATTGGGCATTCGTAGTCCGGAAAACAACAGAACACACACCACAGACCTGAAGGTCATTCCTCACCAAAGAGAAGGAAGTCAAAAGGATTCTTGGAAACAAGTTTGTTCATGGTTCTGGCTCTTAGTATACTTTGGAAAATAGGAGTCTTGCATATTTTGCTCTGCTGTAAGTGTCTATTAGAAAATGAGGCTGTATAGGAAGTTCAGGAACGCAGGTTGAAAGTCCATCCGGTGCTGCCATTGTCTTTGAACAGTACACATTCACACATACTCTTACATAAGTAGGAAATTTTACTGCCAAATGAATAAAAATATTCTTTATGAAAGAACTGACAAAGTTCCAATTTTTTTTTAAAAGTATCAGTTTTCAGGAAGAAGGTAAAAACTCTCATCTAAGAATGCGACGTATTTTGTTTTAAATCCAATGTTTTTAACTTACACTTTATCTCTTTGGTTGTTTCTTTTTCGTTGCTTGTTTTGTATTGTTTTTAGTCTTTTAACTCTATTTTGCTGGGGCTCTGATTTCATGATGCATTTTGCGAATGAAACTCTAGCTTTCAGCACTAAAAGGAGTTAAAGATAATGTTCTGTTAATTTGGTCATTGTTTTCCTGTTAAGATCTTTCTTTAAAGGGAAACTGTCAGCTTTGAACTTGGTGTTCAGCTTGAGGAAATCTAAGTGTATTTCGTAAAACATAAAAATGCTCCTGTATTAGCCTGATTGTTATTAATATCATTGGCAATTACAGTTCCAAAGAGGTATATACTAACTGAATACTGAGATATTTGTCCTATAAGATATAACGTTTTCTGTTATAAGACTGTTATGAGTAACGCCTTACAAACAGACGAGGTCTGAAAGTTGACAGCATCTCTTTAAAGACAGCCTATTCAACTTTTAGTTAATAATTTGTGGGGTTCTTTTTGGTTTTTCATTTGTAATAGAAATGTTATATGTTGCTTAACAATGTTTTTGGATACTAAAGTTGCTTAACAATCAAAAATAGAAGACAACAAAAATGAAGAAACCAAAATAAAAATATCAATTTTTTATTATTTATTCAGGCGATTTCACCTAAACCTCAAAGTCAGAAAAAAAATGAAGCTGACATTAGCAGTTCTGCCAACACTCAGAAACCTGCACTGTTATCCTCAACTTTGTCTTCAGGGAAGGCTCGCAGCAAGAAATGCAAACATGCATCTGGAGATTCTTCTGGGTGTACAAAAGCCCCTAAATCACCACTGTCCCCAGAATTAATACAAATCGAGGATTTGACGCTTGTATCTCAGCTTTCTTCTTCAGTGATAAATAAAACTAGTGAGCACAGATTTTTAAAAAATAGTTACTTATCCTATAAGATACATTAAAAACAGTTTGATTGTAGTTAATATTGTATTTTTATGAAGTTGCTTTTTAAAAACTCAGAGGTGGCTGCTGCCATAGTGAAGGCTTGAAACGATTTCAAGGGCAGAAACCATCTGCATTTTCTTACTGATTTATCGTTCAGAAACTGTACTGCTGGGTGAGAAACCTTACACAGACGTCACCGTTGTTGATGGTCCTGAACTGATACGATCCGAGTGCAATGACAGGCCTGATTCATTACAAAAACAAGCAAACAAACTGCAAAACGGAAACGTGTATCAAAAATCCATTTTTGCTTCTAACATTCCGATGGATACATTTACTATCCACTTCTCTGTAATCCTCTTTCTTGTGCCAGTGTTCACAGGGCAGACTTGTGTGTAGTCTTAGTAAAGACATTGCTTCAGTACTATTAACCTTGCAAGAGTTAGTCTTTTTAAAAATAGCCTTTTAACATGGTTTGAGCATACTGATTATATATATATGTATCGATTCATGTTGCCCCAGTTTATCATACTAGCTTACTATCCTAAGTTTTACGCATAGGAAAAAGTTACCTGGAAGTCACTGCTCGAAGATTGCCTTCATTTTTCTCTTTATACAGCAAATGAATTAGTAATAGGAACACGATGAATGAATGAATAGGACATGGTTCGTATCTCAAATTAACATCATTCAGAATTATTGAAAATGTTGCCATGGCGAGAACTTTTGTCAATCAAGCCTACTAGCCCACTTTCCATTCAGTTGCCATAGTTTCTACTAACCGTATTTTAAAATTTGGGCAGTTTTTAACATTTTTAAAATAGGTAGCTAAAGAGAATGGAAGAAGAATACAGTTGTTTGCACATATGTGTCATTTCATGACATTTATGATGAAATAATATCATTAGTAATCACTAGAATGTCAACACTGATAAACATTTTATTTTCCATTTTTGGTATGTTGCTGTTATAGCTACAATATTTATAATAATTTTATCCATTTTTTCCACTTACCACCATGTCTCTTCATTTTGACTGTTTTAAAATTGCTATTTTAAATACCCAGATTTCAACCTCTTTCAAACACTTTCTAAATTAACATGAATATATTGATCTAATGCTACATTTTTTTAGTGGTCAAATATTTCTGATGACATGTACAAAAAGTATTAAAAAATGTTAATCATTAGAAGATGCTTAAATGACTCACTTATTAAATAAACAAAAAATATATAGAAGACCAAAAATTGCATCAACCTCTACTAAATCATGATTTACCCACAACAACTGCATGAAGTTGTTTGTGTTCAGTTTTTTTTAATGAATCAGGTCCTGATGTACATTTTCAAAAAGTCCATTTGGGGAAGGAGGATGATTTACATTAGTTTTACTTTGGCAAGTAAGTATAGCACTAATTATATACTGTAAGATTTTTATACCTGTGCCCCCTGACTATTTTTGTTCAGATATTTAAATTTGTAATGTATCAAAAAGGAAATACATGTATTTAAAATTTTCTTTATCTTCTACAATGAAACTTTTCCCAAAGGAAAAATGTTAATTTACACATCAAAGTGCAATTTTAAATTTAAACTTAGTCTATATTTGGGGGGAGCTGGTAGAAATTAATGTTCAGTTTTTTTTTTAGTTCTGATAGGTTTAAGATTATATACTAATTTTGGTTAATTCTAAATAAGGCACAATTGTTGCCTTTGATTACCTTTGGAAGATGCCATTCCTTGTGGATGTCTTGAGGACAGAATATGAATCATTTTGCCCATTTGTTTCCTTAAATAGTTTAAGATGACGCTGGTATGTATCTGCTTCGTGAACATTGAAGATCTTTTTCTAGGTCCTCCACAGCCTGTGAACCCCCCTAGACCTTTCAAGCATAGCGAGCGGAGAAGAAGATCTCAGCGTTTAGCCACCTTGCCCATGCCTGATGAGTCTGTAGAAAAGCTCTCTTCTCCCTCTCCAGCCCCTGATGGGAAAGTGTTCTCTGTCAGTTCTCAGAACCAGCAGGAATCTTCAGTACCACAGGGTAATGTATATTGATTGCCTATAGAAACGAAAAAGAAGATAAAGAAAAAGCCAAGAGTTAAAGATTGTTAGAATATTAAGTGATTTCTGACTTTTCCCCCTTAACTCTTTGGTACTTAGAAACACTTTGTTCTACATGTTTTGTGCTGCCTTTGTACCTGGCAATGTTTAAACATAAACTTGAATCCTCCTGCCACTGACCCAGTTTAGCTGTATTAATATTGTATTGTGTTCTTTATTTTGTGTAGTGCCTGATGGTTCACATTTGCCACTTGAGAAACTGGGATCCTGTCTTCCTCTTGATCTGAGTCGTAGTTGCGAAGTTTCGGCAACACTCGCCCCAGATTCCTCTTACCGTAAGGAGGGTCCCAAAGCAGAAAAGGAGGATGCCCAGATGCTTACCAATCCTTCCAAAGCAGGCGGTGATGGAAGAGGAATGCCAGCAGCAGGTAAAACCAAAGACAGGATGGATAATTAACTAGGATGCTACTGGATAGGAGGATTTTGATGCATAGCTACGTCATTTTAGTTCTTATTCAATTTCTTTTTGTATGTACTTTTATATAATATTTATGGAAAATTGAGTTTCTCTGTTTTAAGTGATCTGTGTGACCAGTTTATTGTCGTATTCCTTGGACCAACTTTGTACCTTGTCCCCTTAATCTATTATTCATTTCTCTGTATCTTAAGTCTTTCTTTCCACTGAATTGAAATAATTGGAGCCAGGTCTAATTATGAAAATTCTTTCTTTTGAAGCCAAAAAGTGCTAATTGCCATCCATGATCAGAATTGCGTTTGGAGTCTTAGCTGCCCGGTTCCAGTCCAGTCCTGCACGTGTGTGGGCAGTGGCAGCTGAGCGCTTGGCTCCATCGACCATGTGGGAGACCAGATACAGTTCTGGGCTTGTGGCTTCAGCCCAGCCCCAACACCTGACCTTGGAGGTCATGAGGCATGAATCATCAGATAGAAGTCTACGTGTGTGTGTGTGTTTTGTGTGTCTGGTCACTCTGCCTGTGAAATAAGTAACTCAAACAAGAAATGTACACTGAATACCTGCATCTGAAGTATAATTTATATTTGGGGACAGAATTGCCCTATGAATGCAGTTTGCTTTGAAGTTATTTGAGGAGTTGAATTTGTAAAATCAGTTAATCTTAAAATACAATTTTCACATGATTTTGTGATATTTATTGTTAATATGATGTTTGGACATCTTTTATTGAATTGATATTTTAAACCCAATAGAATGTTGATGTGTATTTTCCTAATATGATTGTATTGTTTTATTTAGACGTTTTGTAGTTTTAACCTGATCCAATGAATTCCTGTAATACTTCCCAGAAAAGCAGACAACTTCCTTGGAATTCAGGGGTGAAGGAGGGAGGGGAGACAGGAGTCAGTTCGGAAGTAGAAATGGAAGGAAGCATAAAGAAGTTACGTTTAGGAGCTTCTTTAGAAAACCACTATATCAATTCTTAAATGAAAAAGCAAAATAGAGCTTTCTCGATTCTGGTGGCAGAGTTTCATGAAATAAAATCATTGAAGTAACTTAGGAAACAGACTTTATTTTTTAAATTTGCTGCCTTCACATTCTTTCCTAAAGTTTTAAAAAATAAGTTATTGTCGTTGATAAGTGTATCATTGTCTATAATACCATTTTATCTATAAAAGTTGAAGTCAGTTTGCACATGATAGTGTTGGCAACATCTTGTTTATTAAAAATTTTTTTCCAAAGTACAAACATTTATGTTTTAAACATGTTTTGTAGATTCTCATATCTGATCCATTTTGTTTAGCTCTTTCCAACCCCTATTCTTTCTTAAGATAATTTATCTTTCCCCTTTTCTCATAATATTTGTAAATTATCACTTATTGTTGAGATAATTTTTGTGGTGAAGAACTTATGCACTCCCTTAACAATGTTGATTTTGCCACTGTACTGAGTAGTTAAGAATGTAGTTACAGCGATGGATATCCACTGACCAAATCATTTTAAATGAAGGAAGATATATTTGCCTTAAAATGAATATATATTTTTTCTTTGTTATTATTATTACCATTATTATATGATACAATTCCATAGGCTCTGAGAGTTCTCTCACCCAATCATCAAATCCCCACCCCCACTGATTTCCCCTCTATTATTACAATAGTATAGTTCTTCGTAAACAGTCATAAGTCCATCATTGTTGACATAGACAATGGCAGAGAGTCCAGCATCCTATTGTCAAGATAAATTTAACAGTTTCATTTGGGAGTCCATCTTTGGTCTGTAAGTAGAGATGCATACCTGCTAATTCATTTGGCTTGATTTTGTTTCAGTGTTGCTATTCCCTTTGTGACTTACTCCTTAAATTCCTTCAACTCCTATATGTGCTTCTTATTGTTGATAACAAAGCTTATAATGAGTTTTCTAAATTTTATATCCCCCATTTTCTCGATGTCTTCCTCAGTTAACTCTGAGATTGGCAAAGGCCTCTGCTCCTTTGCAGTCGTGTCTTCAGTAAAATTCATGTGCCTCTGTCTCTTCTTTTGCTCTTGGTCATTGCTATTCTTGTTATCAGATTCTTCTTCTTAGGGCAGATTTTTAAGTTGTGTCACCCACAGGTCTACAGTTTGATTTTGCTTATTGTGGTTGATACCTGGTTCTTTGTTTGCAGTCACTAGTACCACTCCCTTGTGTTAGGCTTCCACCATGTTCTCTGTAGCTCACCACTCTCATGCTGAGGCTGAACTGTTATCTGTACAACTTTTCCCACACTTCCAGTTGGAGCAGTCCCCATGGTTAGGGAGACACCAGGTGTCCTAAATAACGAGGTTGTTAGTGGCGTTGATCTTGCCAGAATCTGTTGGTCGCTAGGTCTGAGAGCCACCTCGACCTATTTTGACCTGTAGGATGCCAAAGTCAGTATTTTTTTCCCTGTTGGACCAGTGCATTGAACTGAGCTGGAAGTGAGTTGGCTCCCAGCTCAGCACATGTACAGCTCACTGTTGTCCCTCTGATCTCACAGCCTTTTCTACACTGCACACTAATGCCTGATGTGCCACTGGTGGAGTTCTTGATCTGCTGGCCATTAGGTCCAGGGACTGCCTGCACTTATTTTGGGTAGAAGCTGTGGTTTGCCATGCTGGTGCAATAAACTGAGAAAGAATAGAGTTTGCTCCCAGCTTAGTGCATGTGCAGTCCTGTCCAATAACCTTTGCCTCTCTATTCAAAATGACACCTAATGTGGCTCTGTTGAGTGAACTGTGAAATCCACCCTGTTCCCATGCTGCCAGTTTGGTTTCTGCTGTTCTGTTTCTGCTCCTGATCGAATCAAACAAATCAGCAGGACAGGCAGATGTTTGCCTGGGTTCACTTGCTGAGTCCTGATGAGGTCCAGTTCCCACCTGGCTGCAGGTGGCGCTCAGATCACCACTCACTGACTACCACTGGGGCATTCGCCATTGCAAAAGCACACCATTGTGTCTGCTGCTTTCCCGTGTCTGTCAGTCTCCAGGTGCTCCTCTCGTCGGCCTGTCCTCTCCGACTCCCTAGAATGTGTCCTCTCTGCTTCACCCTGACTAATGATTCTCTGGCTAATGATTCACGTGCCCTTACCTTATTCCTCCATCTTGATTCTTCTAACATGCATATATCTTAATGATTATGTTACAACTAAATAATGGACTAGTATAATTAAAAGTGTTGTGTTACCCAGCTTATATGTTTTGTGAAGTGTTGAAGTATTAAATTGTGCCTGGAGATCTTAGCATGGCTAATTTTGGGCCTAGCCAAGAAATTAGGTTTATGTTTTTCTCAGAATTTCTTTTGTGGTTGTGGAGATGAGACCCAAGATCCTTGAGGGACAAGCTGCAGTTCTTGTTGCCTCTCCTGATGGTTGAAATGTACTGGTGTAGAGAGAAGGCTTTCCAAGGTGACTTTTGTTTTGAAACATTCACAGGTACTTTTTGGGAAAGTAAAAGTACTAAGATAATTTTCTGAGAAAGTGTAAAAGAGAAGTTTAGGTTGCTAATATGATGGCTATATGAATTTTTTGATGGAAAAGAGAATCATGGGTATTGTGGTTGACACATTTAATTGCTTACTTCAAGGAAATACCCAGTTTTGAACGGTAATTACTGAAATTCAGATTATTAGATGTTTGAGCTCAGTATTTGAATGTAGGAAAGCATTTGTTTCTATGTCACCTTTTTTTTTCTTTTTGAGATAAGTAATAGAATTTAGATCATACTCTCACTGAGTATTGTTAAAACCTGTGTCACTTGTATCGAAATTCTAAGTGATTCGTGTGCTTTGCTCCTCGCATGTTTGTTATCCATCCTTTCTGTAAGGTTTCACAATAGTGGCTGGCTCTCAGCTGCTGAGGGGTCAGGCATGCTGTTACAATGTCAAGCTCTACCTAATCTGAGTGTGTCTGATTTTCAAGTGCCCTAAATTTTTGTTATAACATCTTATGTCACTTCTGCATTTATATATATATATTTTTTCATTGCAAGCATAGAGTCCAGCATCTTATTGTCCAGATAAATTCAATGGTTTCTTGGGGAAACCATCTCTAGTATGAAGGCAGAGCTGGCAGAATATCATCCCGATCAATTAAAATCCACAGCATAATGTCAACAACAATTTACAACATTATGGATTTAATTGACATGCTATTGAGTAACAAATATGTTAAAAAAATGCAAGTTCTTAACCACATCCTGTGACTACTTCATTGACATTTCAATTTTTAGTTTATACACAGAACAGGCTGCTATACACCTTAAAATGGCTATAGGGTACTATTCAGCTGTCTCGTGTCTATTTTCATTTTAGTATTTAGCAGTTTATAGAGTCGAAGCTTAATTTTGCTGAACTTGGCAGATTTTAGGATAGTCTAAACTGGCTTATAACTCTAACAAGGCATTTGTCAACAGTTTAGGTGCAGAACAGTTTTAGGAGGGGTGTGCAGAGAAATCTTTAATACCTTAGTGAGGAGTAACTAATCTTTGTGTCCTACCTAGTAAGGTATGTGTGAGTCCATGGTGACTTTTTCCTGTCTGGTTCTGAGCTTTGCTTGTTGTTCTCTGTCTATTCTAATGTGTGTGTGTGTGTGTGTGTGTGTGTGTGTCTGTGTTTAGGGGTGGGGGGCTCTGGAGCGATCCTGATGGTCATTGCAAGAGAGGATGGGGATCCAAAGTTGGAACTAAGTAAGGACCAGAGGAAGCTCCTCTCCCTAGTCACGAAGAAAGCCTACTGTTCTTCTGTTTCTGCAGACCGCTCAGGGCTTCTGTGTTTCTGCAGACCGCTCAGGGCTTCTGGCTGTTGTTCCAATGACCCTGGATCCTGTTAGGAAGGTTTTGGGCTTCTTCCATCCCATGTGGTAGACCCAAATGGGGGTGGATGACCTCAAAGCTCTTGGCCTCTGAAGGCACTCCAATTTCCCGTGGTCTGCTTAGCAGTTGGGATGTAGTCCTTGGCGCCTGTATTGATAGTCCTTGGTGAGGATCCGGGAGTCTCCAGGATTTTGATACAAGCCTCCTCCTGTCCACCTGTTCCACTCTGGGGTCCACCCCCTACTTTGTGCATATGACCTCCTGCTAAGAGGTTGTCAGGATTGCGCTTAATTCCCTCTGTATGTCTTTGTAGTTTTACTATTGTCTAATGCTGATTCGAGTCTGTTGTCTATGAGTTATCTGTCATGTTCCTGATAGTATAACCTATCAAGAACCTCTGCATTTTTATTTTGAAACCTCTTATTTTAAATAATTCTTCAGTTTATTTCTGAGGTTTTCAACGCTGAATAAAGGACTCTTCTCTGTTGCTGGCTTTCTCACAGCCTGGGATTCCACAGAGAGCTCAGAGCTTGTCTCTTAGCCAGAGTTGCCTGCAGTCCTTCACCTGCTGGGGAGGTTAAAGAAATCACACTTTATTGCTGGTGTTTAAAATAGTTACAAGCAGGCCTGGTTCGGAACTCTGCTTCTCTTTATTTATCTCACATGGCTCTCTTTTTTTATGTTATGCACTGGACTGCCACATATAATTTTTTTAAGATTCATTTTATTTAATTGAAAAGCAGAGTTACAGAGAGAGAGATGGGATGATCTTTCATGTGCTGCTTCGTTACGCACATGCCAAGGCTGGGACAGGCTGAAGTCAGGAGACAGGTGCTTCATCTGGGTTTTCCACATGAGAAGAGTGGCCCAAGTATTTGGGCCATTCTCCATTGCTTTGCCAGGCACATTAACAAGGAGCTGGGCCAGAAGTAGAGCAGCTAGCACCCAAACTGGTGCCCAGATGGGATGCTGGCATTGAAGGTGATAGCTTAATACAGTACTCCACAACACTACCCCTGCACAGTATTTTATTCAAAGAATTATCATGTTGGTTTAATTTTGCATAAGTCACTTTTCTGTAAACTGCTACATGGTAAGATTAGTTCTTGACTCCTCATAAACCTAAATTTATTGTTTTGTTATTTCTAAGATAGGTTTATTTTGTTTTTCTATCTGCAGGTATCTCAGAAGCCCTGTCATTATTGCAGATGTAAATATTTATTTTGGTATTCTTTTGTGTAAAATGTTGCACTGACCATTTGTCAGTCTCCCAATTTTGTGTTTAGAATTGGAGCACTTATGAATGTAAAGCTTTGGGAATGCTATAAAGCTTGATAGAACAGGAAGATGAGCCTAGAATTGGGTCTTCTGAAACCACTGTGGGATTGATTATTATTTATATCTGCCCTTTTGGGCTGAGCTCCTAATTCTACAGTAGAGCTTCATAAACATTGGATTTGTCTCCCAAATGCGTGAGGTGGTGGCTCCCGTTGCAGCCAGTGAAGATAGACAGTAATGTGTGTCTTCTCCTCTGCCAGCCCAACCCCAGTGGGCCATGAGCCTCATCCCTGCCTTTCCCTGGAGGAGGACCGCAGGAGGCTGTGCTGTCACCACATGCCACTTCTAATACTGCCAGTGCTGCTTCTGGGTCCCGAAAGCACATTTCTGATTGTCTGATTCTAAATACCTTGTCATATTCAAGAAAATTGTGAAAGATTTCTAAAGTTTTCATGATATAATTGGAAAACAGAAGGAAGTGTTGCATTTATGTAATAGTTTTGATAATAAGGAAATTGAATCTTAATTCCTTTTTGCTCTGATGTCTCATTTTGTCATGATTATCAATCTTATTTCTTTGATTACCCTATCCCCAAATACGATGCTGATTGAAAATGATTGTGCGTGAGTTGACTAATTTGGTCTGATAAATCTGAACCAGTTAGCTGCGCAGGCACTCAGATGCAATATCGGTTTAAGCATTTGTTTAAATGGATAAATACAAAGGTACCATTAAGATTGAATCTTATGTACCAATACATCTTTATATTGAATACAGACAAAAATGATTTGCAGTATTGTTCTATTTTGGCTATTATCATTACTTAACTATGCATTCATGATGGTGTTCAAGGGTATAAATTTGGTTTGGGTCAGAAGATATTAAATATTAGCTGAAAATTCCTGTACAGGTTGTTGAAATTCAGTGTAGTTTCCCGTGAAAAGTAATATTTGGATGACTGAGTAACAGCAGGTTGCAGCTGTCTCCAGAGCGAAAACGGCACCTCTTGCTTCTGCTGTAGTGGTTCCTGATTTCCTGTGGCATCAGAAGCACTGATGGTAGTGAGCCACAGGGCAGTCACGTGAGCAGGCCCACACTTGTGCTTTTTTTAAAAATTGTGTTGCCTGTAATGAGTGTTCCATGCTGTAAGATAAAGTGAATGCAAATCCTTATTTAGCAAGCAGTGCTATAAACATTCAGCCTATTTTGCCTGGCGCAGTACTTGCGACAGCACGAAGTACCTGCATTTCTATTCCTGTGTGACAGGTAGGGAAATGAAGGACAGAGGCATTGGATGCCGACTCAGCACCAACTGGCCAGGAAGGCATGGAAGCAGGGCTTGAGCCTTGCTAGGCTGAAGGAAAGAAGCATCATTAAGTTATCAAGCTTGTGAAGTAAGAAATCCCACTTCACTGTTGTTAGGCCTGGCAGCAAAATAGCAGCATAGACCTTTAGAGGAAAGCAAGTTTTACATAGGGTTTGTTAAACAACTTTGCTTTAAAACCTTGCTTTAAAACTTTGTCTGATACTTTTAACTCTCTCTGATTAAACTTTTGTATTCTCCCACTAACCCACAGGAATATCGAAAACAGAAAAAAAAGTGAAATTGGAAGAAAAAAGCTCCGCTGCATTTGGTATGAACAGAAAGTGACCTTTAAGCAAAGCGTTGTAAAAGCTTACAGAGAGGGAGGACGTGGTGTGTCCCTGGCTCCTCCCCGTCAGTCTGTGTAGATCTGCTCAGCAGGGCCTGCTGCTTTCTCTCAGAATTTGTGTGTGAACACCTCTGACTGAAAGATGGTTGTTTGGAAATGAGGCTGCAGTTAATACCACTGAGACTTTAAGGAGGGTGACCGTGAGAACAGTGATTTATTGTGAGACTTAATAAAAGGAGAGAAGCGCTTGACAAAAAGTTCCTGAATTTTGTCCTTTTTGTTCTCTCTAGAATTCATGAAATAATGAGTGATTATTTTTAAAGATTCGTTTATTTTTATTACAAAGTCAGATATACAGAAAGGAGCAGAGATAGAGAGGAAGATCTTCCATCTGATGATTCACTCCCCAAGTGACCAAAACGGCCGGTGCTGAGCCGATCCGAAGCCGGGAACCAGGAACCTCCTCCTGGTCTCCACGCGGGTGCAGGGTCCCAAGGCCTTGGGCTGTCCTCAACTGCTTTCCCAGGCCACAAGCAGGGAGCTGGATGGGAAGTGGAGCAGCCGGAATTAGAACCTGCACCCATATGGGATCCTGGCGCGTTCAAGGCGAGGACTTTAGGTGCTGAGCTACACCTCCGGGCCCATGAGTGATTATTTTGAATCATCTCTGTATTAGTAGCTGAGAGCTTAGGTCACAAAAAGTTGGTGAAGTATGGTTGATAAGTTATAGGCTAAACCATTCTGCATTGGAACAATCGGTAATAGGAATATGTGTGGTTTAAGTTGAAATAAAATGTTCATTATGCTTTAAAGTTCATTCATTCTCTTTAAAGTACTTATAACTAGAAAAAGGAATGCTTCCGAATTTGAGAAAGGATTACTAGAACATATTTGTACGTGTGCTCTTACCCTCCGTTATTACACGAGCAGGAGAAGTGGGGGAAGACTGAAGAGCTTATAGGTTGCTTTAACTGACTTTTGAGTTTTTTCAAAGAAGGAAATCCAAGATTTTTGATTGACGGAATTTGTTATTAAAGAATATATATAAGTGCTGAGACTCCTCAGTAAGATCTTTTTCAGGTCATAACATTGATTTCTTGCCAGTTGAGACAATTGAGTACATTCCTCATTTCAAGGTTTTACCTGCTGCCTGTTAGCTTGAAGGTGTCAGGAGCTGGGATGTCAGCACTGCTAATGGAGATGCCCTCTGGTAGAGCACAGAGCTCATCAGGAGCGGTTTAATTGAATGCATCCACTCTGGGCAGGTGACTGCACAGCTGACTCAAACAGAAGTGCTGCTTCGAGGTTGACCATGGAGGAGCAGCTCGGCATCAGTCAAGATTGCTAAGAATCTTTTTATTGTTTAGGGAAGAAAAAAGAAAAGGAGAAAGAAAGAAAGGAGAAGAGGGAGAAAGACCACTATAAACCAAAGCAAAAGAAGAAGAAAAAAAAGAAAAAGAAATCTAAGCAGCACGGTAAGTGTGCTCATTGGTATAAGCAGCATTGAATATGGTTAGGCCCGGTTTTAAAATTACAAAAATCGTTGCTCTCTTCCTTCTTTCACATGGAAGTAGAATTAGGACGTGCTATACATGAGGTTAACACTGGGCACTGCTCATAGGGTTCTGTTGTCTTGAACCTTGGTAAGTAAACTGGCTGTTGCAACTGAGAAGACACTTTAAATTTCCAGCACTAAATCGTACTGGGCCCTCTTACCAACGTGATGCAGGAAGTATTCTCAATCTAGAATGATAGTAGACCCTAGGTTTGCTTTTCAGAATGAGGGAGAAATAGATATTTTTACAAAAACTTGGGAATCCTACAAAATTTGATAGTAAGCAATCCTTTTCTACAGGAAAATCAAAAAGATACATTGAAGGCAGAGCAAATTAATCAAGAGGAAAGTTTGAGCTTCCAGGAGCCACACGGAGCAGGGTATAAACATGTGCCTAAATCCAAGCTCCGTAAAACAGTTGGGTTTGTGAAGATAAACCAGATGAGATGCTGCAGTGACTTGCGCTGTGGGAGGAGCACTCCTGTGTTCAGTAATCCTCAGCTTCTTGTTTGTTCTTGGAGGAATACAAGGCGTTTGCCATCCTGGGCTCCAATAGCTTAAACCCGTATTCTAAATTCTCTAATATTAAACACTTAAAGAAGTGTTGAGTATAAATTGCAGGGCAGATGGAAGAAGGCAAGGCAACAAAAAGAATATTATGGAGAAAGAGGCAAAATACAAATGTGTGTTCAAGTCCTAAGCACTGGCATCTGTGGATCTGAGTTGATTTTGGACTGGAGTCTTGGCTGATGTGATTGTGAAGTGCCATGGATGATACCGACTCGGCGTGCCCCTCTGGCCGCTGACTGCTATCCTTACAAGAGAAAAGAAGGGGGTGGAAACGCAAAAGGGAGTGGGAGGCCGTGTGAACATGGGGCTACAAAAAGTGTGTGGAAAATGAAATTTGAAAATACAAACTTTGTTTTGCTGTATAAGTTGCACAAAGTTTAAAACACTTGTAAAAATGGTACCATAGTTTAGCTCATCCCTGTAGAAGTGCAAGTGTGTGTCAGTGAATGGAGAGAATTTGTGTGTAGTGGTAGCAGAGGTGGACTCTTAGGCTAACACACCTTGGAGAGTAGAAACAGCTTACAGTAATAAACTGATTACAAAACAATCTGAAAGGGGCCCAGTAAATGTGACAGAGATATGAGAATTGGTGATAACATGCAAGAAAGAAAAGTAGTTAGAACTAACAAGAGGAAAGAATGCAAAGAACTTGTTCTTACAGTTCTGATCATTAGCCTTTACAGTGAGCCATTTTTTGGAAGTCACACTTGAGATTTTCATCTAGCAGGTGATGGGCCTGCCTGCCACTGGTGTCTCATGATTAATTATTACACTTGCAGAGAGCCTGTTCTGGCCTTCTCACAGGTGATTGAGGAGGAAATACGGAGCTCAGGATAAGTTTACACTTTTGATGGCATCTTTTATTTTTTTATTATGATTTTTACTTTCCATGATTCAGTTTTGTAGTTACAGAGATTCCCCCCTCTTAATGTTAAAGAATTCAAATTGTTATTGGGTAAGGTTCCTAGCACAAAATGTTTAGTGCATCATTATCAGCATGAGAGAGTTTGAGCGTCGTTTCACGTACCCTGCTGGTGCTCGGTAGGTACCAGACTTGGTTTTGCCTTTGACATTAGTCCTTTACACCAGGGCCTGTGGTTCCCATTGTGCAGTCAGCGACCATTCAGCTCACCTGGCTGGCAGTGCTTCAAAGCAGATCCAGATGTACATGATCTGGTTTCAGAGTCAGAATGTTGATTTTACCTCTTTTTTACTTTAAGGATTCTTTGCCAGGTCGTGTGGTCTTCCCAGCAACAGATTTTCACTTGTCTTTGTTTCTCTGCTAAGTTTTCGTCCGTTTCTGTTATTTTAAATGAGGTTACTTTGCATAGTAACAGCACAAATACCCTGCATGGGGCTTATCAGTAAGAATATAAATACACAGGGAGTTCAACAGTTATGAGCAGAAAGTATGGAATTGTCGCCATGTAGTTCATCAGTGCAGAGCTGAGAGTTGAGATGCTTACGGTTTGATCGTGTCTGTTAATGATCGGTCCTCTGCAGTTAGAGCAATACGAAGACTAATTTTTTTCCTTATGTATTCACACAGTCTGTGATTATGATGTCATCTACAACATCATCTTATCTCTTCTTAAAACAGGTTATCCATTTGTAAACATCTGATTCTATGGGGCATTACTTCCATACATTTGTATGAATTATTATTAGTGATTTCAGCAATTTTATACCATGCCTCATCATAAATCAGCATTTGTTTTGACTTCAATTTCAACAAAGTTATTTTTTATTTTTTAAGGGTTTATTTATTTTTATTGGAAAGGCGGATTTACAGAGAGGAGAAGAGACAGAAAGATCTTCCATTCCCTGGCTTACTCCCCAGGTGGCCACAGTGGGTGGAGCTGAGCTGGTTCTAAGCCAGGAACAGCTGGGTCTCCCACGCGGGTGCAGGTTCCTGAGTCCCGAGGCTCTGGGCCATCCTCAGCTGCTTTCCTAGGCCCCAGGCAGGGAGCTGGATGGGAAGTGGGGCCATGGGGACACGTGCGGGTCACTCACATGAGATCCTGACACAGGTAAGGTGACAGTTTAGCCACTGAGCCATCATGCTGGGCCCAGAAAAATTCTTGAAGATTCTTTTCAACTGATGTCTTCTCCTTCTTAGTACCTCAGACTGGATCCTGCTAAGATGAGTTATAGCAAGTTAGTGGGCATTAATTTTGATTCAGATGCAGGTTTTGAAATCTATGCATAATTTATTTATACTGTGAATTTCTATGACTATTTTGAAACCCCTACATATGGTAAGAGAAGAAACATAATGATAAAAAGGATACCAAGTCTGTCAAGAGATGCTGTGTGATAAGGTTGGTACTGGGAAAGCCTGTTTAAAATCCGGAGAAGTTGGAGCGATCAAGGAAGGAGATCTCTGTGGGACAGGGAGGAAGCCGTTTGTTCAGCTAGTGCTCATTTGCTTCCCTGGAAGCATCTTCACCAAACACCCCTCCCAAAACTGCCTGTTAGATTGATTTCCCATGAGCTTTTTAAGGAGCCCCCATACATACACAGTGCTTTAGATTGTGGGTGGTGTATAGTAGCCCTCAGTGTTCATGATGTTTCACGCCGCTGCTGTTATACATTACTACATGCCATTGAGTTTAAAAGCACACCTTTATTATCTAAAATTTGTGGAAGTTGGAATTCCAAAACAGGTTCTGCTGGGCTGAAATCAGGGTATCTGCTTGTCTGTATTCCATTCGGAAAGTTCTAGGGAGCAGTGATGCTCTTGTAGGTTCTAGAGCCTGTCACGTCTCTTGGCTGATATTCTCCTGTGATTTATAAAGCTAGCCACAGTCAGTCACATCTTTCTAATGCTGCTTTCTCCTACACTGTTTTGCCTCCCTCCTTCACTTAAAAAATGTAACCAAAAAAAAAGCTTTTCAGAAGTTAATAATTATATAAAAAAGCACATACTCCCAACTGCTGTTCAGTCCACAAATGCATGCAGTAGTTAATGCTTTGGCCAGAGACAAAGCAGGGAACCAGAATGCAGTCTAGGGTCCCACGCTGGTGGCAGGGACCCTGTTCTTTGCCATGTTCTTCCTTTTCCCAGGGCCTATTGTGGTAGGAAGCGTGGCAGCTCATGTCATAAAGCAGAGCCAGAAATGTCAGCCTGATCCTGCAGTGTGTAGCCATGAGTCTGAACAACTATTCCCTTTCACGTGTGAGGACCACTGGGATCCTGGGGAGGCGCCCTTCATTCCATCTGCCACCTTAATTCCCCTGTGCCACACAATGTGAAACATTTGTAGATTTCAGGGATTAGGACCTCATCATGATGAGGAGAGTGGTATTCTGCCTGTGACAAAGCCAAGTTAAAGTAGATAACCAGGAAGGGCCGGAGTTATTACTGCTTTTCTTAATGATCTTGCTTTTCCATTCCCTGCATTTGCTGGATAGTTTTCACTCTTCCACCTCTCGCATCTGCTGTTGACATGGAAGGCTCCACACTCAGTTGAGGAAATTTGTGCTGTCAGGTGGGAACTTACACATCTTCTCTTCACCACCTCTCCTTTTGCCTCTATGTAAATAGCAGCAATGTTTTTCTGCACGCTTAACGGCTTGTTGCTGCTCAACATCCCCACCCAACACTCCGCTTCTTTAGATTCATGTGGGAGATGTGTCTGATTCGCCTTAAAAAGCCCTCCTCCAGTTCATTTTCTTTTTCTGTTCCTTGAACCTTCCACTGTTCAGCCCATCTCAAGTCACCTCACTGCTCCAGCAGGGACTGGATGTGAAGACTTGATGACACCATCTCCCTGTGTGCCTCCCAGCTCTAACCTCACTGCATCTTCCTCCTCAGTCTCCTCACTGAGTCTGCTCCTCAGTCGCCATCATTGCAGCCCACACCACGAGCACTGCCTGCCTGGACTGCTGCTCCACTTCCGTGCTCTCCCCACTCTGACGGATGTCTCCCTGCACCCCATCCTCTATTCCACAGTGGAGTGATCTTTGGCAAATGAAACTGGACTTGTATCACATGCTGTTCCGTCTTAGAACCTTTGAATGGGTTTTTATTGTGTTAGTGTTGTGCCCACATTTTGAGATCCCCAAGAACCCGAAGATGATGCAAATGCATAAGGGTGGGTTACTCAGGCCAGCCTGGGCTCCCCGTCCCCGGCCAGCGGGACTGGGGCTGGGCTGCCCCGAGTTTGGACAGCACAGGGTTTTTATACACTTCAGGCCAGTTCCACACAATCCCACAATCATGATTGGTCAATTTAACAGTTAACTTTTAAAAAGAGAAAATTGGCAGGTTTCTATTGATGCAGCAAACATTTCAAATTGGAGGGCTAAACCAAGTGGCGGGAAGCCACGGGGCAACAGCTATGGGGGCATACTAAGGATGAGCAAGTCTTATCTAAAAGGCACACCGGGGTCTTTACCTTGAGGAATGCTCTGTCATCGTGTCTTGTATGCAGACCGTTAGGCCTGCGAGCTCACACAGTTTCTTAGCTTAGCAGGCAAAACAGAAATTACAAAGGCAGAAAATATTGTAGTTAGCAATGAGCAATGAACAAATGGTTGGGATTCTGATTCTGAGGTTTCTCATTAGGATGACACTTAAAAACCTGATTTGGATGTTGTCACCCTAGCCTTTTTATAAATGGCAAAGGAAAAAGTTTAGTTTCATCTTACACCTATTGCTATAGGCTAGATTGTGATTATAATGGAAAAGAAAATTTGGAAACTCATTTTTCATTTCTGGCTGAGAGTTGACTGGTAAGAGTAGAATCCGGTGATTGTTCATGTGTGTATACACCTGGATATACTGGTTTCCAAGTGTTCTTGCCAGAACCGGTGTAACAGATATGTAATATAGCCAGGGATGGCTGAGAAAACGGCGGTGTGATGGTGCTGTGTCCTGAAAGACGTCGCCTTCGTTGCTTTCGGAGAAGCCCAGAACGCTCACCTGTGACTTGAGTAATATTTTTTGGTATGTCTTCTGTTGCAGACTACTCAGACTATGAAGATAGCTCGCTGGAATTTTTGGAAAGGTGCTCTTCTCCACTCACTCGATCTGGGAATTCTCTGGCTCCACGCAGCGTGTTCATGGAGAAAACTACAACCTATCAGTACCCACGGGCCATTCTGTCTGTGGATCTTAGTGGTGAAAGTAGGTGTTGCAGTACCTTGGTTCAAACAAAGCAGGATTCCTAAATGTAGAAATCAGAATAAAATGTGCTTTCTTGAGTGCGTGTTTGAGCAGGACACAGTTTAAAAGTTGGGGCATGAGACGACACAAAAATCTGAACATTGGGAGCTTCTCCTACTTTTCAATCCGCTTAGAGAAACTTGGCTTGCTGAATGCGAGGGGAGATGAGGGCGTTAGTCTTGGCCTGCTCTGTAGTGCTTTCCTGGTATTTTCCATCTGAAGGTATTTTTATATCCTTAACTACCAGCTTAGCAAACAGTTACTGTTACCCACCCTTTGTAGTCAGCAGGCACAGGGGTCACTTTAAAGACTAGTTAACATTGGCCTAAACTCCTTCTGCCAAACATTTGTCATAGTCTTCAACATGTGCTTTGAATTTCTTACACATTTTGTATTATTTTTTAAAATTTATTTTTAAATCTTAGGTTAGTATTTGGCACATTGTTACGGCGACACAGTACTACTTTTCAACACGTTGGCAGAGCTTAAACTGGCTGCACCCAGCCATCTACATTTGCATTCCCATGTCTTGTCTTTGTGTTCAGACCCTTCTGGCTCCTTTCTTCCAGTTCTTAGAACAGAGTAAGCAGCATACTGACCTGCACTCACCCAGCCCAGGTGTGCTGTATCCCTTTGTTAGCAGAAAGCAATACAGCACACTGAGTTTCTGTTCACATACCATCTATAACCACAAGTCTGTGACGGTGTGATTTATATACAGGCAGGTGCTAAGCCCCAACAGAGACCAGAAACCATGCAGCTTGTAAAGAGCACTGTGTTGGAGCTGGGTACCACACTGCTCGTGGGGGAAGGTGTTGCAGACCTGCCTCTTCCCGGTGCTGTGATGGGCAGCCTGCTGCCCACGGGAGGCCTCCAGCTCCTGATGCCGAGGGCAGTGGCCTGAGGAGCACATTCCTGCTTACAGATCCTGGAGCCAGGAGTGAACCCTGAGGGGTTGGTCCTCACTTTGGGAAAACACAAGGATCTGATGGATGGTTCTCTTCCCATCTCTGCCTTTCTTGCCAGTGCCTTGCATGGTTGATACCAGATTCTACAGAAGTGTGCAGGAAGTTTATGGAAAGAGCTCTTGCCAAAGAACTGTGCATTAATTTCATAAGTTTCTTGCACTGAAATAAGCTTATTTTTTGATTTTGTTGCATGAAACTTTTGAAGCATAATAATGCAGTATAGCTATGAAAATAATCAAAATGGATAGTGTTTAGGAAAGTGTAGAGTTTATTCAAATGCAAAAAATCAATACAGGTTTAACCATAGTTTCTGTGAGGATGAGGACGAGAGGGAGATTTTCTGCTACTAATAACACTGTCTACATTAGGAGATAAGCCAATCGTAATCACTGAAGCTTTAGGAAAAAGTGATGCCTTTGCCAGAAACAGACACTGTCTTTTCCATTTATTTGCTCCTCTTTTTAAATGCTTAAAAACTTAAAATCTCTTTCCACAGCTTATTTCTTTTGGGAAAGGAGATTAAAAAGAGGTGGGGAGAGAGTGCCGAGTGTGTTTTTTGTATGTATTGTAGACTTATCCGACGTGGAATTCCTGGATGATTCTTCCACGGAGAGTTTACTTCTGAGTGGAGATGAGTACAATCAGGACTTGGATTCAACCAACTTTGAGGAATCTCAGGATGAAGATGATGCTCTTAATGAAATTGTGCGGTGCATTTGTGAAATGGATGAGGAAAACGGCTTCATGATTCAGGTAACTGGTGACCATCCCTCCTTAATAGGGCTGCGTTAGTCACTCCAGGTGCCTAGAGAGGTTCTGACATGTTGTCATCTGTCATGTACCAGTGGTAACTGTTGGGAAATTTCTGCGTGACAGGAGATGGTTTTCTTGTTTGGGTCACTTGCCCCGGTCCTGGTGAGTGACTAGGCCTGCGTGCTGAGGCTCCTTGGAAGGACCACAGGGAAGACTAGAGCATGACAACGGTCTCTTTACTGTCGGTCAAGCTTCATGGCTCACGTGCTGCAAGTGTAGTCACCCTTTAGTGAGCAAAAATAGAAGCACAAGTTTCTGATATTCCCTAGAAAGAGTGGAAGACTTTACTGTGAGGGCAACAGCCTTTTCCTCCAGGAAGGATTCTTTCAGAGGAAAGGGCAGCAGCATCCCTCCTCTGTGGGTGCACGTGAAAAACAGAGGATGCTAATTAGAGCAGTGACACCACTAGAAATTCCTTGTATTTTTTCATCCTTTACAATGATATTTTCAAGTAAATGAGCCACAGATTTTTAACTTGTGCTGCACAGGTAGTTTTAAAAGGGTCATTGCTACAAGCTCTCCCATAAAGTTGCTTTAAAAAGAAATCTGTTCCATGCTGGCCCTCCTCCTGACACGGTAGGGCTGCATCCAGCTCACTGCAAATCATCACCCTTGGTCACTTCAGTTGCTCCCGAGGCACAGAGCACACAGATCCTGAGCAGAGGGGTGGCACAGGGGGTGGCTGTCTGAGAGGGAGCCCATGGTTGAACTTGCCAAGCCTTTGTAAAGAATGTGTAGGTATGCTGTAATTGTAAAGGCAGCCCTCCCCCAGCCACAGCTTGCAAAAGTTTCTCTAGATGTTATTATATTCATTCGAGGATGAGTTTATCAGAAAATACTTTGGTAGGTACAACAAAATATTTTTGATCAATCAATAAAATATTTATTGATTGATTTGAAAGTAAGAGATAGACAGAGCCCATCTTCCTTTCACTGGTTCACTCCCAAATGGCTGTAGCAGCCAGGGCTACAGAATCAGGACTGAAGCCAGAAGTCTGGAGCTTCCTCTGGATCTCCCCCACACTGGGCCATTTTCTGTTGTTTTCCCAGGCACATTAGCAGGGTCTCAAACTGGCACCCACAAAGGATACTGGCACTGCAGGTGGCAGCTTTCCCTACTATGCCACAACACTGGCTCCAGGAAATTCTTGAAATAGTTCACTATTTCAAAAGTCAGATTCATGTTAAGTTATAGCTCCTTATTTTTATGTCAGAGAAACATTAAGCTAGTAATGGCAAGAAGCCCTAGTGGCTGACTATGAGAAGGGTGTTTGTGTTCCGAGGCGTTGCCATGATGCTAGCACTGTGAGCGCTCCTCTGTTTCCTGGCAGTGTGAAGAGTGCCTGTGCTGGCAGCACAGCGTGTGCATGGGGCTGCTGGAGGAGAGCATTCCGGAGCAGTACAGCTGTTACATCTGCCGAGACCCTCCGGGTAAGGCTGCCCTCGCTGCGCAGGCCGGGATGCCTGAGCACCCAGGGCCTAGTCCAGAGCAGATGTGTTGTTTCAAACATCGTCACTTCTTGGTCAGTTCCACTCAGCTGCCAAAGGCAGACTTTAAAATAGCCATCACCATTTGTTAGACTGCCGTCTTCCTTGTTACCTCCTTAGACATACGCACCAGTGCGGAAGTATCAGCACCATGCCTTCTTCAAGGGCAGAGGCACTGCAGAGGCACTGCTTCCTCTGGCGAAATGAGCCTTTGTCTGCTGCCACTCATTTCCAGCTCAGCTTCAGTCTGCTGCCTTGTGGGCCTGTGTGCTGTGCTGGCCCTCCTGACGTGGCGGGGCTGTGTGTCCAGCTGACCACAGCACCAGCGGGGCCTCGGATCATCACTGTTAGTCACTTTAGTTGCCCCCGAGGCACAGAGCAGACATTTCATGCCTGAGCAGAGGGGTGGCACTGGGGGTGCCACCTGAGAGGGAGCCCATCGTTGGATTCGCTATCCACTGTGCTCATTTTTGCTTTTCTGCATACAAGATGGTCTTTATGTAGACTTCTCTGCATATTTGGTACAGTTTCTGCCTTAGAGGCAGAAACTTATGCACTCTCAGAAGACAAGTGAATTATTTCCGTGTCTATAAAAAAGAAAGAAAAGGGGGAACAACAAATCAGGATAAGAGAATTATTCAGACCTATCTGGTATTGACAGTTATTTGTACATACACCAGCATTTACTGGGGGACAGATGTCTGTTAGTCATTGTATTCAGACAGTACATGTGTACGCTTGCTGTTCATTCAGCAGCATTCATTCGGTATTTTCTGTTTGCCAAGCACCGATACCATGATTGCTTTCACCTCTGCTTTCAGCTGTCACGCTGTAGCAGAGAATGCAGATGTATGAGTGTGTCATTTGAGTAGGATCCAACTTGTGTAAGTGTCTAGGATTGAAGATGATATCGGATGTTGTGAGGTCACAGACTTGAGGGAAGTATCCCTGTTCACTCCCGCAGAACTCTTTGTCTCATCTAGTAGAAATCAAGGTTAGCTCAGAGAAACAAGAACCTCTGTCTAGTTTCTTTCCAACTGTGATCATGTTATAGAGCAGGTGCATGCCGCACAGAGGGTCAAGACCATCTGCGAAAAGCCCCCTTTGGGACCTGCCACCACATCCTTAGTAATTTCTCCTCTGGTGGGCGGGAATGCCAAGGGCATTCTAGTACCAGGTCCTGGGAGTTCTGTGCATCTGCTCCCAGGGTGAGCGCCGCCTTGCTCTCAGCATGACCTCAGCAGGGCTGCTGTCTCAGCGATGTCTGAAAAAGGGACCCTTGGTGACTGACATTAACTTCATCTGCAGGTCAGAGGTGGAGTGCAAAATATCGCTATGATAAGGATTGGTTGAATAATGGGAGAATGTGTGGGCTGTCATTTCTGAAAGAAAATTACTCTCATCTCAATGCTAAGAAGATCGTATCCACACACCATCTGCTCGCTGACGTCTATGGTGTTACGGAAGTGCTGCATGGGTTGCAGCTCAAGATTGGCATTCTAAAGTAAGTGATGGTGATGACAGGAGGGTCAGGCTTTAGCATACTTATTAATAAACACTTCCTCAAAGAAGAATCAATTAACAACAGCAAAAACCTGCGACCCATTGAAGGTTCAGAATGGTACTCTTTTTTTAAGATTATTTTTATTGGAAAGGCAGACCGACAGAGAGAAGAAAAGGCACAGAGAAAGAGCTTCCATCCGCTGGGTCACTCCCCAAATGGCTGCAATAGCAGGAGATGAGCTGATCCAGAGCCAAGGGCCAGGAGCTTTTTCTGGATCTCCCACGTGGGTACAGGGTCTAAAGGCTTTGGCCCATCCACTGCTCCTTTCCCAGGCCACAGGCAGGGAGCTAGATGGAAAGTGGGGCACCTGGGACACAGACTGGTGCTCATGTGGGAGGCCCACACTCAGAGGTGGAGGATTAACCAGTTGAGCCACTACAGTGAACTCCCCCCTCCCCCCCTGCCGGTAGTAGCACTTTGTGTAAGGGAGAATAAAATTTAATTTTAGAAAATAAAGATTAATAGAGTTGTAAGTCGCCAGCTGCTTGCTGGCCTGTATCAGGTAAATGCGGAAAAGGTGGACACAGCGTTTGATATTTAACAGGTTTTACACACTCACCATATGTGCAAAGTTTAGTGCAATTGATGTGGTGAGCCTTATGTTTATATAATCCTTCAGGAATGCTGTCAAAGTGAAATAGATTCTAGGTAGAATACATGTATTTTTATGTATATTTTATGCTTTTCAGTTTCCTTAAGATTGATTTAGAGGGGAGCAGCTATGAGTCCAAGCTGTGTGGTAATTCCAATGTCTGTTTCCCAAAATATTGTCAGATATTATTAAAGTTCTCTAATGTCTAGCTCTACTCCTCCTTAAAAGAACAGACAACATCCATGTTTCCTATAAAAACTCAAACTGGTTCACCACAAGCATGTTTGTATCTGGATTCGCTTGTCTTAGGTGGAAGCGTTCTCCTTCCCCGCCTCCCATGCCCTTCCCTGGGTCCCCGCCATGATTCCACAGTAGTTCCTTTGAATTGTCCAATCCATTCCTCCTTGTCTTACTGATACTGTTCAGCCAGTTATATTTCATTTGGGCAATGGCCATGCCTTTTAATTCTGATGCAGCTGTCTTGTTCTCTTGCTGTGCCCTCCTTACTGTTGTCATTGTGATCTTACTGGAAGATAGGAGGAGTGGCATCTTTCAGCCTCATGCACCTGTCTTCCTGTTTCCCAGCTAGCACAGAGTTCTTCAGCTTGCTCTCTGAGGCCCTCCTTGATAATGTGTGATTCTCTTGGCCATCTTGTGGCTATGCCTTCCCTCTCCTAGGCTTTTATCGCAGATTGTTTGAGCAGTACCAGTCAGACCTTACTTGCTGATGACCATGCTTTTGCACGCCTAGGCCTTTACTTGTGCCCAGAATATCCGCCTATCTAGCAGATGCCTTTTCATGATTATCTGCCCATCTGGAAATGACTATAACCTTACTTAGCAAACTCCATGTATGCACTTTGGTGTCCTTAATTTTCTTACATCTGTCTCCCCAGCCTTAGTTCTTTGAAGTAGAACGTCTGTCTTAATTTATCCCCTGGTATACAGTGTAAATACTTAGTAACTTAAGTGAAATTTGCTCCATGTGTATGTGTGTATATATGTATCACACATCATGTATTTCTTTGTTAAAGGACTACATAAATGCCAAGACTCAAAGAAGGGAAAAGTTGATTAAACCATTAAAAACAGCTTGGTTCTCCTTGGTTCAGTGTAAATTTATTGGCAGGATTTTAACTTGGTCATGTCTGCCTCCTGAACCTCTCTAAGCCTTCTTTATTTTAATGCTTCTGATAGTAGTAGTGATTATTATCTCGTTACCTACTATGTATTGAAAACCTATTCATGCCAGAAAAGGAGGCTTCCGTATGCTGTTTCACTGTTTGCCATAGACCTGGCAGAACATCTGCCCTCCTCTTACGGATACGTGCCCAAGCACGGAGATGGCCTAACCTGTCCGAGCTTCTCCAGGTCACAGCAGGCCGTGAGCCCTGCAGTCAGCTTTCCTTCTGCTCTGCCTCTCCTCCACTGGGAATTTTAGCTTTGTTTGAATGTCTCTAGCATCCAAAAAATGAAATTTATAACTTGAGAAACATTAGTTGGGTATTATCTGAAGAATATTCTGACTTCTGAATTGACTTAATTTGGAATCATTAGCTCACAAGCATTATTGAGCCTTTTGAGGGGACCATGCCTTCAGATGTCCTCCTCTCCCGTAAGTGCTGTGCCGTGATTGCTGATTGACTTAATGCACAGTGCTGATTGCCACAGGAATGATCCAAAAACACTTGCTCACAGATCCGTGAGGGCATGCGTAAATGAGCATCGTAATACTGAACTTGGACAGGATCCTTCAGAGTAAAAGCACATGTGTGATCCAGCAATTCCACGTGTGAAAAGGGGCCCACCTGTCTGCCCACCTGATGGAAATGAGCCCACCTGTCTGCCCACCTGACGGAAATGAGCCCACCTGTCTGCCCACCTGACGGAAATGGGCCCACCTGTCTGTGAAGACATACGTGAACTAACTCATTCTTCCTCTCCCACTCCCTGGTCAATAGTGGTGGGTTTCCTGGACTTGGCCGGAAGTCAGGCCTGTTGTATGGCTAGACTACGTGGGTAATTAGTAGGAGAAGGGAGATCCATATGCTGAAGTGGAAAAATGCCCAGAGGAGATATGTTTGAGGGGGGAAGAATAGAGCAAGAGAGAGAGAGAATGGTTTCCCATTTAAAAATTGTGTCATGTATATAGAAAATGTCTGAGAAATTGTCCCTCAGTTATAACTGCCATAATGAAAGAGATTTTTACTTTGTGGACATGTGAAATTGGATTTTTTTCCTGTAATATGAGCTCCTATTCTTTTGTGATTAAAGAAATGTTTTAAAATAAAATTTGCACAAGTTTTCCATATCATACAATGAAAAAAAAGCAATAAAGATCATAGAAAAAGAAAAACGTATCAAATGATTATGTGAACCATCAGCAGAATTAAGTTCAGTATTGCTTTTCTGAGCACTGTGTCTTTACACTTGAGAAGTGCCCAGGCCTTGCTGCTGTCTGATTTCTGCCCTCCTCCAGCCTGATTGTGTCACTTGGTGCTTTTTGTGAACTGCGGTTTCTCCCCCTTTGCTTGAAGGAACAAGCATCATCCTGACCTTCAGCTCTGGGCGTGTTCCGGGAAGCACAAAGACCAAGATGAAGCCCTGGCAGAGAAAAAGGGAGCAGCGCGAGACGTGGTGACTCCAGAAGAGAAGAAACCTGTTGAGAACCACAGAGAACCTGCTCGCCTGCCCCTAAAGATCGAGGGGACTTACATTACAAGTGAGCACAGCTACCAAAAGCCACAGAGTTTTGGCCAGGACTGCAGAGCTCACGTAGACCCTGGGAGCTCAGATGATGATGATGTTAGTAGTTTTGACGAGGAGCAAGATTTCCACATGGGAGAGAAAAACCGTATAAAATTCTCAGCGAAAGTGCATAGATTGTCTGAAAAGGTAAAGCTGGTTCATTTTCCCTTTGTTTGGAACATGTGATAGACTAACACAAGAAAATTTTGTCAATTACAACCTACATTCTCAAATTGATATTATTTTGTAAAGGAGAAGACTTTGTTTTCGCTATAGGAAAACGCTGGCAGTGGAAATATTTAGTTATCCCCTCATTCACATTTGTAATAATTCAGAATTACTGTTACCCTAGCAAATGTTTAATAACTACACTCAGTGTCGCCACCCCAGCCTCGCCCCAAAGGAGCCACATTGCATCGAAATGAGGATGTGCCCGTGTGATAATGAAAGTACTTATGGGAGAAACGGTTTGTCTCTTACATGTGTTTCACAGAAAGCCTGCCCCTCTCACTGTCTGCCCCCATTAGCACATTTCTAAGTGCGTGTCGTTCCACTATGCAGTAACTGAAATCCTACGGCTCTTTTTGCACAGAGGAATTTTATAAACTACTTTCCTACTCACTGAGGTCACCTTAAAGATTTTGTAACATCATTTTTTAGTGATCTTTCAATTAGCAAAGCCAGTTTCACACTGGGTCTTTATTTCTGATTTCCTTATAAAGTAACCATGTAAATGTATGCTATTACTTTAAAAATGTATATTTCATGAAACCTGTAGTAAATTAGTTTTTGGCAAATTAATATTCCTCACGTAAAATGAATTGTTACTAGCGACTCCAAGTCCAGATTTAGGGTATGTTACGTGTGTGCACATGCGCACGCCGGCCCCAGCTCTTTGGGTGTGTGTTACGTGTGTGCACATGCGCACTCCGGCCCCAGCTCTTTGGGTATGTGTTACGTGTGTGTGTGCACATGCGCACTCCGGCCCCAGCTCTTTGGGTATGTGTTACGTGTGTGTGCACATGCGCACGCCGGCCCCAGCTCTTTGGGTATGTGTTACGTGTGTGCACATGCGCACGCCGGCCCCAGCTCTTTGGGTATGTGTTACGTGTGTGTGTGCACATGCGCACTCCGGCCCCAGCTCTTTGGGTATGTGTTACGTGTGTGTGCACATGTGCACGCCGGCCCCAGCTCTTTGGGTATGTTAGTGTGTGCACATGCGCACACCGGCCCCAGCTCTTTGGGTATGTGTTACGTGTGTGTGCACATGTGCACGCCGGCCCCAGCTCTTTGGGTATGTTAGTGTGTGCACATGTGCACGCCGGCCCCAGCTCTTTGGGTATGTTACGTGTGTGTGCACATGCGCACGCCGGCCCCAGCTCTTTGGGTATGTGTTACGTGTGTGCACATGCGCACGCCAGCCCCAGCTCTTTGGGTATGTTAGTGTGTGCACATGCGCACGCCGGCCCCAGCTCTTTGGGTGTGTGTTACGTGTGTGCACATGTGCACGCCGGCCCCAGCTCTTTGGGTATGTTACGTGTGTGTGCACATGCGCACACCGGCCCCAGCTCTTTGGGTATGTGTTACGTGTGTGCACATGCGCACACCGGCCCCAGCTCTTTGGGTATGTTAGTGTGTGCACATGCGCACGCCGGCCCCAGCTCTTTGGGTATGTGTTACTTGTGTGTGCACATGCGCATGCTGGCCCCAGCTCTTTGGCCCGCTGGCGGTTTTGAGTTACTTGCCTTCCCCTCGGCTCGTGACGGAATCGCGGCAGTAAAGCCCAGGCTGCAGTTGGAGACTTCTTACTGATCTTTGACAATTTTGTCTGTTTTTCCGTCATTGCTTTGCCCTGGTTCCAGGTATGTCATCTTGGGATTAGTTGAAGATGGGGCCAATCTACACAATGTGTCATTCTCATTGTGGAATGCACTGAGTGACTTTGTCTCCTTGGCTCATTTTGTGGAACCCTCTCCCCTTGGCACGTTGTGTTAGCCCCAGGTGCCATGTGATCGTGACCCAGCACCTCTGTTTACCCTACGAGTCAGACAGGGTTTCTCTGACCATTGTTGGTGGGTGTGGCTTTTAATGTAATTTCCCCATACTTATGACATTGCATTTTATTCAATTCTTTGTGGTTTTTTTTTTTTCAATGGTATTTTGAAGAAGAATCCAGCTGAAGGGAATATGGTATTTGTTTATAACGATAAAAAGGGCACTGAAGACCCACGCGCCTCCCACCTTCAGTGGCAGCTCAACCTCCTGACACACATAGAAAACGTGCAGAATGAAGTCACCAGTAGGATGGACCTAATAGAAAGAGAAGTTGATGGTAAGTTCAGAACTAAAATGCACCTGTAGTATGTCTGCTGTTAGGAAGAGGTGATTTAAAACGCTGTAGGAAATGGAAAGTACAGACTGCTGGAGCCTCATTTCTCTCTTGACATGCTGCTTAACATTCTGGTGTCTTTAAGGCCAAGATGCTCAAACAGGGTGCTATGTTATGTGGTTGGGTTTTTTATTCACATGGTTATTGAACCATCCCTCTACCAGGCTTGATAGAGAACACTAATGGAGTATTTTTTTTTCTTGAACTATATTGTTTCTTTAAATCAGCATGAGAAATTTATACATATTTGAAATGTGAGAAGAAAAACATTTTGAATATTTGTTTTAGCTTTGGTTAGTGCTTAAGTGAAATTAACAAAACAAATTCCTAGAAGAAAAAGTAGATAAACTTTGGATTTGCATAAAGATTTTCAATTACTTTTTGTTATATATCTTACATCTTGATTTTGTCCTTATAAAGGAAGTTTGGAAAGTAGAGGATGTAGTACACATCATCGCACAGTTAAGAGTAATCCGGCTGCTCTGACGCCTCGCCTAGTGCTCTTTCTCATGGTCTCTGGCTTCTCTTTGTTCTCCTGGCCTCAGAGCCTGCACTCCCCCGGCCCCCACCCCTTGGGTTCATTTTGCAATTCTGAAAGTGTGTAATACCTCTGCACTGCCCGGAATGAGACCCTTTGCCTTTGAGTTTCCCTGAGATCAGTGAGGGCGAATGGAAGCTCACTAGGTGTCCTCTGGTTACAAGCTAAATGTAGACTTCATGTGTAGCATGCATTCTTTGAAGAAAGAGCAATGTGGCTTGAACACGGTTCTATTTATGGGTAGATTTCCAAAGAAAGCATTAGTTTTTAAAATGTAGAATGTAGCCAATGCCCTTCTGACTAAAATATAGAACTGTCTAGAAACATTTTCTAAAAAGTAGTGAGATGATGAGATTGAAAAGGACACAGCAGTTATCACTACCTTTCCTTTGTTAGAGTGAACTCCTGTGGGTTATTTTTTTAAGCAGATGGTTAGAACAGCTAAATTTAGTTTCCATGTGCTAGAGATAGATGGTTTAAGAATAAATTGATCAAAAGCTTTAGCAGAAAAAGCAAACGATTGTGGAATACAATTGACATGGGAAAAGCACAGCAAATAGCTGTAACTCTGCTCTTACGATGGTGGTGAAAACTTGAGAAGAGTAGGGTCCCTTTAGGTGAACCACTCTTACTCTCCACGTGAGGGACTGAGTAACCATTGTTTCCTTTTCCAGAAAAATAGTAAAAGTGATATTTAAAATGTAACTAGCATACATACAGAGGAGAAAATGAGCTAGACAGGTCACATCTCCCAAAAAGGACTAGAATTTTGCTTGATGAGACATAAAGGTTTCTTTACTTACTACGGATGACTCGAGTGTAAAGACAGAGTTGGGCCATCAGCTCCGTCACTTTCCCGTCCTTTTACCATTTTCTGACTCTGCTTCCCACTGTCATTTGGATTTGTTCTCTTCTCTCTTCAGTTCTGGAAAGCTGGCTTGATTTCACAGGGGAATTGGAGCCACCAGATCCTCTGGCAAGACTACCCCAACTTAAGCGCCACATAAAACAGCTCCTAATTGACATGGGAAAAGTACAGCGAATAGCAACCCTCTGCTCTGTGTGACAGTGGTGGATACTAATGAGAAGATATGGGTCCCTTTAGGTGAGCCTCTCTTACTGTCCACGTGAGGAAGTGGACAATTAAAAAGCTTAGTGATGTTTGGTGATTTACTGCCTTGTGACATCCTTGATGGCACCTTGGAAAAACAAAGCGAAGTGCAACTTTCTCAAGGAAGCTTCTGTCAGAACACCCTGAGCAGACTGCAGGTGGCGATGCGTCTCAAGGAGAGTGTCATCTATGCTGGGGAATTAATCAGATTGGCAGGATTTTTGAGTATTTTACGTGAAGCTCAAGATACCCATAGAAAGAAGTATGGTATACTTATATGGATTTAAGTAGGAGTCATGCTTATAAGCCAGCATTTGGCCAAAAACACAGTTGTAAAGGAAATTGAAATTCTGGAGAGTTCCACAAGGTTGTTCTAAGAACTGTCTTCTCAGCAGTGGATCCAGCTGTGCGGAAGTTTGAGCTGTTAAGCTTCTAGAGGATCATGAGCTAGTTCTTGGATGATGAATGTCCTTAATCAGAAAACTGACAGAAGAAGTCTCACTTCTGGAGAAAAAATTATGACGCTCTTACTTCAGTATGAACGTATTTGAAAAACACCAAATAATTGGAATTTATTGCAGGCATTAATCTCTCTAGAAATAAACTGCCTTGCAATGGGTCTGATGTGCCAAATGTTAACGAACCTGCTAGGAAGAGGATTGTAAACATTGAGGGTTCTCTCACCCCCCGTTTTCTGCAACATCATCAGCCCGTGTAAGACCAACACATATTGCTACTAGAAGATAGCTGGATGACAGTATTCAGGATGCAACATACAGTTTAACCCTGAATATGCTTGGTATTTGCCTTCATAAAAAAGAAAAAAACAAAAACTTGTAAATAACCTCAGCTGGGATGAGGAGTGACAGGAATATCAGAGTCGTGTGCGGCCGTGGACTTTGAACTGCTACTAGCAGAATACTGGAAAAGCTGCATTTCTGAAGATGAATTTTATTTTTAAAAAATACATGCACACTCAAAACTTTTAGCTTTGATTACACATGGACAACTTTCTGAAACCAAAGGCAACGAAGTTGCTGTCTTAGCTCTTGTTGGACTTTGAGCCGAGGTCCTACTGTTTGCCCAGCCCCCATGAGTTTGTGCGCCCCAGGGCTCCCTCCGCAGACGTGCGAAGTGTATGTGCTTGTTATAAACAGACACATAACGTACAGATGTACATAGCGACACATATTTATATTACACATATCTAGTTTTATTACTATAGACTATATGAATTGGTGGTTAACATGAAATGTTACCTTTTAACAGACTTTTTAAAATTTAAAAATGTATGTACAGGTTTTGAATTTTTTTAAGGGGGGAAAAAGGACTGGTATGAGGAGGCTACTTGGTGACTTATAACACTTGAATATTTTACGCCTCGTTCTGTTTATCAGTTCTAGCAATCTGTATAAATGCATTTTAGAACTGATAGACAGTAAACTTGAATTTATCTTTGATAAGAATACATGCCACTGTACATTCAGATATTATTTAAATTTGCAAACACACTGTTCTATATGTAAGGTACTGTATGTAAAACTCTTTATTAAAACTGTTCCACATAACCTAAAATTTCAGCTTGCCTTTTTGCAGCCTTATATTTTGATGTAAAGATTAAAAGAATGTGCAAAACATTTTATTGCCTTTTGAGATTCTCCAACTTGACCTGTGCCAAAGATCAACACATAAAATATGGTCCTATGTATTTACCTGTGATGCAGTAATTTTGTCAGAGATCTTGCTGATAAATGCAAAGCTTTAGCAGAGGTGATGTTGTGAGGTAGTTGCTTAAATTTGCATATTAAAATAACAAAAAATGGCTGTGTTCTGTGTGTGGACTAAATTTGCTAATGTCTGTGTTTCAAGGTTGGTATTTTCCCTTTGGCTTGTGCTCTGTAATAACAGCTCTCGGGTGTTCCCAGTTTGGCTGCGTTCTAGACAGGGACTTTTTTTTTCGTTTTTCAACAGCAACAGCAGTGTGGTCCTCTGAGCTTTGATCTGTTGATCTATGTGGAAACAATGCCTCATTTGGGACATTATTTTGAGAAATAGTGAAGCTAGAAGCTTTCAGTAAGTAAACTGAAAACGCAGTAGACATGTCAGATGTCATCCATGTTCCCCATTAAGTTATGAAGCCGAGTGGTTGCAGATTAGCACTCATGACAGTTTATAGGATAATATAAAAACAGCTGCCAGTAAGACAGGTGCTATCAAAGCTGACCAAGGAACCAAAGGGGGCGGGAAAAGCAGGTAGACTTAGTGGGGGAGGGGCTCATTAATGCTCAGTTCCAAGTGTGTGTGTGTGTGTGTGTGTGTGTGTGTGTGTGTGTGTGTGTGTGTGAGCGAGTGTAATTTGTAATTTTTGAAAAGTTGGAATCCACTCCTGCTATCTGTTGTCTTTGAGAGCCAGCAACAAAAGTTGAAAGCATATTGTTTATTCAAGAGATAGACTGAGAAAGTCGGAGTGAGCGGGCGAGGCAGGGGAGGGGAAAGCTCACTCGAGTGGGCAAGGTCGGGACGCTGCCAGTGAGGCCTTGGTTCTTCTCTTTGAAGTTACTCATCGTAAATGTCATCAACTGAAAACAGCAGTGCCAGGTCCAGACTGTACTATTACCATCCTGTAATATGTCTTTAAATCTGGTATTGTGATGTCTCTGGCGCTTTTGTTTTTAATATTGTTTAAGATTGTTTTAGCTATTTGGGGTCTCTGGTGTTTCCATACAAATTTTAATATTTTTTCCTAGAACTAAGACTATCATTGATACTTTGGCATTTCTTTAAAGGTGAGTTGGGCTGATGCAAGTGGGGAAATGGAAGTGAAACAGATCCACTTGCTCCCAAAGGAAGCCCTGGAGGAGTGGAAACATCATAGCTGGGCCAAGTCAGAAAAGACTTGAAGCGAGCGTGCTGTCCTGCGCTCTGAGATCCTGGCTGTCTTTGGTTTGGTTTCTGTAATGAAACAAAACTGGAATCATGGGACTGTTGAGAAACTCCATTTGAGAGCAACACAGGGCAAGCTCCAAGTAAGAGGGAGGAGAAGCCACCAGCGAAGAATGCACCACTGGGGCCCAGCGTCAGGCTAGTGGCTAAATTTTTGCTTTGCATAGGTCGGGATCCCATGTGGGCACCAGTTCATGTCCCAAGTACTCCACTTACCATCCAGCTCCATGCTTGTGGCCTGGAAAACAGTAAAGGACAGCCCAAAGCCTTGGGAACCTGGACCTGTGTGGGAGACCTGAAAGAAGTTCCTGGCTCCTAGCCTTTGGACCAGCTTAGCTCTGGCCTTTGTAGCCACTTAGGGAGTGAGCCAGAGGACGGAAGATCTTTCAGCTCTGTATCTCCTCCTCTATAAATCTGCCTTTCCAATAAAAATAAAACAAAATAAGAATGCAGCACTGTACTCGCTTCCTGCAGGGCAGACTGATGGCTGAGATTAGACTGGGAAAGTCAGCAGGAGCGCTCAGCATGGTTTCAAGGAGAGGCAGAGGTGGAGGTACAGACAGTTCTGCGTTCCTGCAGAGCAGGCCTGAGCAGTGGATCTCAGCCCCTTCGTGTGGGATTCCTGCAAGGGGAGCTAGTGACATCAGCACATGGTGAGGGCAGCTCACGGTGCTCAGGTGCTTGCAAGTCTTGACAACAGACAGGTGTGCGTGATAATGTCTTCGACAGTACAAGTTTCTGGTTTTACGTTTACATTATCCAATTTGAGACATCCAGGTATATGAAAGCTAGTGGTATACATTGAAAAATACATGTAATTTCTGGAAGGATTTTTTTTTAAGGAGGAAAGGGTTCAACTCTAACCAAGAATAATGTTCCGTGCAAATTAAGCACGAAAGAAAAGGGAATGACTTCACATGATTGTTAAGATGCTAGAAAAGGGACTAAGTCTTCCTGCAAGGATGAATCACAGGGCAAAATCAAATGTGGCGTTTTTCTCCACTGCAGAAAACAGTCCCAGTACAAGCAGTAGCTCAAGACACAGAACAGCTGGGCAGTGCAGCAGAGGCGTGCTGTCAGAGCATGTGCTTCCGGTGTTCATCAGTACCACAGAGCCACAATCCGCAAAAGCCTCAAAAAAAAAAAAAAAAAAAAAAAAGCTGCTGAGGTGACATCTGCTGGGGAAAGTTTAATGAGGACTGAGGAGGGTAACACTTCAAAGGGTCGCAAACCCCGGGGCCAGAGGCCAAGGCGCTGGTCCGCTAATGATTAAAGTCTGCCAATGCAGTCCTCCTTCAGTGCGCACACCTAGCTGCAGGAGGAAATGGAAAGTGAAGGGTTCAAATAGATTGGGCAGACATGCATAAAAGGCTGCCACCAGAGATAAGTTCTGGTTTACAAGAAAAACACTACAAGTGGCAATTATAGGGTAGTCACTGCTTTATGCATCGTATACTTACTAATTCATTTTCAATCGCACTGGCCCATGCACTGGATGGTACAGATCTACAGATGCAGGGAGATGAGACAGCTTGGCCAAGGCTCATGGTCAGTACCTGAAACAGTGTCCAGGATTCCGATATGTGTCATTTCCTGTCCAGACTTATCCACTCTTCCTGCTCATATATTTTCAGCGAACCGTTTGTGCATAGCACATAATTGCATCATTAAAAATATACTTTGCCATGCTCTGTCTTAAGTCCTGAGCCATTTACATATATTATAATAATCTGTTAGGTTTTAAGTGTGTGCCATTTTGTTACTTTTTGTGTTTGGCTCATTTCCCCTGCCTGCCTTCTCTGCCCCTTCCCTGCCTTTCTGCGGGTTACTTGAACACTCTTTTAGAATTCTGTTTTAGTTATCTATAGGGTGTTGAGCAAATATTTTCATACATCTTTTTAGTGATTGCCTAATCTATTTCATTATAGAAGAAAAGTTCTATAAAGTTGAAAAGTTCAGGCCTGCGTGTATTCTGAAAGGAAAAGGGGCATGGCTTTGGGGGGGTGGTCTTTGTGCCAAAATCAATTCATCACTTAATCTATCTTTTTCATTAACTGTTTGAACTACTCTCACATCTAAGCTATATGTAATAATTGGCTGGGTTTTTTTTTTTTAGTCAGTTTAGTGAAATCGACAGGGATGGTCCTATTTTCCTTACTTTTGCTCTCCTTTATTTATAATTATATTAAATATTTCCTCTGTGCCCAGTAAGAACCACATCACTATTGTTCAAAATTTCACTATAACTACTAAAGATAACTTAGAAAACCTGAGAAGAAAAATACATTATATTTACTGTTACAGTGATTTGATGTGTCCTAATTCTGATTTCTTTGGGTTTGTTCTCTGGGTTTTCTTTGGCTTCATAAATCTGTAGGCTTAAGACTTTTGCCAAGCTTGCAAAACTTTCAAATGTCATTCCACAGGCACACTTTCAGTTTCAGCTTTTTCCTCCCGAGTGGTGTCTTGGCCATGGTACTGAGCCCCCTCCCCAGTTTATGTATTTTTTCATTTATTTCATTCCTTTTGTTCAGGTTGAATTATTTTTTATTATTTTGATCCCAAATTTATAGACTCTTTCCTGTCTGCTTTGTTCAACACACTTGTGAAATTTTTTATTTTGGCTGTTTTACTTTTTAGTTCTGATATTTCTTTCTTTTCTTTTTCATAATCTTACTTAGTTAATTAAGGTACAAAGGGTCAAGCGCTCCAGGAAAGTGGGTAATACCATTGTTTCCACACTAATATCATCATTTTTTCCCTGAATCTGGGGTCAGGGGAGAAACAAAGGGAAAAGCCCCACCCAGTCTCCCACCCATCCCAGGTCCCCGATGTGAGGCATGCTCTGAGGGTCCTGCTCAAGTGGTTTTGATAGTTCAACAGTTCTGAATTGCTGCCAGTCTTGCTGTTCCAATTGCGATGAAACCTATTCAGAATCCACTGGCTGACATAGTCTCTTCATGGTTGGGGTTCTGAGATCAGCAGTTCAGTTGGTGGGATCTCCGAAGACACTTCATCTGAGGTGATTCCAGGTATGATTCTTGTGTGAGTTTGCCAGTACGGGGTCCAGCACAATCTGTTGCCCCAATCAGCTCATGCACATGCTGGTCGTTGCAGTTGCTGGGTCAGTTCTGTTTCCAGTCTTGTCTTCCACGCAAACCAATGGGTGTTGTAGTCCAGCTCAATCCTACCTGCTCAATCCTACCTGCTTCATGCTCGGCCTTCATGTAAACCAGTGGGAGCCGCAGCCTAGTTGGGGCGACTCCCTACAACCTCACCAGGCCTGCCCCCTACCCTGGTTCCCATGCTTGCCAGTATGTACCACAGGCTTGTTCAGTCTGTCCCACACCCCATTTTGATCTCATACATGTCAATAGGCATTGAAGCCTAGTTCAACCCAACCAGCCTACTATCCAGCCCATACACCTACTGGCAGGTACCCCTCTGTCCAGCCACCCCTGCCCCTGTCCTGGTTTTCGTGTTCTCCATTGGGAGTAGTAACCCAAGAGGGAGGTGCCCACTATCTCCCTACTAGGCCACTCCCACTCCCAGATTATGCACTCTCCAGGTGGTTCTAGCATTTAACTTAACAGAATTGGCCCCCAGTGCCAGCCTCTGCCAGCTGATGCTGCGGCTAAGCCCAACTAACCTTTACCCATTCTAATTTTTGCTTGCAGCAGTCGGAATAGTCAGCACAACCTTCCCTGATCTAGCTCACATGAGGCCCACAGGTGTTGTAGCCCTGCCGGGTCTGGTCTGCCCCATCCCAACTCAAGCTCTCCAGTGGGAGTGGTTGTCCAGCAGGGGAGCCCACATTCCCCTGCAGGCTTTGCCTCCACCCCTGCCACCCCCCCCGCCAGGTTCTCACATGTGCTGTTTGGGCTATGGCTCACCTCACCTTGGCATTCCTTAATATGCACTGGTATGTGTTGCGACTGAAGCTGGCAGGACCCACACTCTATTCTGGTGCTTGGATTCACCAGCGGGTAACATGAACAGGTTCAGCCAGGTCTGCCCCTTCACCTATGTCATAAGTATGATGGTGGGTATGTTCCTCTGGCTTGGTCTGGGTTGCTCCCTATCATGGTTCTTGTGCTCACCTGTAGGGACTGTGCTCCGACAGAGGAGTTTCCCAAGCTCCTCCATCAGCACCTCTCCCTATGCCAGATCTTGCGCGTACTGGTGGTTCCATGGACCAGCCTTACTTAATCCACCCCCTGTCCTGGTAAGAACAGTGGCCTTTCCTTGCTGGACTTCAGTCCATTCCAGTTCTTGGTGTTGGATGTTTCACCCCAGCCAAGGCTTGTCCATACCCAGACACTGCTCACACATGGCTCAGTAGGGGCAGAGACTCATCCTAGTTCGTCCTACATCTACCCAGATTCTCTGGAGCATCAGATGGTGCTGGCATCTAACCCACGTTGGTGCACCCAGCCCCAGTCCACACTTGTGCCAAAGGAGATTGCATCCATATCCAGACCAGAACACAGCCCCGACTCCAGCCCCACACTCTCCCGTGGGAATCCTAACCCAGCAAGGGTATACTCTCACAGCTCCCTAACCTAGTCTGTTCCCAACCCTAGATTGCACGCATGCCAGTGGTTGCTCTGACCCAGTTGGCTTAGCCCCTCACCTGTCTCAGCCTTTGCCTTCGATGCTGTGGCATAGTATCCCTGCCTCATGCAGACCAGTTGGTGTAAGAGCCTAGGTCAGAATGACCTGTGCTCCATCCTGATTTCTGTTCTTTTTTGTGAATTGAAGTTTGCTTGACCCTGCCCAGTCTGTCCCCCTCCAGTTGCAGCTCGGCCCACCCCACATCCTATTTTAGGATGCACTTAGGGTGGTGCTACCTTGACCTGCCCAGATTGCCATCGGTTCCTTTACCCATAAGTGATGGTAGGTGCCATGGTCACTCCTAGCTTATCCCATCGCCACCCCAGCTCGCAAGCTAACCTGAGGGACTTGTATTTCCACAGGGTTAGGCCCACACTTCCCCCACAGAGTCTACCCCTGGACCAAGTTCTCTCATGTGCTGGTTAGTGTCTTGACCCTGCCAAGTGTGACCAGTCCACTATTCCACCACCCAGTCAGGTAATGGTACCTAGCCCTGCCAGACAGGCCCCCATCCATAGCTTTGGAGTGGACTGGTGTGTGGCAGTCAGTGATGATCTATGCTAACAACCCATCTCAGGACTCCCATGTGGGCTGGTGAATCAGTCTGGCCCAAATAGATCTCATGGACACTCCCCTACAAGCCATCAGGTCCCAGTCCCCACGTAGTGGGGACACAAGTTTCATGACCCTGGTACTGGGAATCACCCAGAATTCATCTCTCACCTACACTAAATCTGGCCTTATTCATGGGTGTCCCTAGGCAGCAATTACATATCCTAAAAACCCGTGAGTTTGCCACCAGGCGGCCAGCAGGCAGAGCCTGGCACCACTTGGTGCACTGGCTCAAAGCAGTGGCTTTGGCTTGAGTTCCCAGCATTGGGTCCAGCCCAGCATGGGCACCCCCCACAGCCGCCACACTGCAGGGAGCTGCAGTCAGTTCTGACATTTCAATATGGCTATTATTTATGCATTCTCTTTCTTCACTGACTCTCTGTTGTCTTTACACATTTCAGCTGTATTCACAATGGCTCATGCAAGTTGTGGTTATTCTTTTTAATTAGGAATGCTTTACAACCCTGTCATGAAGTTCAACATCTGTATTATCTAGTATTGATACTTGTTGTTTGTTCTGGCATGAGTCTAACTTGTATGAGGCCAAGGAGAACCCAAGGAATCACTGCGCTCTCACCCCCTGGATCCCGTAGCTGCTGCCCAGCCTGCCTTTTCCTCTCCACCCTTTGAATCTGCCTCCAAGTCTTGTTTATGTAACGGTCATGGTTCCAGCTATACTCAACAGGAGACTAGGGAGAACTATTTCAATTTCCTTTTTCTGGATATAGGAATCAGGTGGCAGGCATCATCAAGACCTAGAAGAGGCACGTGGCTTTGTACTGTGGGTTATTCTAGAGACAGGAAGAAGCTGTTCTCAATAGGATCAGGGATGCCATTGGCTGGGGCAGGCTGGGCTGGGCAATGATGCTGAGGAGCAAGTCCCGAGAGCTGACAGGTGCCAGGGTACCAAAGCCACAGCTTGATGTTCCCTCTAAAATGACAGCTCTCTCATCACTGTGGTCACTCTTCATTTTCCCCATCCATCTTCTGTCAGCATTATTGGCCTTTGCTCCTTAGTATCAGAGAATGAAGATGAAGGAGAAGGCTGTGCAGTTTTCCTGGGGCCTCAGGAGAGGGAGAGAAATGCTGAAGGCTCATGCCAGGAGCAAGTTAGCCTTGATGAGTCTCCAGGAAGCCTGTGTTCTGGGAGCTGGGTGGAGAGGAGGCAGAGGCAGGGCCAGCAGTTGAAGTGTGAGCAGGAGGAGCTGGGTGGAGCAGAGCATGCCTCAGTTCAGCGCTCTGCTGCTTGGGTGGAGAGAAGCACTCTTGTGTGTGTTGGAAGCTGAGTGTGGCCTCTCAGCATAGCTCCATGCCATTCTGCTCCACTGAGTGCTCTGACTCTGCCAGCCTCCTGATACCAGGCACCTTCTCAGGGCCTCTCCCAGGGCTGGCACTGCCCCAGCTCATGGGGCTCTTCCTTCTGGTGATGCGCTATGGCTTCTTGGACCCTGAGCCCAGAGTTTCGAAAACATCAGACCCACTGGAGCAGAGAATGTCCCTCGTGTGGACCTCAGGGTGTTGAATCTAGCCTGCTGCTGCCCAGCCAAAAAGAGTGACTCAGCACCTACAACCGTGGAGCTTGGATGATGGGAAGCTCCTGACCACACTCAACTTGCTCTGTGACACACCTGCTTTGGGGCACTGATGATGGGAGGCCCCTTGGTACCTGGCTTTTCACCATATGGTGCCGAGTAGGGTCTGCTGGCCATGCAGAGCATGGGAGCCCTGGCTCTGGCTGGAGGGGCGGCAGTAAGTGGAAAATCAGCTCAGCCTGAAATCACCTTACTCGTTGTGGTCTCCAGTCCCTCCTACCTGAGCATGGCTCATCTGAGCTCTTATGCCCTGAAGTAGGAGGCAGTTTGAGGACTGTCCCTATAGTTGATGAAACAGCCCTGTTGTGAGTCAGGGCAGGACGCTGATCTGGGCAGCACCCTAGAGCTGGGGACACCTAAAGGAGGCAGGAAGAATGAGGGTACTAGGGCAGGAAGGGTTTGGAGCCGTGACATGAGCGAGCTGGACAGATACCCAGGTGTCTGGCATAAGACAGTTAGAGGGTGCAGGCAGGGGATGCTCAATTGTGCTTGGTGTGTACTGATTTTGCAATGTCTTGGATACAGCCAGCTGGTACCTAGAGCTCCATGCAGCAGTGTGGCTGGGGGCTGTGACAGAGCTGAGTGGGAGCCCCGGGCATGCAGTGTCCCAGGTGGGCTGGTAGAGCGGGATTTCTACCATTCTCAGTCCCAGTCTCAGACCCCGGGAATCATTGCTGAGTGCTGCTTCCTCTGGTTAGAGTCAGAAACACAAATGCAATGCAGAAGACAAGTGCATTCTTGTGCTACTATACAACCCCAGCGCCTCAGAATGGAATGCACTGGGGGAAGAAGGACCCCAAGGAGGCAGTGACAATAAACCATGATCCCTTCATCCTCAGGTTCTCTGTCTTCCATGAACACCCTGGTCATTTCCCAACTCGTGCACCTACCCGTTCCCAGTCCAGTACTCTGTGGGTCACTACTCTGGGACCTGATGGTTTTTTTCACAATGAGAAAGTCACCATGCCACTTCTTGCCTATTGTGAGCACCTGCTCATGAATGTCATGATGATTCTCCTGCAGTTTCTCTGTCAGACAGGATGGTCTGGGCATCCCTAGGGGGTCCTTGCTTCCTGGAGAAGAAAGTTGGGGACCAGGGAGATAAGGGGAAACTTACCTCCTCACACAGAAGCAGGACGGAGAGAAGGAAGTTGGAGACACTTTCCACTCCCTGCAGGCTGGGAAGCCAGAGGGCCTGGGAAAGAGTGCAGACAGAGAAGTGTGAGTACACATGTGGGCTTGTGTGCTTGCATCCCTCACCAGCGCCCTGCCTTTGTGGGGAAGCACTGTCCTGTTTTGTTCTCTGCCATATCCTCATGTGGCTCCAAAAGGATTGGAGGGAGGAAGGAAGAAAGGAAGGCAGCAAGGAAAGGGACAGGGGGAGGCAGAGAAAGATGGAGGATGGAGGAGGGAGGAGAATGGATGCAAGGAAGGAAGGAAGCAAGCAAGCAAAGAAGTGGAGGGAAGGAGGAAGGGATTGCTTTGTTCCTGAGTGGGTCTGGGTCTGAACCTCTTGCCCATGGAGCTACAAACCTTTGCCCTTTTCCTGTGAAGAAGCCACTCCATTCCTACCCCCTGCCCCCGGGAGTCTAGACAAGCCCTCCTGCTCCACCGGCCACACAAGTGTCCTCCGAGGAAGCCGACGCAGGTACAGGCAGCAGTGTGTGACTGGCAGTGCTAACGTGGTGGGTGGCTGCCTCGCTGAGGGCCTATGGGCAGCAGGCCACTGCCCGCTGTAGCCCTATAAAGGGTCCTGGGCCAGCAGACCTGGGCAGACAGCTGGCTTCTGAGCCTTCAGTCCAGGAAGGGGCCAGGAAAATGGCCCTGCTCCTGTGGCTCTGCAGCCTGCTGGGCTCGGCCTGTTTGGTGTCTGCCAACATCTTTGGTGAGTTCTGAGGCTGTGGGCCTGGGGCAGGGGTGGGGAGGGAGCTGCCCTGCTCAGGGTTCCCTTGTGCAGGAAGCACAGCCTCTGGTCAGGCTGCCTGAGAGGCTGGGTATGTGCTTTCTGCTTTTCAGGGATGTCAACTGAACTGCCTGAGGTCGCAGGACAAGTCACCGAGTGGAGGCAGGAAACCAGAGCTTCCTAATGGAATTGTGTGCCTCCTTCCCTCATTTTCTGGGCAGATTTTCTGGTATCCACTCTGGTAGCTTATCCACTTAGCTAACCCAAAGTCAACATCAGCTACGTGAGATCATATAATAAGTAAGCGGCAGAGAGTAGGAAAAAGAAGTTAACAACTATGAAGTGACATAGCCCCATTTTATTCTTGGCTCAGTCACTTACCTGGTGATTTGGAGCAAAGTGCCACACTTCTGTGTCTGCATCAAATAAGGAAGAAAGCTAGAAGGAAGGGCATTTAGTCCCGTGGCAAAGACCCTGCGGCCCTTACTGGAGTCTCTGGATTCCAGCCCCAGCTCCTACTTTCAGAGTCCTGCCAACACAGGTCCTAGCTGGCAGCAGGGATGGTGTCCTGTGCCTGTCGCTCTTGCGAGAGAGCTGGACCGTGACCATGGCCCACAGCTTTGGCCTGGCCTAGCCCCTGTTGGTGCTGGCATTTGGAAACCGAATCAGTAGAGGCCAGTTGTTGCTTTCTGCTTCTCAGATAAAAAGCAAATAACACGAGCTATGATTTCTAACATCTTGCAGGTTGTATCAGCTCTCACAGGAGAGTAGACACAAGTACAGGATTAATTCATATTCCCACCACGACGGGCAGGGGAAGCACTAAACCCAGGAGCAACATCCTCTTGGTGTGGGACAGAGGCCACAGCAGCCAGGAGGGGGACTCCCAGGGTTTCCTCTGGGATACTTGGCTTGTCTCAGCAGTAATGTCAGGCAGGTGTGTCTGGTGCCATGTGGGTGGCCTCCTGGGGAGCATGCTGAAAGAGCTGAAAGAGCTTAGAGAAGAGTGATTTGCCGCCACACTGTGAGAGCAGACGGTGGGGATGCCCGGTGGCCCTCCGTGCTGAGGGTCCACCTGGGTGCTCGGCCCTGACAGTAGCTGGCCTTTTCCGTCACAGAGTACCAGGTGGACGCCCAGCCGCTCCGCCCATGCGAGCAGCAGAGGGAAAGCGCCTTTGCGGCTGGAGCTGAATATGTTCCGCAGTGCTCTGAGGACGGCAGCTTCAGGTAGGGTGCTTGCTCTGAGACTCCGGGTCAGGTTCATGTCCACACCGGGCTCAGATGCCCACCTCACTCCTTGCAACCAGGAGACGTGGCCCCTGTCATTCGGAAGGCGCCCCCTGGCAGTCCTCTGGCTGAGGAGTGCTGGACAAGTGCCTAAGTCTCAGTCCCCACCCCATCCTCCCTGGACCACTGACTGCTGCCACCTCTGCATGACTGCTTTTGCAAAAGGGTGTGTTGGGGTGGGGAAGGGTGCCTGCCACTCTGTCCGTGTCTTCCGGGGCAGTTGCAGGTGACTGGCCATGCAGGCCCCCAGCTGCTGACCCCACCCTGACTGTTTTCTGGTCTCCCTCTGGGCTCCCTAACGAGAGGGGCTCAGTGCACCCCTAAGCACTGGTCTAAACCTTGCTTCTGCACCACGGGCAGGAGCAACCTAGACCTGGGTGGGCAGTATGAGGGCACACCCTGGCCTGCTGAAGTCCCGAAAGGTTAGGGAGCCCACCATTACCACTGTGATCTTGGAGCCATCTGAGGCATCCCTCTTATACCTCAATACTTCCAAGAGTGCAAAGTCATGGCCAGCCTGGTTCCACAAGTGACCAGGAAGGGGTTCGCCTTGTCAGTGTCCTCTGTGCTTGTCCCCCATGTTTCTTACTGCAGTCCCATGCAGAGCCAAGTCCAGCCAGCGCTCAGATGACTCCATGGTGCTGTCCCCTAACCTGCATGCACCTGCCACCTACTCCCCTGCGGAGCCCACCCAGATCTGGCCACTTGCTCCCCCACTTAACCTTCACCCCAGACCTTCCTGAGGCAACCCAAAGAGGGCATCGCCTTAACTCTCTGCAGCCCTGGAACAATAGAAGGCACCTGCTGGGTGAAGGTGCCCCTGGCACCCCTGGGCTGGCACTTACTGTAAGACAGGCAGCCCAGAAGCGTGAAGGGTGGATGCCAGAATCAGGGAGGCTGCAGGTGTCAGCAATGAAGGAGGAGTGAGGTCTCTCCTTCCCCAAGACATCCATGCCTCTCTCCTGCACTCTCTCATTCAAATGGAGGGATGGGAGAGGAGGGAGGTTCCCTGGTGGGAGCCTGCCTGAGGCCCTGGGAGCTCAACAGAGCAATGTCACCTGCTGGGACTCTCCTCCCTAGGCCCATCCAGTGCCGGAACGATGGCCAATCCTGCTGGTGTGTGGATGCTGAGGGCACAGAAGTGCCAGGCAGCAGGCAGCCAAGGAGGCCGGTGGCTTGTGAGTATGGGGGTGGCATGGTGGGAATGAGCAATGGCCTTGGGCAGTGCCACGACGCCCCTCCCATCTCCAACAATGCTGCTGGCTCTCAGCATGCCCCGTGTGAACACGAGGTACGAGGTGCGAGGTGCAGAGGCTCCTTCAGCAAACAGCACCGGAGCTCCTCCCGCCCCTCCCTCCACCCCACTCCAAACAAGCCAGCATTTCCTGGTGTGTGATGAGAGACCGGGGATGGTTCCAAAATTTGGGACTTGGCTAAAGACCTTCCAGGTAAAATGATAATTATGGTGCATGATCAAAGAAGGAAGTGTCCCCATTGGAAGCAAATTATCACCCTGAAACAAATGCCAGTTGGTACCCATTCTCATAACACAGTGCAAAACAGAGGGATCCAAACACTAATGGTGTCCTTTAGGGTGTCAGGGCTCTGGTTTGGGTGCTGATTTTCAGAGGTTGGCCTGGTGGCTTTGGGATTAATTAGGCAGCTCCTCACCCTCGCTGGCTACATGGACTTGGCCATGTCACTCACACAGCCTCACTGAGCTGGGAGTGACCACTCCTTGGTGCTGCTGGGAGGACCCTGCAAGTGAGGATAAAAGCACACAGTAGGTGGGCAGGAGGCAGTGACTGCGCACATCACTGTGCTGCCCTGGACTCCACAGATTGGACAGAGAGGCCCAGGGCAGTGAAGCAGCTTCCCCAATGTCACACGGCGAGCAGGTGCGGACAGCTCTGCTAAGCCCAGGCCTGCACTGCCCTGCACTTTCCTTCTGCTGCACCAGCATTATAGGAGTGCAGGTGATGGGTGTGGTGCTGGTGGGACCAGCCTTCACTGCGCCCGCTGAGTCGCCTGGTGGCCTGGGCACCAGCCCTTCCCTCCCAGCCAGATCCCTCTAGGGACATGCGTCCTGCCAGCCTCCATGTCGCACCCCTCTGATGCTGCTCTTTGTCATCCTCAGGCCTGTCCTTCTGTCAGCTGCAGAGGCAGCAGATCCTGCTGAGCGGATACCTTAACAGCACGGCCACAGCCTACCTCCCTCAGTGCCTGTCTTCCGGGGACTATGCACCTGTCCAGTGTGACGTGTGGCAGGCACAGTGCTGGTGTGTGGACGCAGAGGGCATGGAGGTGTACGGGACGCGCCAGCTGGGCCAGCCCACGCGATGTGAGTGTCTGGGGCTGCCAGCTACCACTAGGATTGGCATATAGCTGTCCTCAGGGCCAAGCAGCAGGGTCAGGGCTCCCTGGCTGTATGTGGCCCCAAGTCAGGAAAGGCAAAGGCTATGGAGGTAGGTCTCTTCCTTGTGGTGCTTCCAGGCGGTGGACGCTGGACCTCCACTGGCTGTTCCTTAGAATGCCAGGGGATTGGATGCTGAGGTTTACCCACCTCCTTCCTGTTACAGTTCTTGGGCACTCCTGAGGTCCTGAAGTGTCCCACGTGCAGGGGACACACATGCACTTCTCTGCAGAGGGTAGGCACCTGCTCCTATCTGGGTCTAAACATCTGTCATGAAATTATTTAGGTCCAAGGAACTGTGAAATAAGAAGCCGCCGTCTGCTCCATGGGGTGGGGGACAAGACACCCCCACAGTGTTCAGCAGACGGCGAGTTCCTGCCTGTCCAGTGCAAGTTCGTCAACACCACGGACCTGATGATTTTTGATCTGGTCCACAGCTACAACAGGTAAGGGGAGCCAGCTGGTGGAGTGTGCCCACTGCTGGACCATGCAGCTGCCAGGGCCCATGCCCACCTTGGGAACTCCTGCTGTCGCTGACATGGTGTGGTGAGGGGTTAGGGTGCTTCACTCCTATGCCTCTGCTGGACCTCTGTCGCATCCCTCACAGAGCTGTCCTGGCTGTTAGGAAGAAAAATACAGGAGCTCGATGGACCTTCTGGCCTAGCCAGCCCCTGCAAGTGAGAATAGGGTCCACAGCAGCATCATTCCCTATGGCCGACAGGTGCGTAGCAAAGTGGCTGATGCGGCAAAGGTCGATGGCAGAATCCACATATCTATGTTGCCTCTGCAGAGAATGCAGCAGAGCCAGCAAAGTTAACCTGGAGAGGATTCCACAGCCTAGAATGCTAACAGGATGCAAGCTGCAAAGTCCAGGTGACACAGGCCTCATAGCTCGTTCAGACGCAATCAAAGGATGCCGACATGGCTGGGATTGTGCTGGGTGTGGTTAGAAAGGCAGTGACAAGGGCAGAGGGTGTTATCAGTGAGCATGTGCTGTGCTAGTATCCTGGGCTACTCTGGGAGTCAGGGGTCCCCGGGGATGCAGGGGGAGTCGGGCGGAGATCATACAGCAGAAATGATCATTGTATGAGCCTTGTGCATATCCCGTGTCTGAACTTTGGGCACTCCTGAGGTCCATGGGTGAAGAGCTTTGGAGATATAAATGGCAGCAGTACAGAGTGGAGTCATGTGAAAGAGCGCAGTGTCCGGAGCCGGGTGGCACGTGGCTCTGCTCACTGACAGCAGAGGGCCCTGCAAGACTTCAGGTACAACTCAAGCATCGGGATAGGAAAGCCAGGATGTAAGTCGGTATCCACTGACGAAAATTCTCTTGGAGGCTTTGTGTGGCTGTGGCTGGCTTCCAGATCAAGCAGGAAGTTTCCAGGGTCTGCTGGGCGGGGGGGGGGCACCTCCTGGCAGCCCACCTCAGAAATGCCCCCTCCCAAGCTGTGTTGGAGCTAAGGTTTCAAAAATGCAGAATGTGCACTAGCGTGTACCCTGGGACAGTTCTGGTTTTGTAGATCGATTCATAGTTGACCCATCAGCAGTTTCTCAAGTTCAACCTCACACACAGGTTGCTGAGTTCCCAACATGAAAGGACAAGGCTTGGAGCTCGTCCGCAGCCACGCACAACAGCAGCGAGCCAGGCCCAAGCTGCTCCAAGGGCACCTCCTTTCTCTGCCCTCTGCTGCCGGCCCCTGCCTTGGCACCGCTTTGGTGGCCTGTACTGGGCCTCTGCGCTCTGCCCGCCCAAGCCTCAGTGTGCTCATCTGTGAAGTGGGGGCCACAAAGGAGAACTGAGAAAAGCTCGTGTAAGAAACTGATGCAAAGCCACAACAGTGGACATTTCATGAGCCTGCTGGGCATTCTTGCACAGCACCCAGTTTCAGCAAGTGCAGCGCGGACCTGGTTTAGTGTGTGCACATACAGATTCTCGTCTGCTTTATCCAGTTTTGAACCTGATGGCATCTTCAGCGCAGGTTTTTTTAAAGAAGATTTATTTATTTCTCCTTGAAAGTGAGAGTTACAGAGAGAGGTGGGGTCTGAGAAAGAGGAAGGAGAGATTTTCCATTTGCTGGCTCACTCTCCAAATGGCTGCCAGGGCCAGAGCTGGGCCAGCCTGAAGCTGGGTGCTTTGTCTGGGTCTATATGTGAGTACATTAAACACTTGAGCTATCCTCTGCTGCCTTCCCAGGCCATTAGCAGAGCACTGCATTGGAGATGGAGTGGCCAAGATATGAACTGGAGCCCACATGGGATATTGGTGCTGCAGGTACAAGATTAGCATACTATATGCCGCCATGCCAGCTCAAGTGCTAATGAGTGGGCACTAAAGCTTTCTGGATTCTCTTAGTGTTTTATTCTTACCACTTTCGCATTGCCCTCATCTCTGTCACCCCAAGCACATAGCACTGCTTCTTGTGCACAATAGTTTGACTATCAGTGTTAACTGAGTAAGTAGTTGTGTCCAGGCACTTGAGGGGGTTAAAACCTTGAGGTTGAGGTGCACTTCATAGATTCTTCCACAGGAGGGCAGTCGCGTCAAAGGCAAACGCTTGGAAATAAGGGTTCATTGTATAAAGCAAACCAAAAAATTCACTCCTGAAATGGGATCCTTACTTTTTTTGTAAGCAAGCAAGCCTTACGGCATATTACAGCGTTGGAAGCAGTACGTGGGTGGCTACTGGAAGTGCAGTGTAATCAGGGTTTTTCTGATATTTATGTTGAACTGGGCAGTCCCAGGCCCAGGGCTTCCAGCCAACAGTGGATGGCATCATGTGAAGGGTCTTCCTGCTGACACTTGCCAGGTCAGACACAGGACATTTGTGTTTCAGACAGACAAGGATTGCTTTGTGTGTGTATCTCCATTAGTGCCGCTGGGGTGGGGGTTGTCCTGATCAGCCTCAAACTTGGATTTCACAAAAAGTAAGCCTGCTAAGAGAGGGGTAGCTGTGTGGGTGCTCGGAAGCTGCTGCACTGGTCCCAGGAGGGCAGAGGCTGCCTGGCACCGGGGGCGGGGATGGAGGGTGTGGCTAGAGGAGTGTTTCTCGAGTGGAACCCCCAGAACCCGGTGGAGTAATGCAGTGGTGGGTGAGGGGGCAAGAGGCAAGGAGAGCAGCCAGGACTGCCTTCTAGATCAAGGTTAAGGACGTTTGGAAAGTTAGACATGTGGAATCTGAGAGGATTTCTTTGGAAATCCCAGGGGAGAAGTGGAGAAAGGCCTCCGACTTCTTCCTGTGGGGCCACGGGAGGTTGGGGGCCTGCTGGCAGCTCATCTGTCAAGCCACTGGGGGTCTCGGCTCGCTAGGTGCTGATTTGCACTTGATCTTGGCTGCAGCACTGGCTCGTTTGGAGAGGGTCCTGTTGCCCCTTGCGGAAGGCCCCTGCTTACCATGGCTACTTGCCTGGTGATGCTAACAAACCAACATGAAGGGATGGGCAGTGAGTCAGTTTGATTGACCCTTGTCCTTAAGTGACCAGGCTCACTCCCGCGTGCTCCCTCGCAGCCTGCTCGCCAGCCTGTCCAGCGGGAGGCTCCTGTGCGTCTTATTCTGTGGCCAGGTGTCATGATAGCAGGGACACGAAGGGACAGTCGTGCAGCAGGCACTCCTCCCTTAAGGAGCACCATCTCCAGTGCCGGCCAGTCAACCCTGCTGTTCTTCAGTGGGTGGATGGTTCACATTTTGGGAGGACTGCTCGTGTGACAGATCGCTGCAGTGTCACCACCTGAACACAGAGGCAGTCGCGCTGGTCGGCCAGTGGGTAGGACCAGGTGCCTGGTGGTACGGGGGTGGCAGGGTGGGAATCTAGCATTTCCTGTTCCGCTGAGCTTATTTGTAACTTCCCTAAAGCCAGATTGGCCACTCTCACCACTCTCCTCAGATTCCAGAACATTCTTGGGGATTTTTCTGTGATCACCCTGAGATTTTGCTTTGTAGACAATGAAAAGGCAAAATGTTCTTTTCCATCAGCTGAAATCAAATTATTTTTATTTTAAAATATTTCACTGAGGGTCTCTTCCCGCTTCATTCTGATACATCCCAAATAGCTCCATGGTGGCAAGGAGGGGGAATCACAACTTAGACAAAGTGAGATGAGAAGAGAGGGAGACGTCCAGGCTGAGACGGGTCCCGATCCAGCGTTAGAATGAGCGCAGGGGGTGCGTGTTCGGCCCTGGGCTTCCTGCAGTCACAGAGAAGACACTCCGAGTAGGCTTGCACCTGACAGAGAGCACAACTTCTACTGAAGATGGGAGGAGCACCACAATGGAGAGAATGACTTAGAGGGGAAGTAGTGCCAGAGGGCACTGTGGGGCTTGGCAGTGGGCTGCTGCCACCCAGGGCACTGCCTTCCTGAGGTGCGTGGGGGAAGCATGGCGAGGGGGCATATTCAGGGCTCCTCCAAGACCCAGTCTCTTGGGTCCTGGCATTCTCTGCCACACTTGCAGAAGGGGTCTTCAGAAAGTTTGTGGAGGAAATGAGGGTTAGGAAGAAATTACGCATGGGATTTAAAAATATTCTGCACCAAAATAGCCTTATCTCTGAGTTGCATCTTCTATGCCCTTTGCAGCCCCTTGAGTCCCTCTGTGACTGCAGACTATCTTGGCTTTCGCTTCCACCTGCACGTGGGCTTCTGTCCTGTTCTGCATCGTGGAAGCCCTTGAATAGTCCCTCTAGACCAAGGCTTTCCTTTCCTCTCTCTCTCTCTCTCCCTCTCTCTCTCTCTCTCTCTCTCTCTCTCCCTGCCCCATTATCGTTCTCAGCTTTAGGATCCCAAAGTCTCCTCTTCCAGAAGCATCCTTTGACCAGGAACAGTTAGGCAGCCCCAGCATGAGCCAGGATGGAGTCAGAGACTTCTGGTACAGGACAGTGGGCTCAGGAACACTGAGCCCTGGTCCTGATGGGGCAGCTTGACCCAGTCACACCACCATTGTCCAAATCCCATTTTTCCTCACTTGTCCAATGGAGCCTTTTAAAGGATTATTGTGAGAAGTAGATGGACTAAGACGTGGAGAGCATTCGGCACAGTGTTTCTCAAGCAGCTCACCTTGTTACTGTTATGAGCAGTGAGAAGCAGGGGCCATCCCCTGGCAGGATTAGAGCCAGGCTGTGTCTGCCACAGGTCCTTAGCTCTGCTCACCACACAGAGGACTGGCAAGGAGCGCTGAACGGTAAGAACTCGTGCCTGCCCCAGAGGCGAGCAGCAGACAGGCCTGGGCTCTGAGAGGTGGTACTTCCTGTAGGGTGGTCTCCCTGGGAGGGTGAGAGGACCCTCCTGCTGGCTGAAGTCCAGGGGAGCTCCAGCCTGCAGGAGGAAGGCATCTACAGTGAGGCCTACGGGGACCGCACTGCTGTCTCCCAACCCAAGCGAAGGCCTCTGACTGTGACGTGGTGGGAGTAAGGTGGCTCTGAGACCCTGAAGGCCATGTCTTCCCTGAGCCAAGATGACGAGGGTGAACTGGCAGGGTGGAAATGGTTTACATTTCTTGCTCCTCAGTCTGGAATGGGTTTCAGACCAGCTAGGGGTCTGGACAATGTATCTATGCAGACATGTGAATTCAGCACTGTTTACATGCCAGGAAAACGAGGTGTTGGAAATGCAGACAAGATGTTGGAACAGTCACATGCGGCTCAGGCTGAGAGGCAGAGCAGGTGCAGCCAGACACGTGTCAGACAGCACCAGTGAGAGCTGTCAGCTGGTGGGGAAGGCCCGGCCATGACGTCACTTCTCACTACCGGTTGAGGGGGCTGACCCACGTGCTTCACCTGAATCTCTGAAATAGAGACAGAAGTAATAGCAGCTTCCTTTTAGGGTGCAAAGTGCCAAGTGTGTCAACTACAATTCACATTTTGTAGGTAGCCTTTGCAGAATAGAAGTCAGTAAATGGAAGACTCTGTTATTAACACTTTGAGAACTGAATTTCCAGGTTCCATTGAGTGAAATTTTATTACATACACCCTGTGCACTGGGCAAAGTTTCCATTCTACAGCTCAATTACTATAACATTCTTTTGATGAATTGATTTAAAGGCAGAGTGACAGAGAAAGACGGAGGAATCCTATCCATCGATTCACTTCCCAGGTGCCCACATTTGCCCACCAAGTCGAAGCCTTGAACCTCTTCTGGGTCTCTCACGTGGCTGGCAGTGAACACAAACACCATCATGTGTCACCTCCTGAGTTGCATCAGTAGGAAGCTGACTTGAAAATAGAGTAGCTGTACTCAGATATGGGGTACCGACACCTACTGGTGGCTTTACATGCTGCGCCACAATGTTCACTATCAACCATATGCAAGTAACAACAGAGTAATAGAACAGAAAAAAAACCATTCATAATCCTATATTCTTTCACAGCTTTTGCACACTGATTTTCATCGCATTAACTAGCACTTGTTGTACTGGTGTGTCGGGGCTGAGGTTGCTGCAGTGGTATGTGTTGCTGCCTTCCAGTAATGGCTTCTCCAGCCGTCAGTGTGGTGTGTGTCCATGCTGTGTCATAAGGGTCTTCAACAGCAGGTGGAAAACAGGGAGCTATAGGATGCAGATTTTTGTTTTTAAAATGTAGAAATTCTTTCTAGAATGCTTGTGATGCAGAGGGAGGAAGACAGAGTGGTTCTGATGAATGCGTTCCTTCCCTGGATGGCTGTGATGGCTGCTGCTGATGGGGGTCGGAGCCAGGAGCTGAACACCCAACCCAGGTGGCAGGAACCTGTCGTCAATGGTCCCCGCTGCTTCCCTGGGTTTACAGTAGCAGGAAGCTGGAGTCAGGAGCCAGAGACAGGGATTGAACCCAGGCACCGTGCCGGGGGCGTAGCTCACCTGCTAGGCCAAATGTCTATCTCAATGAAAACGTTTTTGGAATTCATGCAGGTTTTTTTTATAAAATGCATTTTTCATGAACTTTGTGAGACTTCCTCATATGTATCAATTTCAATTTTTTTGGCAGCAAACCAAACTTATCTTTTAAGTCCATTTCTGAATTTTCCTACCATGTTATACATACTCCCTTTTGAGTAGAGCTTATAATTATCATCAACTGTAGCATTCCATTTCATTTACGAAATTTATTATCGCTTCTTGTTGGACAGTCATGTTGTTTTGAGCAGCTTTAAGATATTACACAGCTGTAAGCAATGGGAGTTGAAAGCTGCAGCTTCTGCTGGCTTGCTGTTTAGGGGTACATTTCTGGGTCAAGGCAAAGAACTCTTTGTGTCCAGGCCTCCTGTACTGGCAAATGGGGCTGAAAGCAGGTCTGTCTGTGTCCAGGGGAAATACTCCTTGCTTATTGCTGAATGCCTGCACATGGAGAGGACTCCCTAGGGTGGTCCCGTGGACCCCTGCTTTCCATCGCTTCCAGGATGGGGAACCCAGCCAGTGTGCTCTGCAGCAGTTGCAGGTCACATGTGGTTAAGGAAGAAATTTCTTTATTGTATGAAAAAGTGAGGTGTGACTCTTATAAGTCACACTGTGATGATTTTTGTGACTTTTCAACTCTGGCTCTAGACAGTTTCCCGTGGAAGGATATCCTGTAGTGGGGGCTTAGGCTTCTGTCGCTGGCAGAAGGCCCCGAAAGCCTTTGAGCTTGAGCTCCCCAAAGGAGAGTGTCTCTGTTATGTCATGTGATTGTGACGGAAAGCCGGCCTTTGGTCCCTCAGCAAAGGGAGTGGATGAGGTTGACGTGATGCTCATTCCATGAGATACACACATGGGCATCGATGGACCAAATGTCATGACTGAGCACAGGAGCTCAGTAGATGGTGGCTCAGCGTAGCTTTATCCTGCAAGATCCAGCCCAGCTGTGCCCTGGAAAAAGCAGGAAGAGTGGAGCAAAGGACAGGAGCCTGCAACTGAGGGCTTGGCCATGGTCAAGTCTACGGGAAGAGCTTGCTATGGCTTGTCTGAGATGTTACCACAAATCTCCTCCTCAGGTTCCCAGAGGCCTTTGTGACCTTCAGTTCCTTGAGGAACAGGTTCCCCGAGGTGTCTGGGTATTGTTACTGTGCTGACAGCCAAGGGCGCGAACTTGCTGAAACAGGTGAGTAAACCCATCTCTGCAGTCTGCAAACGGGGAAGGAACCATTTGTTGCATGTGAAAGCCAAGATAACCTTACTTGAGAAGCAGAAATCACAAATGTCTACGTGGAGACCCCTGCAGGCTACTGTGATCACTGCAGGGGAGATGTCCTTAGCCTGTTTCCTGTTAAGGGGCACTCCCATCTGGGCAGACGTAGACACAACGAAGCATGGATTTCAGTGTTTGTAGGGGTGCTCCTTTGTGCTGTGAACCACCTGTACGGCCACATAGCCAGCTGCCCTGACGCTGGGAGATGTGCCAAGATTGCTCGGACCTGGTACATAGCAGTGGCAGTGAAGGCTCTGTGCCTCTCGCTACCTGTTCACATTGCGTCCTTCCAAACCTGCCCATCCCTGACATGGTGACTCTCTTTGCCCAGGTTTGGAGTTGTTACTGGATGAAATTTATGACACTATTTTTGCTGGCCTGAACCCTGCTTCCACCTTCACCGAAACCACCCTGTACCGGATCCTGCAGAGGCGCTTCTTGGCTGTGCGGTTTATGGTCTCTGGCAGGTTCCGATGTGAGTACCGTGCTGCCATCCCCTGATGCCTCCGGGGGGTTCAAGCCACTGCGTTCACGTGGCTCTTCCACTAGTGGGAGTCTAAGACTTCTAGACATCTGAACAGCAAACAGCAGAGCATGCTGGGAACACACTAGAGCCATTCACCCATTGTTTTCTCCTTCTAGGTCCTTCAAGATGTGAAGTGGAGCGGTTTACAGCAGCCAACTTTGGGCATTCCTACATTCCCAGCTGTCGCCAAAATGGGGACTACCAGGAAGTACAGTGCGAGACTGAAGGGCCTTGCTGGTGTGTGGACACCCAGGGGAAGGAGCGCCTGGGCACTCGGCGCCAAGGGGAGCCGCCATATTGTGGTGGGTTGCTGTCTGGGGCTTCTGCTCGTCTTTTGTCCAATTTTGCTCTATTTCTCCACCCCAGTCCCTGGAGAACTCCCCAGATCAGCGGTTGACCCAGTGTACCCCACAAGTCTTTGCAACTCCAGGGGACTGGAAATCTATTCACTGTTGCTGGTTTCCAACATGTTTCTTGTCTCCTGTCAGGCATGGTTGATTCCTCAGGGAGATCAGGAAATACTAGGAGCTTAGAACGGGAGCAAGGGAAAAGAGAATTCAGTGTCTGTGTGCCACGGGTGAAAGGTGAGCAGATAACTGGATGTGGTAGAGGGAGAGAGGGGTGCCCGGTTTGTAGTGCAATGTGCTTGAGAAGGGGCCGTTGCAGAAATTCATGCAAGAAGCCACATTTGATCCACGTCTTCTAAAATGAAGCTGCTTCCTGAGGTGGGAAGTAGGTTAACGACAGAGACAGAGAGAGTAACAAAAATAGGTGCTAACACAAATAATAGGTGTGCAGGTGGGCACTAAATCTTGAGGATGGTAGAGGAAAAATAAACTCAAGTGTGGTCCAGGGTGCTTTGAGGGAAGGCAGAGGGCAGTGAGTCTTTCTGATAACAAGGGCTCTGAAGCTTCCTCCTGTGTGTGAGGGAACAACATCAAGATGTTTGAAGCTGGGAAGTACCAGGATGCGTTTTGGAGGAGATGACAAAGGAGTGGTCGGTGAACGCCGATCAGAAGGATCATCACCACCATGTCCTCAAGAGGGATGCTAGGGACCTTTCCAGACGCACAGCCTAAAGCAATGAAAGTGCACTTTCTCACGGATCTGGGGTCGGCAATCCAAAATCCAGCTGTCAGCTCCAATGCCATGACTCCCCTGAGGACTCTGGAAGGGGGGCTGCTTGCCCTTTCCTAGCTTGTTGTGGCTGCCAGCAATCCTCGGTGAGCTTTGATGATGGCCACGCAGCTCCAGTCTTTGTCCCCATTGTCATGGGGTCTCTTTCTTGCCTCTGTGTCTGCCTCTAGGTGTCTTCTACTTACCGTAGTAGTAGTCATGTTGGTTTAAGCACCACCCACCCTCCATCCACCATGCCCTTAGTTTAACTGATTCTATCTAAAACAAAGCCTTTGCCAAGTAAGGGTACATTTTGTGGTTTCAGGAAGGATGTAAATTTCAAGAGGACCATTCAGCCTAGGGTCTGATATTAAGAATATAGGGAGATGGATGTGACCTTGAAAACTCTTTTTACCACACAGCTGGGGAAGGATGAGGGAGAGTGAAAAAAATCTAGGAGCTCTCATGGACTTCCAACGTACCTAAGCTGGCTAGATTTAGAAAGACCTGGAACCGGGAGGAGGAATACAGGTGTTTTTATAGTTGTAAAGTAGTATGTACTAGTGTTCGTTCCGTAATTCCTTTATATCATTCAATATCTGCAACTTAACATTTTGACTGTTTTGCATGGTGATTGGCAGGGGTCCTTCTATGTATAAGGAGGCTGAGAACCAAATTATGAAGCCCTGCCCTGAGGATATTTGCAATCATGTTTCAGCTCCGGTAAAACCTAGAGAGTATTGAGCCCTATAAATTCTGGAAACAAAACAAACAAATAAAACAAAAAAAACCATGGCTTGGAGTTATAAACATCATTACCATCTGAGGCATGGCGGGCCATAGACATTGAGTTTTATTTTCTAGTGCAGCAGTCCTATTTCTGTGGAAATAACTGCCACATGGAAATTCTGTATGGAAGGAGGAGACTCTCGATTGGGAATGAGAGCAAGCGCAGCAGTGGGCTGCATTTCTTCCCCACCTCCCTGTAGTTTCCATTAGAGGAACCCGTGCCCTGCGAGAGGGATGTGTTACACCAAGTGAGGCTGCCAGGCTTTTCCCTCCCCTCACTATACGTTCCAGTTCTTTCTCTGTTGCCTGGTGACAGAGGGAAATTGGCTAACTTCCTTCTTGGCATTCATATACATCAAGAGGAAAGAATTATCTGAAAAAGTTGAGGTTGGGATGGGTAGTTTGAAAGATCAGTTAAGATGTGTGGTTTTAGGAAGAGACCTGGAGTTTGCTTATTTCCACTTGTGGACTGAAATGGCCAGTGGACCTTTGGAATGTATATTGTCCAGATAAGGAGAGTCAGGCTTGGATGCTACACGGAATAACATGATTTCATATGGTTGCTCCCTGTTTAAGAAAATCACACTGTGTTCTGTCTTACTAGCAGCTGGCACAGGCTTCTAGCTCATGTGAGCGGGCTATATTCAGAAGGATTTGAAACCACGAGAGAGGGAAACAGGCCTTTTTATATCTTTTTAAAACATTTTTAAAAGTATTCTTTAACAATATTCAATGTTATTTGTAAATATACGTCTAAGAACATAACATTCTTCTTTTTCCAACCCCCCTTTTGTTCTCCCTTTCTCCTTTTTTTTTCTCTTTAAACTTATGTTAGTTTTACACGACTAAAAGTCTCACTATGTCACTGAGTAAGAATTTTAACAACCACAAATCAAAAAGACCTTAGTTTAGTGAGAATATAGAAAATGAGTATAAAGAATAATGGAATAGAAAATGATGAGTTCACCCATATACAGTGAATTATAATATTATCTCAGATCATTAAAACTATACTGATTTTTTTATTTAAAAAAATTATTTTTTCCTTGAAAGAGTTAAAGAGAGGGGTGGGGGGAGGGGAGAGAAAGAGATAGAGATCTTCTGTCTGCTGGTTCTCTCCCTATATGCTTGCAGTGACCAGAGCTGGGTTGGTCCAAAGCTGGGACCCAGCAACTTCCTGGGGATCTACTGCACTTGGGTACAGGAGCCCATGGCCTTGGCCCATCCTGTGCTGCTTTCCCAAACCATCAGCAGGGCGATGAATCAGAAATGGAGCAGCCAGAACTGAAATCAGTGTCCGTATGGGATGCTGGCACCACAGGCTCAGTATTAGCATGCTCTAACATTACGCCAACCCCTGTAATGTAACATTCTTAACCACTACTGAAAATAGTATGAACTAACATTCATTCTGTGATTCCAAGAAAAAGTCAAGAATCCCAAGAGAATGTGCTAAGTATGTTTACCATGTAGGCATCATGTTTTAATCTTGTAGGTAACACACTACTTTCTATAATACTCTATTTTATATCTCAGTCTAGGAAAATATGCCCTTGTATTCAAAACACAAATAGCACAGGAGGTTTGATTATTGTGTTCAGAGATGTACAAACTTATTAAACAAAGATAATACAAGCTAGTTCGCCTAAGAGACTGTAAGCTGGCTAATCTAGACAAGACCACAGGCAAGGACAAGGCAAGCACAGGGTAAATATGGGCAGTAAGACCCATGAAGCATTCCAATAGGAAGGCGCAGGAAAGCAGCCTGGCCTTGCATTCAGACAGGAATTCGCTGGTGGACTGGTCCCGAGCATACTACCTGGGCAGTTGAAGGCAGCAGCGGCCCTCCCTGACCCAACCCTGCTGAAGTGCAGGTATCTGCAGGTTTCACTCTCCAGGGAAAGGTCTCTGTGGCCCTTCACCAGCTTCTAATGGTTGCTGGCAAAGCCTTGGGGCTCCTTGCCTTGTGGCTGGGCCTCTGTCCTAGCATAGCCTTCTCCCAGGCATCTTTCTGTGCCTTCACGTGATCTTCTAATGAGAACATCAGTGTTAGCCTCAGAGTCCACTTGAACCTGCTCACTGTCTCAGTTCCATCATACCTCAAAGACTCCACTTCCAAATAAGCTCACGCTCTCAGGTCCTGAGTACCCCTGAATCTTTTTTTTTTCAGGGCAGGGGGAAGATGGGCACTATTGAACCCAGCACTTTTGAACCTGCAAATGCAATCAGATTTCCCCACAGTGGGCCAGTGGCCATGAGACTTGCTTTAGGAAGAGGTTAACATCTCTTGAAAGCAGAGAGAAGAGTCATGCCCACTGTAGCAAGCATTCCGTGGAAGAGGTCCCTAACAGGGCAGGGTAAAGGGAAAGGAAGTGATGGAAGGATACAGCAGGAAAGTTGTCCACACTGTAGGTGGTCCTGGTGGGATTTGGGGGAAGACATGCCTCAGGATTGCCTGTGATGTGAAACCCCTTCTCGTACTGTGCTTCATTTTATGCAGCTGACAACCTGTCTTGTGCCTCCGAAAGGCAGCAGGCCTTGTCTAGACTCTACTTTGGGACACCAGGCTACTTCACCCAGCGCAACTTGTACTCCACACTGGAGGAAAGACAGGATCCTCTGGGAGTGGCCAACTTTGGCACAGCCTGCTCACCCACGATCAAGGGGCTGTTTGTGGACTCTGGGCTGCTCCGCCCCTTAGTGGAAGGGCAGGGGCCAGCGTTCGCCACCACAGTGACTCTCCTCAAAGATGCCATCAGAGCCATTTTTCCCTCCCGAGCGCTGGCTCGCCTTGCCCTTCAGTTTACCACCAATCCAAAGCGACTGCAGCAAAACCTCTTTGGAGGGAAGTTTTTGGTGAATCTTGGCCAGTTTAACATGTCTGGAGCTCTTGGCACCAGAGGCACTTTCAACTTCAATCAGTTTTTCCAGCAACTTGGCCTCCCAGGCTTCCAAAATGGAGGGACTACCTTCGACTCCCGTCCCACCACAGGACCTCCCATCACCTTTCAACAGGGTGTTGCTATGAATAAGCCTATTGTGGGCAGCTTTGGCTTGGAAGTCAACCTGGAAGAGAACCAATATGCCCTGAGCTTCCTTTCTTCTCTCCTGGAGCTTCCCGAGTTCCTTATCTTCTTGCAGCATGCTATTTCAGTGCCAGAAGACATAGCTGTGGATTTAGGAGATGTGATGGAAATGGTACTCAGCAACCAAACCTGCAAGGAGACACCTGGGAGGCTTTTTGTCCCATCGTGTACAACAGAAGGAAGCTATGAGGATGTCCAGTGCTTTTCTGGAGAGTGCTGGTGTGTAGACTCCTGGGGCAAAGAACTTCCTGGCTCCAGAGTGACAGGTGGGCAGCCAAGGTGCCCCACAGAGTGTGAAAAGCAAAGGGCTCAAATGCAAAGCCTCATGAGCAGTCAGCCTGCTGGGTCCAGCCTGCCCATCCCTTCTTGTACCAGTGAGGGGCATTTCCTACCTGTCCAGTGCTTCAACTCAGAGTGCTATTGTGTTGATGCCAAGGGTCAGGCTATTCCTGGAACTCAGAGTGTCATGGGCGGCCTCAAGCAATGTAAGTATGTTGGGTACTCAATCTGTGGGCGCTTGGCATGTTTAGTTCTTCACACAATGCATTATAGAACAATGAACCTAAACTATGGCTAAAACCCAAACTTCAGTTAATGACAAAATTAGCTGCTGAAATAAAAACATTCTCCAGGAAAACTTAGATAATATTAATTATTCTAAGGCATAAATGAGACTTACTGAGTCTGAAAGAAATGCTCTATACATTTCCGTGTTGCTTCTCAACAGCTGGGTGCCCTCTGAATAGTATTCACACATTTAAGGTGGCTGGTACTTCTATGATTGTGTAAGGTTCTAGATGGCATTTGACACTGGAGTAGTTTCATCTTGGGTTTTGCTGGCTTATTTACATTTTTCAAGCTGAAACACCTGTTCACTGTTTCTCGCCAGGCCCCACCTCTTGTCAGTCACAGGCTGGGCTAGCTTTCCTTGGGATGATGCAGGGCCTACTCTCCAACTCCAGCACATCAACCACCCACTCCAGCACCTATGTCCCTCAGTGCCGCACCGATGGGCAGTGGAGCCAAGTGCAGTGTGATGGACTGCCTGAGCAGGTCTTCAAGTGGCATGAACAATGGCAAGCTCAAAACAGTGAAGGCCAGGAGCTGACTCCTGCTGAGCTGTTAATAAAGATCACCAACTACAGAAAAGCAGTTTCTGGAAACTTCAGTCTCTTCCTCCAGCGTCTGTTTGAGGCTGGCCAGCAAGGCATTTTCCCGGTGCTGGCTCAGTACCCTTCTGTCCAAGATGTCCCCTTGGCATCACTGGAAAGGAAGTTGGCTCAGCCTGGGGAGAACATCCTTCTGCAGCCCTACCTCTTCTGGCAGATGCTAAGTGGTCAACTCAGCCGGTACCCAGGGCCTTACTCAGACTTCAGTGTGCCCTTGGCGCACTTGGACCTTCGCAGCTGCTGGTGTGTGGATGAGAATGGTCAAGAACTGCAAGGAACACGGGCTGTGCCGAGCAAGGTCCCAGCATGTGAGTTAACTCCTGTGGCGAACGGAACTTGTGCTGTTGAAAGCAGGTGTCTAGCGGGAAAGTACTCAGTGTCAGGGTGGGGATGGAGTTCAAAGGTAGTCAAGCCCATGCCTTCAACATGTGGTTTGGAGAATCGGGTTTCGTGCAGGGCATGTGACTGCCCCACAGGCATGTAGTCAGGTGTTGGCAAGGTTGATACACCACATTTTAAGACCTTCATGATTAGTTATTTAGGTCAATGATGTAGATTTTTTCCTGGAGGTCTTCTGTGCACATTACATCATCTTAAAACCAATGAAGGTACAAATGTGGACGTGTCCTTATTCTCCTGTGGCGATGCTTTAGTAAACTCTCGAATTGTTTGCACCATTGGGTTAATCAACAAGTAGGCTAGTGGGCCTGCTGCTTGCTAGGTGCTGAAGACATGACAAAAAAATCACCTGCTGGGCTTTTAACTGACATGGAAGGTGTTGATTAAGGGATAAATTAGAGAGCTGCAGATGGAAGTCTTATACATTCTGTTTTTTTGGCAGAATATTTATAGAGAAGTTGTATGAAGTAGAAATAAAATACAGCTGACTTTATGTGTTTTAAATTGCAATGCCTTGCTCTGAAATAGCCATACCAGCTGTTGGAGGGACTAGATTGAAAACTGTTGTGACCATATCAGGATGTTCCCAAGCAGAAGTTGCTAATACTGTAGGTGAACTGTTCAGTGAATTCTCTGCTTTTGTAGTGTTGGTCTTTCTTTTTTGGATAATGTTAAAATGTTTAAAAAGCCATTTTATATTAGCTGCATTTTAGGCATTGGATTTAGAATGTTGGGTGATCATGTGACAAGAACAGTGCCACCTTGAACGCACTTCCAGTTCAGCTTCCTGCTAGAGCATCTTGGGAGACACCAAATGATGTGGCAGGTGCTTGGGCTCCTGTCATTATTGTTGAAACCTGGATGGAGTTCCAGGCTCCTGGTTTCATCCTGGCCCAGCCCTGGCTGATGCAGGCATTTGGAGGGTGGACCAGTCGATGAAAGATATCTCTACCCTTCTACCCCCTCAGCCCCACTCTGACTGCCCTTCAAGTAGATGACAATAAGTAAACATTTCTTAAAAAGAACTAGATTTTTGCATTGAGTAACAGAAGGCTGTGCAGAGTAGACGACCAGGCACACAGGATCATTAAATAGGGAGAAAATGCATTCTTCTCGCTTTAAGATTGTTAACAACTGGAATTGCCAAGAAAACAACCATGGTGTGTTCCCACCATGACACAAGTGTGCTCTGTGAATGGGAGCCCCTGTTTTGGGGGTGCAGTTTCAGATTCTTCAGTGATGTGGATGTGTTGGTATCATTGATTCAGAGCCCTGCTGCTTCAGCCAAGGTCCTACAGCATGAGCCTCTCCCAGGAATCAGAGTCAATAGCTTGCCCCAGCCCTTGCATCTGAGTCAAAACCCATAGTTCTACAGTATTTGCAGCCGAATCTAACACATGCAAAAGCCTGAGGAGTACTTGGCTGGAAGGAAGAGCTTGAGTTGTCTTGAGTCCTGGTCCTGACATTAGCTGCACTTGGAGCCAGAGAAGGGCACTCCTCAGAGCTCTGATTCTCCTAGAAGATCTGACTTGGACTAAAGAACTCTCTCAAAGGGTTGTTGTGAGGGTGGAGAAGGAATGTACAGTGCCAAGCCTGGTGCATAGAAAGTACTAAATGAAAGCTTTGTTAATATGATATATATTAACTTACTCCATGCCTGGGTAGGAGGCCTTGCTGACAGTTTCCTGATATAACATGCGCCTGTGTGCTACCTTGAGTGTGTTCCAGGCAGTTTGGGTTGATAGGAAAAGAGTGGTACGTGGCTTAGTAGCTGAGAGACCAGTCTCAGCTGGCAATGCACCATGAGAGTAGACTATGGTAGTGTGCCCTGGGAGTTGACTGTGGAGTGAGGCTGCTCTCTGGGTGTTAGGGCCAGCATTCACTTGGCACCGATTTCTGGGATGGACCCTGAGGGACCTGAGCCACAAAGTCATGGGCAAGTCCTCTGACTAATGGAATAGCATGTAGCAACTCCAGGGACCTGTTGAAGAGGCTGTCTTGTTGACTGCGGGCTGGAGGAAAAGTGTTGGAAAGGGAGAGGATAGAAACAGCAAAATCAGGATCCAGATTTTAAATGCTGTCTTGTGCCTAGGAACGGAATTTTCACTCTCTCCTGAAAGAAACGGAGAATGAGTGAAGATTTTTAAGTGCAAGATTTTGCTTCAGAGACCCCCAAATCCTGAGGTTAATAATAGGAAAGGTTATTTGGTTGGGATATCCACTTGATTAAAAAATTAATGATTTCAGATTCTAGGAGTCCAAGTTTTTGGCTGATCTCATACGCTCAAAAGAATTTGCTCAACATTTGTGCTTTCTAATTCACAGTGTGGTTGGTAGAAGTACATATATGGCAGCAGTGGTTCTCGTGAGTGGTGACGATGCCAGCATGTGGCGAACACTGTGTCAAACCTGCTGCTGGGACATTTCACAGAATCAGTGCAACCCCCCCCCAACAACTGGAATAGATGCCCCAGTTATGCCCACTCCACAGACTGCAGCCCATGAAGCTAGATGAATTATACACTATCTCATGGCAAATAAATGATGCTCAGATTAAACACAGGGCAGAGCCATGTTCTTTCCTCTGTCCTAAGCCATGAAGACTGATTTCGGTCTTTGCCCTCTGTCTGTCTGCCTCCTCCTCTGTCTGTCCTCCAGCAGGTCAAGATCACTGTTTTCCAAATGTGACTGTGTAGCCTGCAATTGTGTAGCAGCTAGCTACTGCATGGCACTTCCTTAAGCTGCTTGGCTGCACCATGCCTCAGTTTGTCATCTGTTTGGTATGGGGATGAGAATATCTGCTGGGGCTGCTGCCTGGATGAAACTACCACAATCTTACACAGTAGGTCCTCACAGGTATGGAGCACCTGACATGGTACAAGCAAAGCAGAAAGAAAGTTCTAGGTTGAGGACAGAGCAGAAGTGCGTGTGTGAGCCTCCTCCTGCCACCCCCAAGCAGGATCCAAGGCACAGTGTGTAGTGAGTGATCTGTTTGTGTTCCTCTAGGTCCTGGCTCCTGTGAGGAAGTGAAGCTTCGTGTCCTGGAATTCATTAAGGAAGCAGAAGAGCTTGTCTCGGCTTCCAACAGCTCTTGGTTCCCCCTGGGTGAGAGCTTTCTGGTGGCCAAGGGGATCCAACTGACCAGTGAGGAGCTTGGCCTGTCCCGGGTCTACCCATCTCGCAAGGCTCTCTCTGAGAACTTCCTGCGTGGGGGCGATGATGCCATCCGCTTGGCAGCTCAGTCCAGTGAGTGATGTGTCCTTGAGCTTTTATACTCCCACGCTTTTGGGAAGCGAGGATAGAATTTGTCTCCGAGGCTTAGTCACCTTGAGGGTTTAGCTGCCTTGGTTTCTCCAGGCTGGTGAATTTTCAAGACAGAAGAGCGAACATGGTTTTTTGAGCCCCATCAATGTTGGAATACTACACACATTTTCTAGGGACGCCCAAGCATTTTTCCAGCCAAACCACCCTGAGCAGGTCCCTCTTCTTGCACCCCATTCTCCTTGGAACCATGTGTCCTTATGCAAATGAGTAGGAGCCCAATGTTTCTCAGTGTTTCCTAGAATTTGGAAACACTGAGTAGGGGCAAGAGCAAAGAAATCTCTCTGTGAGGGAACTGCTGTGCTTGTGATCTTGTCTGAGCCTCAGGCACTGATCCCTGCCTCCACCTACATGTGGCAGAAGAATAAGCTGAAAGATTACACTTCTGTATTCCAAGGTAGCAGCTGTGAAGGATCCTTGGGCCTTCTGGTCAACCAGCACTCATGGTGCCAAGCAGGTGGTCAGATTTTTGCACTTAATCTTCAGTGCTGTAATTACCATCTGCACATCTTTACACATGGGTAAAACAAGTCTGGGATGGAATCACTTGCCCAAGTTCATCCAGGTTCAGCCAGAAGAACCTGGCTGGGATCCCAGTAATGTGGTCCCCAAGCTGACACTCTTAGCACCTCTGTACCCCACCTGGCTGATCCCTGGGTGCCTGGGAACAGTGGCAACATCTGTGCAATCCTCCACTCCACAGTGGACTGTGGCAGGAGAGCCCAGTCCCCAGTTTTCTCATGAATCTAGCCGACTTCTCAAGGATACATCATTGCTCTATCTCTGGGGCTCACCTGTGCTCCTCCACCCTTTCAAGTTGCCGTGGCTGATTGTCTGCAGTTCCCTGGACCTGGCTCCCACCACTTCCCAGCACCCAGTTACTCTTCCATGGCCACATGAGCAGTCCCCAGTGCTCTCTCTGAATGTCCTGGTCACTACCATCTCTCTACTGCTTGGTCCAGCACCTGACCAGAGTACAAGTTTAGCAGATGTTAACCAACCTTCATGCCTCCATGCTCCCTTCTTTCTTCTCCTTTTGCCTTTACCTTATTGCTAAGAATATCTTTTCTCTGTTCCTTAAGGACAAGGGGACTTCTGCTTTTAGCAAGAGACCAGTTGCTGTAAATGTGCATGGTCAGGATCTGGTGTCAGAAAATGGAGAAGTAGGCATAGTGCCCCTAAGAGCGGTCAAGGCAGAGGACAGGGAAACGTAGCTGTTGGAGCTATGGGATTCCATGGCTGGCAGAGGTGGGGTAGCGGTTGTACAGCCAACCCCATGCTCTGATTGTGCAATCAGAGGCTTTAGAGAAAAGAGGAAGGGGCCACCGAGAGGGACCAAGGCTGATACTTTCCCAGAGAGACTGGGTGTAAAGGTTCAGGACATAATGTGTCTTTGGCCAACAGCACATGGCAGCTGTGTCCTGGACCTCATGACACTAAAGGAGGGGGTGTTGGGGGAGGTGAAGGTCATTGCACACAGCTGTGCCTGGTGAGAGCCCCTCAGCCCTCTTGACAGAAGTGTACTATTTGAACCGTCTGGTAAGTACTAGTCCAGTTTATGCTTAGAGAGGTTGGGAGCAAATCACTAATGATCACACAGCTAAGAGGTAGGGTGTCAAGGTGCAGATGAAGGCTTACACAAATCCAGGATGCCTCAAAAGCAGGTGCTGAGGTCTACAGACAACTTCTAGCCATGGGTATATGGTATCCTTGTACTAGTAAGCTCTCCACTTTGCAGCCAAGAGGCCTGTTTGTAAAGCGTGGCCAGTTGGGGAGAGATGCCCCTGCATGCAGCAGGTGACTGCTAGCTGGCTGCCCACAGATGTGGTCATTCTCCCCTAAGATCACAGGGAGAAGCTATAGCCTCATCCCAGGGTCCAGCAGGAGTACGGGGGAGAGTGGGAGCAGGATGAGCAAGGGACTGGGAGACAGAACCAAGGGTTCTGTGTTAGCTGTAAGATCAGACCAGCCAGCCATAGGTCTCCTGCCCTTTCTTCTTTCTTTCTTCCCTCTCCCTGCCCCACCTCGTTCGTCCTTCTTCCAATTATTTCTTGAATGGCTGCTGTAAGCAAGGCACTGCTCTTCCGTGCAAAATGCACACAAGTCCCTGTACCCAAAAGCATAAAATGTGGCAGAGGTGAGAGAACCTCAGCAAGATGCACAAGTGTGGCATCTGTGTGTTGGTGGTAGAGAAAGCCATGTGGGTAGCCAAGCAGAATGGGTTCGTGCAGAGCTGTGAACAGCTACAATCTCCTTAACACGGTGACCCTCAACTCATCACTTAGCAGTCCTCACTGTCTCTGTTGTCACCTGGGGGCATGAGTCTGACTGCATGTGTAGCTCAGGCAGGCTCTGCAGGTGACAGAATTTTGAGGATGATAAAGAACTGAAGTGTAATGGTGGGGCAGGAAAGATTAATGAAGTAGTGGACACAGGCTGCCCTCCGCTTCCTCGCTGGCTAACTTGCTTATCCATCTGTCCTTCAGTTGTCTCATCTATTGAATAGGATGGAGGACTCTCTGTGTAAGGTTAATGCGAGGCTTAAATGGAAAGCATGTGTCTAGGTAGTGCCTGGCACATCACAGGTGTCTTAGCCTGCCTGTTACCCCCATACCCTCATGTGTCTGAAAGCCTTTCGGGGACATGTCAGAGGAGGGGGCACAGAGATGTCAAGGGCAGGACAGTTGTCAAGGGACATCCAATCCTCCAAGAACCTCAGTGGGTGGATATGTTCTCCAATTAAAGCCTAAGGCCTCTGTAACTTGGCACAGGGGCACATGTGGTGGTCCTTGGGGATAGAGTACCTGCTGGGCATGTGTCACTCTGCCTTTTTTTCCTCTGGACTCCAGCCTTTGCCTTCTATCAGAGACGCCGCTCTTCCCTGGGGGATTTGGCCAGCATGCCCTCCCTCCTACAGCCGGGCCCCTACGTTCCCCAGTGTAATGCATTTGGAAGCTGGGAGCCTGTGCAGTGCCATGCTGCGACTGGTAAGTGGGAGCACATTGTGGAAGTGGGGGAGGCATTGAGGGAGGGAAGAGCCTCTCACCGAGGTGAGTGAATGGGACCTCAGATCGCCCTTTGCTGACCAGGTTTGCTGCCTCTCTGGTGTCTAGTTTTCTGGCCTGGGTAGTGGGAGCAGTGGTCTTCAGCTAGCTTGAAAGCCAAGAGGGTGGCTGCTAGGCTGCTATGAACTTCAACTGTGGATGATGTCTGGCAGTGGGCAGCAAATCAGAGGGCAGGCAGGTGCTGTCAGGATCTTGAAATTGCGGCCCATGGCTTTTCCTTAGGTCACTGCTGGTGTGTGGATGGGAGAGGAGAGACCATCCCAGCCTCATTGACTATCCATTCCATGCAAGCCCTTCAGTGTAAGTAGAATCTGTTGCCCTTTTTTCCTGAGCCAGCAGTGGGCACTTAAAGCTGGCACTAAGGCTGTGCCCTGCACACCAGCACCTGTATGCCATCAGATGCATTTTCCCAAGTCCTCAGGCCTGGAAGTCCATGCTGTCTTGGCCCTTCCCAGTTGGTGCTCACAGTTCCGCAGGTGCAGAGGATCAGCTGAGAGTGGTGAAGGAGCCCTGTTCTCTAGACATTTGATGCCTGTGTGTTTCAGCTACTCCTCCAAGGAGTCCAGTACCTGCCTCACACATGTACTTCAGCCAGGGCCTCTCTCCTGGGGCTCATTTCTGTGTAATCTACGAGCCATCTGACATTGCAAAGCCAGTCCATCTTTTGAGCCTCTTTGTCTTTCAACTTCATCAAAGGCTTTCTCCTGTGGTCCCAGCTCTCAAGGGACCCAGGCCCAGCCTGGGAACCCTGTGCTCCCTCTGTACCCATGGACAATGCATTCAGGCGCCCTCTCTCCCATGACAGGCCCCACGACCTGTGAGAGATTGCGGGCCAACGGGCTGCTCTCCAGCTGGAAACAGGCTGCATCCCGAGTGAATCCCTCTCCGGAGGACCTGTTCACCCCGACCTGCCTGGCGGTAAGGCTGTGCTGGCCCCGGTGGCCTGAAGGAAGCTGAAGGTCACCTCACATGTTCAGAGATGAGTTTCATGGTTTTTCACATACTTGTGTTAGTTAAAAACTTACAAGGAAGTTCTTGGCCTGAGTGTCTGTGATGGACTCTGGCTGTGTGACCTTGAGCAGCTAACTTGGTCACAGTCTCTGTGCTCCAGTTTGATTTTTAAATTCTGAGGTCAGGTCAAGTGTTTCTGTCCTCTTTAATGATGAGGTTGCTTTGAGACTCTCCATAAATATCTTCTAAGAAAAACCTTTGATGGTCTCACACACACACACACCATTGCCACCATATCCCTAAAGTCACCTTGACCATTCACCATCCTCACTGTGTGTCAGGCTGTCACCACTGATGGGTGATGTCATACCATTTCCCCCCGAGCTCCCTGGATGACCGTGATGCTCCATGATGCCTTGGAGCACTGATATCAAGGGGCCTAGAGAAAGAACTTAGGCTTGAAGCTTGACTGTTACATCCAAGTAAGGGCAAGCTCCATGCCTCACTGAGAGTGAACTCACTGGCTTTGGTGACCCCACAAGATTTGGACAAGCTTCCACCAGTAGACAATGATTTGTTTTTCTAAGATTCATTATTTACAAGAGATACAGAAAGAAAGTCAGAGAGGTGGAGGAGGAAGTGCGAGAGAGAAAGAGAAGGAGAGAGAGAGAGAGAGGCATTTTCCATCTACTGTTTTATTCCCCAAATGGCCACAGTGGCTGGGGCTGGCTCAGGATGAAGTCAGTAGCCTAGAACTCTCTCTGGGTCTCCCTTCTTGATATCAGGGGCCCAGGGACTTTAGCCATCTTCCTCTGCTGCTTTCCCAAGTGCATTATTAGGGTACTGCAATTAGGGAATTGGAAGTGGGGTGGTCAGGTCTCAATCCAGCAGCCATCTTGGTTGCTGGTGTTGCAGGTAGCAGTTTTATCTACTGTACCACAATACCAACCCTTCACAGTTGTCTCAGGGACATTCTTGACACCTGTCCACTGACAAGAGGACTCCACAGTCTCTTGCCTTCCATGCGATGACCTCCGTTTTGTCTCAGACAGGGGAATATGCCAGTCTGCAGACGTCAGAGGCTGGCCCTTGGTGTGTGGACCCGAAGACGGGAGAGGGAATGCCGCCCAATGCAAGCAACAGGTCCCACTGTGAGTAGCTGTCCCTTTGCTGGACACCTCCCACCTATTTCTGAGTCCCAGGTATAGAGTCCCTAGAACTGGGTACTTGTCCGAGCTCGGCTGCTTGTATAGCTCTGGGGGCAATGCTTGATTTCATGACACCTCAGTTTTCTCATAAAGTAGGGGCCGTATTCTCCCCATCTCCCCATCTTCTTGTAAGAAGCGAATGTTCTAGGGAGTGGGGACTTTGCTTAGTCACTGAGGAGTATCAACCAGCACAGCTCCTGCTGGCAGGACAGTGGTGCTTCCAGGGTTGACCAGCTGTACATGATGATGTTCCGTAGGCCTGCTTTGCCCTGGGCTTTCTTCCTGACTTTGATTCAGTGTTCATTGTGGGACCTTAGGGCTATCCCTGAGGTGCAAGTACCATCAAGGCACCAGCACTCTCACTGTGCCATGCCTGAGCATCTTGGCAGTACCTAGGGCCCCCCCACCTGGCTGCCAAGACTGTGACTTCTCCATCACTTGCAGCTCTCTGGGTTTCTTCCTGTATTGGTTCTACTGTGCAATGCTGCCATCCTCTTGCCAACCTCTACCTGGCTGATGCGAACATCAGTCCCTGCAGGAAACCCTCACTGCCTCTCTCTTCCAGTGCTGCACTCAGTACCTCCCTGTGGCTGCTGGGTTGCACCAGGGTCACTGGCATCTCACTGATCCCCAGTGGCTCACTGCTGAGACTTCCTTTAAACTTGAGAAAGGCAGGCGGTGGAAGGGGAGGCAACACAGAACTGAGCAGGCCTCCCAGAAATGAAGTGACCTTAGGCCCCAAGGAAGGATGATGGCTGCATTAATGTTGGCTGTGGTGGTGGCGGGGTGGGCAGGAGGGTAGCCCCCTGGCTCATCTGGCTGGTCTCTGTACAAAGGTCTCAGCCTCTGCGAAGCCCTCAAGAGCAAAGTCCTCTTCAGGAGAGTTGGCCCAGGCTACATCCCAGCGTGCCAGGAACAGGACGGGAGCTTTGCCCCAGTGCAGTGCGAATCAGCCCAGGGCAGCTGTTGGTGTGTCCTGGGCAGTGGAGAGGAGGTGCCTGGGACCCGTGTGTCCGGCAGTCAGCCTGCCTGTGAGAGTAAGTTGTAGACTCCCTGGAGGAATCACAAGGGGCTGCAAATGTCTTTCTTTAACTGGATGGGGTCCCGGAAGTGGGGCTGTAGGGTTGGTACAAGGACAGGAAGTGCACGAGGGAGGTTGTGGAGGTTGCTTGAAGATGTAATTCTACTTCCCAAGCACACGCAGCCTGAGAGGCTGAGGCTAGAAGTGCCTGCCAGGGCCTCTGCAGAGCTGGCCTCTTGGGAAGCACTGGCTGCTGAAGGCTCTTGGTCTGTGCCTGAATGGGGCGAGGATGCCCCAGGGTCTCAGTGGGCCTGGCTCCCTCCCCGTGGAACTGGCACGGGTTTAACTAGTTCAATAATCTGTTTCTATTTCTAGTTTAGAAAGTGGAGTATCAAATGTTGAAACATGCATGCTGTGAAGACAGGAAGGACCCATGAAAAATTCTTGAAGACTGAGTTATCAGTGATGTTCCGTTTAGTTCTCCCACATACTCAGTGACACTACAGTCATCTCAGTTTCTAAGAACAGTTAGGTTGGACAGGAAGTGGAGACAGGAAGCATTTATTAACACTAGGGGGCCTGGCAGGGTTAAGGAAAACTGTGTGGAGTGAGTCTGTTTTGATGACAGTTGTCAAGGTGTCCAGTGCAAATGACACCATAGAGTCTGGGGTTCTAATTAGGAAGCTGCACCCTGAGATCAATGTGACTCATGCCTATGTTAGAGAACCCCAAGCACCCTGGTATCAAATGCAGATTGTAGACTTGAAAGCTAGAAATTGCCGCAGACACAGCTGTGCTGGGTCTGACATCTAAGTCTCTAATTGGATATGAACTTGTCAATGCAATGTGTGCAGTCCTTGATTTTCTCGTTTGCTCATGTGTGTGACACATGCCTGTTAAGTTCATGTCTGGGTCACTTTGTGCCTGGGTGAGCAGGAGAAAGGTGTCTTCTTTCTCCCAAGCACCTAGCAGAGGACCTCATGCAGATGAAGAACAACCTGCATGAATAGTTGATAAAATGCAGGTCAACACTGGAGCCTTGCATTTTAGGGGAGGGAGACACACATAGACCCGGGAGAACCACAGAAGGTACTTAGCGTCCAACAGGAATTTTCCAGGCAGATAAATGGGCAGTAGGAAGGGCAAGGGGCTGCGTACAGGGGAGTGCAGACCTCTCCAGAAGCAGAGCCAAAGACAGGGTCCACAGCTTAGGAAAAACTGACAGGCCTACTGCAGGGTCACCATGATTCCTTTGCTGGCAGTGGGCACCAGGTGGGAACTGGGGACAGAAAGGCAGGAACGAGGACCCATCCCAGAGGTCTGGTGAGGAAGCTTCATGGGGGAAATATTCTCCATGTGGAAAGAGGCAGTGGGGATGAAGACAGCAGGAAGGCATGGGCTACAGCCAGGGTCATGGAAATGAGACTACGTAGGGAGCCAGCAGGCCTCTGGCCCGGGCCAGCGGGTGGCCTTGTGTTCCTCAGGCTCAGGATGTAGAAGCAGGGACAGCCTGGGCATGCAGGTTGGCCTGGAGATGGGGAGCAGATGCTGGTGGTCAGTTGAATGTGAAAGGGGAGGAAGCTTGGGGTGGTTGAACTGGAGATGAAGTTCCAAGGGGTGTATATGCTCAGACATGTTACGGAGATGGCAGGCCCAGGCCAGGTTTTGAGAGTCCTGAACATCCAGGGAAAGGAAGAGGACCAAGCTGGGGAACCTTCATAGTACAATTGCTTCCCCAAGGCCTGTCCTCTTGTTTATCACCACCACTGCAGCTTAGCTTCAATATGAATTATGCAGCAATGACATCCAAACTAGCAGGATTCCCCCTGGGCATCCTCATGGCTCCTGCAGGAGGAGGCCCTCCAAGAACAGGACAGGTGCCCACTGCTGCTCCTTCTTCTCTCCAGGCCCTCAGTGCCCACTGCCGTTCAACATGTCAGAAGTGCCTGGTGGAGTGATCCTGTGTGGCCCAGCCTTGGGTTCCCCAGGGGCCACTGTCCAGCAGTGCCGGCTGCTGTGCCGCCGGGGCTACCAGAATGTATTCCTGCCTCAGCCACTGGTGTGCAGCCTGGAGAGCAGACGCTGGGTGTCACCGCCACCGCAGCCACGGGCCTGCCAGCGTGAGTGGTCTGGGAGAATTTCTCCCATGATGGGAAAGCGGGGTGCAGTGCATTTCCTGCAGCCAAATGTAGCATGCTGTGTGTGGTAGGTTGCATGACACTGAGAACAGGAGAGTCGTTTTCTGTTGTTGCAGAGGAGTAGGCGGCCCTTGTGGCTCCCTGGACTCTTGAAGGCTTTGTATGGGACTTCTTGGAGTCACCTGCTCCTTGGGAGAATTTGCCACCAGCCCAGCTGAGCTAGGATGCCTCGAGTTCAGGTCAAGCCTTTGGCAGGCAGGTATCCCATTGGCCATAGGAGCGAGTCTCATGTTGAGGTGCTCAGAGTAGCTCTCTTAGCCTCTGAGGACCCCAGCCCCACCAGCCTATCTCCCAAGTCCATCTGGAAGGCCAGGGTTGATGTCTGGAAAGGCAGGGGCACTAGACTTCCCAGCAGGTGGTTGTCAGTACCTTGTTTCAACACCAGCCATCTTTGCAGTACTCTGTGAGAGCTCTGGCCTCTGCCCTTCTGCAGAACTCACCTGACAGAAGCACAGGCACACACACACAGAGCTGTGCAGACACAACACTGCACACCCGCTGTCTGCCTCAGCGAAGCCTGCCTGTGGTTAGCAGCAGCCATGCAGAGCAGGGGAGCGTGAGGAATCTTGCAGTAGGCCTGCCCAAGTGCAATTGGAGGATCATCTAGGGCAGACACCAGGCCCTGCATCTGAGTGTCCCAATGCTTTTGTTGCAAAGCACTGTGGGATATAGAAAGTTCTCATCCAGAGAAAGTTCAAAGTGTGATGTGCACAAAACAGTGAGCCACCCTTCCAACTCTGACAGGTGGCTTCATCTGAAAGCAAAACCAGGCTAGTCTCAGCTGATGCTAGAGTGAAAGACTTTGGACAAGGGAGGTGTAAGTGAATGCAGGGCTAGTGTGTGCAGGTGCACTGAGCAGCCTCCGTGTCCAGCTGCAAAAGCACATGGAGTGAGCCAGCTGTGCAAGGCGGGGCAGATTTCCCCAGGAGAATGCGAAGGACTGCCAGTGTGAAGCAACTGGTGTGGAGGTGGAAGCAGGGTTGAGCTGGCTGTGGGATGCTGAACACTGGCAGGGATGGGCTATCACGTCAAAGAAGATTAGACTCTGAGGGCAACAACACAAATGGTAGTGCTCCTGTGTGTGGAGCAATGAGGAAGAGCTTCTTTTGCAGAGTAAAAGCCTAAGAGAAGGGTGTCTCTGTCACCTCTGCTGACCTTGGGGACTTGTCTTCAGGGCCCCAGCTGTGGCAGAGCCTCCAGGCCCAGGGACACATCCAGCTCCAGCTCCCGCCAGGCAAGATGTGCAGTGTCGATTATGCAGGCTTGCTGCAGGCTTTCCAAGTCTTCATATTGGATGAGCTCACAGCCCGTGGCTTCTGCCAGATCCAGGTATGTGCCTGGCCTTCCCCACAGCAGGTGTTGGGGTTCAATGTGGGGTCAACCTTGTGGGGAATCTCAGCTCAAGTGAACCTAGAGTTCAGGTACAGTGTCCCATTGGTTTTGTCAAATAGGCCCAGAACTGGAAATTAATTCAGTCAAGGTTAATTTGGCAGCTAGGTAGCAATGGAAGTGGAATCCATACATCAAGGTGCCAGACCCGCCTGTATTTCTTGGCATAGATTACTACTGCGGTCTTCAAAGGAACCATGCTAGTATTGGGTTCAAAACCATCGAGCTAGAACAACTGGCCCAGAGTCACAGAGACATGGGATGGTGGAGCCAGGCTGGTTGGCTGAGTTGGTTCAGCAGCCGTGGGGAAGGAGCCTAGAGACATGGGGCAGGATGGCTGAGATGCATACCGCAATATCCCTGAACTCTTGAGCACATGCTGAGAGCTCCATGTTCCTGTCTCTAATCTTCACTGCATCCTCATTTTCATGCCTTTAGCCATCAACTTACAAATGGATTCAGTATAACCCGCAGAAGGTAAATCAGTTACTCATTGCCTACTATGCATAGGTTGAACTGAATTTTTTTGATTGGTACAGTGGTGACTGGGTATTTTAAGGGAGAAGTTGCTTCACCCAGGAGACATGGAGAGCGACATGGCTGGGGACTGTGTGGGCATCCCAAGCATGAGAGCTCTGTGTGAGCTGAGTGCCTGGGGTAGATCAGTTCAGTGTTCCGGAGCTGGCTTCCCTGTGATGGGGAGAAGGGGCCTAGGATCTTGGCCTCCTCAAGCAGGGCTGGTGGACGGGGAAAGGGAGTGATGTAAGCCATGTTCCTGCCCCTAGTGTGGCATCAGCGAAGCCTGCCTCCTACTCTGTGCCCTTGGTCTGAAAGCTTCTGCTTGCATGTAGGTGAAGACCTTGGGAACCCCACTCTCCATCCCTGCCTGCGACAACTCTTCAGTGCAGGTGTGGTGTCTTACTGGGGAGCGTTTGGGAGTCAACATCACATGGAAATCTCGGCTTGAGGATGTACCAGCAGCCTCATTTTCTGATTTGCATGACATTGGTATGTTTTGCTACATGGTTGTCTTGTAGAACCCAAGTGGCTTCTTGCTCTACACCTGTTTCCTCATGTGTCAAATGCAGCTAGTATAGACCAGGATAGCTTCCTTGGAGGATTCAGGAAAAAAGTCACACACCTCACCCACAGTGACAGATAATTATTGAATAGTGTGAGAAATTGATAGAGTTCTGATTAATACCTTAACCACAATACATAATGCTACAAGGAAGAGGTTGTGTGTATTTCTGTGAATATCCTCCAGTTCTCCTTTTTCTGTGCACAGAAGGCAGAAAGGGAAGAGTGGTGAGCAGTGGGAGTCTTCATCGGTGTGTGATTTGTGTTCCACCCACTTCCAATTATAAACCATTGAGAACCACTTCTTCTTCTACACTGAAAACAGGACAACAGTGATGTGGAAGAATCAAAGGACTAGGAACACCTAAGAATGAGGAGGAGAATTGGATTTATTATGTCAGTTAGGATGTCATGTATCATCCTAATGTCAGCATGTGCAGGTTCTGAATTTTCTGGTAGGAAATAATCTAGGTATTTCCTTGAAGATTTATGTGTTTATTTAAGTCAAGAGAGGAAGACATGGGGGTAGGGAAAGGAAGGAAGGAGGGAGGGAGGAAGCTCTTGTATCTGCTAGCTCACTCCACAGATGGCTGCAGTGCTCGGGCAGGCCAGGCGAAAGAAGCTGGGAGCTTCATCCTGGTCTCCCATGTCGATGGTAAGAATCCAACCACTTGGGCCATCTTTTGCCACATTCCAGAGCCATTCAGAGGGAACTGAGTAGGAAGTGGAGCATCAGGGACATGAACCAGGTAATCCATGTGTTTTTGACCAGAACCTGGGAATGAATTTCCTTTCTTCTGTTCAGTGGCCATAGAGCTAGGGTCAGCTAGGACAATAGGAGAAAATGTTGCCAGGGTGTATAATTCAGAGTTGGTCTTGATGGCAACAATCCCCTCTGGGAAAGTGTCCTCCTCCCCTAACACATGTAGCCCTACGAAGTAGCAGAACATCTCTGAATTCCTCCAGAGAGAGCCTGGAAGCTTTGGGTGGTACTGAAGCTCCAAACACATGTGATGCTCTTCCTGGCTTCCATGTCGAGATGGTGACGCTGGTTGCAGCATGAATGTTTGCTTCCTGCTGGGATCTGCCCCAGCCCCCTATGTGGTACTCCTCTGCTTGCTTTCCGGAATAAGACATAGTCCAGAAGCCTGGTCCTCAGAGGTTGGCCACATTGCCTCTGGGACGCCTGCTCTTCCCTCTGGGTGACCCCTTCACACATGTTCTTTCCCCAAATCTTTATCATGTGCAAGAGAAGCATTCCCAGACCATTTTGTAGATAGGAAAACTGAAGCACATAAATGGTGATGAAGGTTGAGGTGGATGAATATTTGGGTAATAAACATTAGAGGATTAAATGAAAACATGGAGTCCCATACCAATAGAGGTCACATTGTTGCCACACAAGTGACAGGAGCCAGGAGACCTGGGTCCTCCTGGCAACCTGTTCATGCCTCTGACTCCTGGGTAACCATGGGCCATTCAGTCTCTGTACTGCAGCTTGCTTTTTCTGATCCTTCCCCTGCCCCAAGCCTTGCAGAGAACAACACATGACCTCTGCCTTCTCCTGTGTCTTACAGAAAAGGCCTTGGTGGGTAAGGATCTCCTTGGGCACTTCGCAGAGCTGGTACAAAGTGGCACCTTCCAGCTTCATCTGGATGCCAAGACATTCCAGGCAGACACCTCCATCCGCTTCCTCCAAGGGGACCACTTTGGCACCTCTCCCTGGCCATGGTTTGGGTGCACAGAAGGATTCCACCGAATCTTACCTGCCAGTGAAGCTGCTCAAGACTCACTGGGGTGTGGTAGGTTCACCCCCTTCCCCTGGGCCTGCAGTTATGGAGCCACATGAGGCTTGGGAAAAGGAGCTCTGGACATCAGGAGTTGGGATACGTCCATTTAGCCAAGAGAAGTTTCTGCCCACCTAGTGTGCATGGACAGATGTGCCTCACCCACAAGATGGCATGACAGGAAGAACCCCGTGTTTGAGGATACCCATTATTTAGCTCTTAGTTCCCAGGGCCCGGGCTATACTCTCTCAGTGAGGGTAGCCAGGGTGCAGCCTGTATCCCACAAGCACATGTCTTAATCTGCGATATGTTCCCCATCACAGTCCTGAGTGGCCAGGGAGCAGCCCTGACCTTCAGGACACAGGAAAAGTGATCCTTGGAGAAGACTGACTTGGGTTGTTTTTGTCCTTGGGCACAAGTTTCAGAGGTCACTTTTATTGGAATCCAGCTGCAGATTCCTTGGACAAAGCTGAATAACTTTCCTATTGTTCATCCCAAATAACCACTAGTGCATGGGCCCAAGACCACACACACTACAGTGTCTTAGCATTTGGTAGGTTGAGTCTAACATGGGCCTCACTTGATCTAAAGTCAAGGTATTGGCAGGGGTGTGCCCTCCCGCCCCCGGAGACCCACAGTTCCTGCCTGGTGGCTCCCTCCTTCCTTGCCAAAGCCGGCACCTGGGGAAGGGAGGAACGACAGGTTTCCCTAGGATGCTATGCCCTTGCTTTAGAACAGGGTGGATGCCTTTTTTGTAGAAGGGAACAGCCAGCTGGTCAGTGTTTTGGCTGTGGAGATTGTATGACCTCTGTCTCAGTGACTCCATTCAGCCATTGCAGGGAGAAATGAGGAGGAGCTTTGGTCATTCATGACTTACCCAAACTGCAGGGGAGCTGGATTTGGCTCAGGAGCTGTAGCTTGATAGGCATTGCTCCATGTGTGGTTCTGCTGGTTTAGTGCCGTGGTCTTTTCCTAACTCACATTTGTGAACCACATGGTTCAGCTGTACTCTGTTTGCTCCAAATGGCTGGGAAGGCCCACAAAGGAAGCCACCCAAGCAGTTTTTGCCAACATCGAAGGTGCTGTTCTTGCTTTGTGCAGTTTCTCATACATGTTGGGCTTTGCTAGCTAGCATGTGCCCATGGAGTTGAGCATTATTGACCCTGTGTTAGGGATGAGGAGGAAGCAGAAGCTAACGGTGAAAGTGGTGTGTATCTAGGTGGTGTCCAGGCTCAAGCACTTTGTCATGGCTGGATCCTTGGGGAGTGAATTTATCCTCAGTGGGCCAAATCTGAGAAACAGGGGTAATAGTATCTGTTTCCCAGGACTTTGGCTGGAGAGCCTGTGATAGCCTATGCACAATGTCTCTGGGCATATAGCCAATCACAGCATCCCCAGTACATTCACACAGCTTTGCTAAGGCTTAAACTTGGCCCCGTCAGCCTCAAGTCCATTTTTCTGTCCTGTGCACCCCGCACCTTACTCCTCACCAAGGGGTCCCTGGAGAACTCATACTCGCATTCTTGTGCCTGTTCTTACTGGCTCTTCTAAAACACTGTGCACACAGCTGTGAAGGCACAAGGAGAAGCATTGTGTGAGGAGATGAGGCAGGGCATCTGTGGTCACTGTAGGGGCTCAAGCAGATGGCCCTGGGAGAGCCATGACCCACGAGTCAGAGGAAGCTCCCACCCCTGTGACATGTGGATCCGGATGCTGCTGTGGAGTGGAGGCTTTGTCAAGGTCACTTCTGTTCATCTGCATAGTGCAAGGCCAGCCCCAGGGAGTCCTCTGGAATCCCCTGCTGGCAGGCCCCATGGAAGACTGGCTTATTAAATAGGAGCTCAGAGAACTTGTCTGAGTTTCCATTTTTTGTCCTGAATGGCACTGACCTTGATTCATTTGCTATGACTTCTTACAGTAGAGTCATAGGCTGAGGTACCAGATGCCATGTCCTGTGCTCAGAAAGAGGGAAGGGGCTAGACAAGGACAGCTGTCCATGGAGATCCCAGTCAGAGCAGCAGGGAAGGGATTGGGAGGGCAGAGAATGCTGCAGAAAGGCTGGAAGATGAGGACAGCTTGGGGCTCAGAAGAGAACAGGCAATAAGTGGAGGGTGGGTGTGCATGTGTGTGTGTGTGTGTGTGCGTGTGTGTTCCTGTGCCAGAGATGGTGAGGTGATGAACACTCCAGAAATGAAAAGCTCAGGAGCAGGGAGTTCTGGCTGAAGCTGGCTTCAGGCAGATAGTGCATGTAGCCAGTGGAGCTTAGGAGTGAGGTGGGTTGGGAACATGGCAGGAGGCAGGGACCAGGGCAGCAGAAGCCATGGATCCCAGAGAGGTACATGGCATAACAATGAAGACCTTGTAAGCTGAGGAGCAGCCAGATCGGGTGTGTTCTTCAGTGAGCTTACTAATGACTGAGGGATCTCAGGGTGTTTTCTCAACAGATGTCTTCTTCCAGTAGCAGCAATGGGGCCAGCAGTGTTGGGACCATGGCACAGGGCTGGCACAAGGGTTTGCCTACATTTAAGGTTGCACAAACCTCTCAAACTCCACCAGTCTCAGCTGTCAGTCTCTGTGAAGGAAGAATTTGAAGCCAGAGGACAGAGGGCCTCAATTGAGGGCTGACACCAAGTTATAAGGGGGCAGGGTTTGGAGTGGAGCTCCTTGCTGAGGGATGGTGGCCGTGGTCCAGCTGCTGTCTCAGTCTGGCTCACCAAGGATTGTGGGAGGCAGAAAAGACTCTGACATCAGAGACTAAGAGCTGGGGTGGGCCTGGCATCCCACGTTCATTCCTGGTCTGTGGCTCTCTGCTTTGCCCAGGCCTTGGGTTGGAGATGTAAGAGCATTTGGGCTGGCAGGCTTTTGTTTTCCTTTAGCAATGATTTTGGAAGTCACTGCCCTGAAAAGCCAGCCACAGTTAAGGGACCGAAGGGCTAGAAATGAGTATCAACAACCTGAGTCATAGGAGTAATGAAACTCCCTGAGCTGAGGGAGGGTGCTGAGGGCAGGGCCAGATCGGAAAACACAGAGCTCAGTTTCCAAGACGTAGCCCGAGTTTCTGATTTACTCAGACATGCCATGTATGTGCGTGTGCAGACCAGAGACTAACTGGCTGCCCCACCGATGCTGGCTCTGTCTCCAGCCCCCACTCCAAGAGAAGTGATTGTCTGCAGAGCTGGAACAGAGGCTTTGCTTTGGAAATGAATGAATGGGATTTGGATGCCACTTCCATCACAACACAGCTGCTCTACTTGGACCTTGGGTTTCAGTTTTCTGTAGCTTAGATTGGGACTTGTTAGATAACACATGGAAACATCCAACACCATGCCTGGGGTTAGATATAATTTCACTTGCTACTGCCTCTTGCAGAAAACGTGCTAGGAAGTCACGCAGGGGACCCTGGAGCTCAGCATGCTCATGTGTGGAAAGGGGCTCACATCCACCTATGGAGGGAATGTCAAGATGATAATGCAAAGTTCCAGGCATAACAGTGGGCAGAGTTTCCACTCCCACCTTTTACCAGGTGAAGGTCAGCTCTACTGAAAGTGATTTGGCAAACTCTCAAGAATACAGCACCAAATCAGGGCAGAAACAAGAGGAGCCTCCTGTTGCCACCTTCTTCTCTGAGCCACCAGGTCGAGCAAGGTCAAGTCCAAGCAGGAGAACTCCCCTAACTTAGGTCTCTTGTAGGACCTTACTCTCTGGTTGGTGTTATGGCCCCTATGCCCATGCTATGTTAGACGAAAGTGGGGCATTGGTAGTATTGGAAGTACAAGATCAGAAAGTACTAAGAACTGGTGGATCAGCAGGATCATGGAGGCTCCAGGGTACAGTGCATTAGTCATATAGGAGCATGGTATGAGAGGGGGCTTTTCTGAGTCAGTCAGGAAGCCACCAGCCCTAACAGTAAGAGCCTCGAATTTTGTTTCTTACGTGCCGCACTCACCTTGGCTTGGTCCTAGGTCTAAGTGATGCTCTTGGTGACAACCTGTCAGGACCAGTGGGAGTGCACTGAGCTGTTGGAGTTGCCCCACAGGGAGAGAGAGAGGACACCTGTTTGAATGGGCAGGTGTTGGGGCTGGCTGTAGGGAAGGGCTTCCTCCCAGTGTAAATTGATTACCTATTGCAGTTGGCATTTTGATGCTGCTAGTTATGATGCCAGAATCCCATATGGTTGCAAGTTCATGTCCCAGCTGCTATACTTCTTATCTAGCTCCCAGCTAAGTGCTTGGGGAAAACAGCAGAAGATGACCCAACTGCTTGGGCCCCTGCACCCATGTGGAAATAAGTTCCTGGTTCTTAGCTTCATCCTGGCCTATCCTTGATCATTACAACTTTTTGCTTTTAAATAGTTATATTTATTACAAAGTCAGATATACACAGAGGAGAAGAGATAGAGAGTAAAATTTTTAGTCCGATGATTCACTCTCCATGTGACCACCATGGCCGGTGCTGAGCCAATCCAAAGCCAGGAGCCTCCTCTGGGTCTTCCACATAGGTGCAGCATCCCAAAGCCCTCGACCATCCTCAACCACTCTCTCAGGCCACAAGCAGTGGGTTGGATGGGAAGCAGGGCCACCAGGATCAGAACCGGCCTCCATACGGGACCCCAATGCATCCAAGGCAAGGACCCCAGCAGCTAAGCCATAGTGCTCAGCCCAATCATTACAACTTTTAAGGAGTGATCCAGAAGATGGAAGGAATTTCTGTGTCTCTCCCCCACCCCATGTGACTTTCAGTTAAGTAAAAAAAAAAAAAAAAAAAAAAATTAAAAGCGTGACTACTCATTGAGGACACACCAGAGACTGGTGTCCTGACATGCGCTTTAGGCACACAATCATTAACCTCCCATGAGGTAGGACAGTCATCTGCATTTCACAGCGGAAGAAAATGAGCCTTAGGAAAGTCCAGAGTTACACAGGTGCAGTGCAAACTATCTGACCCTGACTGCACTGCGCAGTACCCTCAGCCCATGGCACTCTGGAGACAGACTCTGACCCTTCAAGTTATTCTTCAGTGTCCCCTCTTGCTGTTCTTCCATTGAAAATGAAGCTCTGGCTCAGTAGCTAGCTTGTTTGGCTGTTTTTGTTCTTTTCCTGGGAGGACCCAACCTCATTTCTTGTAGCACTTGCAGATCCCCCTGCCTGGACATTTGACTCCTGAATCATTTGAATTGGTGCTTGGAGTGAGGGGTTTCCTCATTAGCACACACATGTCTCCTGCTTCAGGTCTTCATAACCAAAATTTGTGCCCGTCTCCCCTTTTCTCCTACAAGCAGGCCACCTGCTGGGCAGCAAGAACCTCACCTGCCCCTCTCACTGCCTGGAGTTGGGAGCCTAGGACCAAACTGGTTCTTTGTGGAGTCTTTCAAATGATTGTGTTTATAAAGAGTGTCTTTGCTGTTTACTGATGTCATTTCTCCACTTCTTGGTTCCAGTTAAGTGTCCCGAAGGAAGCTATGCCCAGGATGAACAGTGTATTCCCTGCCCTATTGGATTCTACCAGGAACAGGCAGGCAGCTTGGCCTGTATCCCTTGTCCTACGGGCAGAACAACCACTTCGCCTGGGGCCTTCAGCCAGACTCACTGTAAGTGTTGCAGGGTCCTACTTGGAAATAAACACCTCGCAATGAGACATGGCATGTGGGGCCTGGTGTTTCTCTCGCACAGGGGACTGTGCTGGATGATGTAGGATGCTTAGCTGTATCATTAAATGTACTCAGTTGATTCTAGTAATGTTTCCTTCCCTAGACGGTGGCAACCAACCATGGCTCTACGGATATTGCCAAGTGACTGGAAATAGGATGGGAGACATGAATTTTTCATCACCGAGAGGCATGGGGCACAGGGCGGAATAATCAAAGGGCCACTATCATTGAGTCCCGATGTAGGCCAGGCCCAGGGCCAGCCATTTCCCCTGTGACTGGCCTAGCATTCCCAACTGTTGCACATTGGAGGGATAGGCCTGGAGAAACCAAATGTACTCAGCTACTTGGTGACATAGCTGTCTCTTGTTCTTGGTTATGTCTGATTCTGAAACTTCTGCTTTTTGTACATCAATCTTATCAGACAGAGAGGTGGAAGATATTTTCCATCCACACTCACTGCCTGTGTGCAGCTCATCTCCGCTCTCTGACTCTGTACTTTGTAAGGCCTTCCCATATATCATGTGATTTCACTTGACCTACTTACTTGATAGTTATGGAGGTGTTGTTGGGTTTTTCCAAGCAAGGACCCATAACTTGCTTCATTGGAAACCTTCTCATGTTACTCTAAAATTGTCAGTGTGAGGCAAACCCTTTTTGACCCCATCTAAACCAAGTTGCTTCCCAAACATGAATCCCCTAGGCTCCATAGACACCCAGTGCACAGCTGAGCACAACCAAAATACTTAGCATAAACAAGGAACATTCATTCTCGACCCTGCCTTGCGAGGACACGTGACTACATTTCTGTGTTGTATCACTACCACTTGGCTAGGCATTGTCCTTAAGCAGTAGTGCTGACGATAGTGAAAGTCTCTAGGATCAACACTGGAGTCTGTGCCATCTGTCTACTTCTAAGGACTTCTCCATGGCTTGTGAACTCCATCACCTGCCTAGCGAATCATTTGGTTTGTGCTTTTCTGTGGAATCACACTGAAGAACAGCACAGGGCAGGGCATTCTGTTGAGGTTTAAATGATACCAAGCGAGCATACTAGGAACTCAATCTCCATCTCCTACTTAAGTGGCAGGAATCTATGAGTCCAGCCATCACTGCTCTCTTCCAGGGTCTGTACTAGCAGGAAGTTGGATCCACTGCCGATCCATGGCACTCTGATGTGAGATGTGGGTGTTGAAACTATCTAGCTATAGGTTCAGCATAGAGGGAGCTTTTAATGTATGTGTCAGATGTTGAGCAAGGCACTAGGTCATAATCATGAGCACAGCTAGCTCTGGGCTACATTAATGAGTACCAGGCAGATCAGTGAACACAGTAATTATACTCCTATGAAGGTGAGACCTGGAAGCCAGCAGACTATGTTGGAGCTGACTTCGTGATAAGGCATGAAATTGTCATAGGCCCTTTGGACTGACTTTGCTGTAGCAAAGAGACTGTGGGGCTGGCTTCTAGAAACACAGGCTCCAGAAGCAGGCCAAGGCCGAGACACTGGCAGATGTAGCATCATCCTGGTTATGAGGCTCCTCCCCTTGTGACCTGACCTCTTCCTCAGCCCCATGACATTGGTCTCAGGGCTTCACCCATGCAGTCTGACCATAACACATGGAAATGAGGACTGATGGGCAACTAAGTGCTCACCAAGGGAATTCTGGGAAGTTGTGTACCAGGAGAGGGACTCCGTGAGCAATACCTGTGTCAGGACAGGGACTGCCAGAGGGATTGGTATGTTCAGAGTTCTTGGGATGGAAGTGAATCGCGGGTCCTTCCTGATCTACACAGGCAGCCTGTGTGTGTGGTCCTTTGTTCAGGGAAGGTAAGCTAGAGTTTGAAGTCAGAAAATTGGCCATGATGTGTGACGTGGCCGTCTGATCAGCAGCCGGAGGTGAGGAGAACCCAGAGGCCTGTCATTGCCCTCTGTGTCCATCTCTCATTGCAGGTGCCACTGACTGCCAACAGAATGAGGCCGGCTTGCAGTGTGACCAGGATGGCCAATATCGGGCCAGCCAGAGCGATGGCAGCAGTGGGAAGGCTTTCTGCGTGGACAGCCAAGGACGAAGGCTGCTGTGGTCAGAAACAAACGACCCTCTTGAGGAGTCCCAGTGTCTAAGTATGTGCTGCCAAATAGAACTGCTGCTGGAAGGGGCCGAGGGGCTCTGGGGAAAAGCTGAGACTTCGCCTGAGATATGTTTGTCTTCAGATTTTGAGAAATTTTTATCCATGAAAAAGGAAAGAGTAAGATTAGCAAACACTCATAGATTCAATCAAAAATAATTGTTAGTATTTTTTGTCTGAATCATTTACAAAGTCATCTTCAGACATTGTGAAACCTCACACCTGAATGTTTCAGTTTGCACGAGAGATGAGCTTTTCTAGAAGGTCATTTGCGGAGGCTTCCTCTCCCACAGGCAGCTTGCTTCCGTAAATCTGACCCCTATTTCTCTGCCTGTAGGATGTTGAGTGTCTGTTCCTGTTCTATGACCTCTTCGGTGGTCCAGGGCAAATTGCTCAAGCTCTCTGATCCTCAGTCTCTGCAGATACTTCCTGTCTGTGTCTGAGGTGTTTGGAAGGCTCACACCATCGTGTGGTGTCAACAGATACTCTTTGAGCACCACCACCATAGTTTTGCTATCACATGATATCAGAGACCAGATGATCTCTGCAGAAGAGAGCTTTCTTGTGGCCTACAGTTCTAGAGGCTGGGACAGGCAAAAGTGTGGTTTTGGCAATTTCTTGGCTTCTAATGAGAACTTCCGTGTGTCATGAACCAGTGGAGTAGAGAAGAAACACACAAGCCAACAACCCACACTTGGGGTAACTGTTCCAGTCTCTTGAAAGCAGCCTTAATTCGTCTCGCTGACCTGCTCACCACTTAGGGCCTCAGCACCTCTCAGCACTGTCTCATTGGGAATAAAACCACAACACATGTTTCAGAGAGGACGAACCATGTTCACATCATAGTAATGGCCCTGGGCCAGCTGTGGGTCTCCAATGAAGTGACAGGTGGGCTAGCACCCATTGACCTTTCAAGCATCCTGTCCATGTGATGGGACTTTACAGAGCAAAGGGAGGGAGTGTGGTCTGAAGGGTCAGATGTTGTTTCGTTTCGTTCTGTACCTTTGTAATCCTGGCAATTATTCAAGTGTCCTCATCTGTCAAATGGGGTTATTGGTGCCTGCCTTGCAGGAGAACTAGGTGTTAACAGTGACATGCCTGGAAGAGGTAACAAATGCTCAAGACCAAGAACATTCAAGAGCGAGAGCTACCTTGTGTTCTCAGCTGTTAAGCAGGGAGACGGCTGGAAGCACCTGCAAGCTCACTTGCTCCCACCCTCATCTGTCTTCAGGGCATGTGTGGCTTAGCTATATGTAGGCACTTGCCACTGCTTCACCATTAAGTACATACAGGCACACAGGCATTCATGCACACATGTGCACATACACAACACAAACACACATAGCCTCTTGGGAAGTTGGTTCAGCTAATGGGAAAATACTAGGGAAAAACGTGAGAGAGAATATTCTTTCTAAGCCTCAGAGCAGTCACAAACACACCCCAACCCATCCCTTGCAAAGATGCTAGCAAATCTGTGTCTCATGGGTAAATTGCAAATCCTGCAGATGTCCTGTGTTGATTTTTCTCATTATCCCTCTTCTTGGGCAGGAGTAACAGCTGATGAGCTCTAGGTGCTTTGAGAGGTCAGATGCAAGGTACTTTGAGAAGTCAGTTGTGGGATCTTTCACTGATGAGGGACAGGCTTCCCTGGAAGGGCAGCCACCTGCCACAGGACCCTGCTGATCACCAGCCATCCCTGGGTTACCATCTATATATTCCTTAGTCCCCTTGGCACCTCTGTTGGGGACGTGGCTCTGAGGATTGAATTCACAGTTTGTAGAGCATGTTCATCTCAGCATTCAGAGCAGAGTCTTCTCAATGGCAGCAGAGGTCCTGAGAAGGGGCACAGTGTCCCTGTGTACCAGCTTCTGAAGAACTTCCCAATGAGCCTCAACATCTGGCTTCTCACACAAAGCTCAGAGCTCAGGCTTTCCTGTGGAGATGCAGGGAGAGTTCCATGCTAATCATCTGGGTCTTCAATGGCGTGAACACCCCTCTTCTTAGAACCCTTTCACTGGACTCCCAGGGAACTTCTTGAGGGTGGAATTGCAGCCCCACTCTTGGGGCTTTTCAGCAAAAGCCAAGGACTTCTAGTCAGCTGTCTGTCTCCCCACAACAGGTGCCTACTTGACAGGCATCAGCCCTTCCTTACCTGTGGCTATCCTCTTAATCCACGCCTCTGTTGTCAGCCCTGTGGGATGCTGCCTTACCCTGCTAACTCCTCTTTCTGCTCAGGCCAACTTGTATTTAGTGACACTTCCAACGCAGTTGTTTTCAGAGGCCATTCTGCTTATGCAATGCCCCTGAAGATCCTGCAGTGCTTCTGCGATGCTCTTGGCATCAAGTCAACTAGTAATATTCCAGTGTCCTGTCGGGACTCTGGGCTCAGTAGAACCTGCATTCCACTGGGGGCTGGAGCCACACTTTTCTTTTTCTATGCCACTGCAGGAAGCACTTGTCCACAGAATGAGTTTATCCCTCTATTTATCCTGGGATCTTCCAAGCTCTCCAAAAACTGTTCAAGCAAGGATATAGTCCTAGCACGTAAGATCAGTTCTTTGAGCCCTCACAACCTAGGAAGAGTGTCCTCACAGTTGGCAAAGTGGTCTGATATCCAGTGCACTGTTCCTGGGCACCAGTTTGTCATGTTGTCTGGCTTAATCTCCATATCCAGGAATCCGGGACTAGTAAAGACTGAGATGTGCCCAAGAGGTTGGTGCTGGTGAGAATGCGAGTGAGAGGACATGGACCCAGGCTGCCTGCAGCCCTGGTGCTCTGTCCCCACTGCCTGCCACACCATCCTAAATCCTCCTTGACCTTCTCTGCCTTTCCTGTAGCAAATGTGCATCTTCTACTTGTTCTTTGTTTAACTTAGAGTGAGTCTGACCTTAGCGGGGAAGTGTTTCAAGGTCCTCTTAACCTTTACCTGGAGATAGAGTCTCCTTAATCTGTTCTTTGTTAGTCCAGGTTAAGGATTTCTGACAAAGTCAAGTGCCTATGCAAGAACAACTGGTTGCTGCTGTCATCGTATCTTTATAATGTTCTCTCCTGGTTTGCTGGCCTTGTAAAGCCATCAGTAGTCATTCACATGTCTGTCCATTTGTCTGTCCACCAACCTGTCCGTCCATACAGCCAATAAAGAAAGACTGCCATCTTTGTCATTATCCTAGCCAGTCAGAGCTCCACTAGGGTCAGAACATTTCATGAAACATCCTCTACTCCAGGACAAACTCTGGAAGGAGGCAGGTGCACACAGCCATGCTGGTCTGGAGAGAATCATGATCTGGTGTGTGCTGCATTCTCTCCCCGAGGCATTTGTAAATATCAGCAAAGTATGGATGTGTGATATGTGGAAAATTGACCCAAAGGCATTTATAGATTCACAAACAATATCAACTCTCACTGGCATCTCAGCTTGCTCCCTGGACCTGCTTCAGTGAGAACTAGAGCCCCATTGATTTCTGGTTGCAATGCAAAACCAACGACATTTTTGGAAAATTTAATTAGAGACTGGAGCATCTTTGAAATTGTATTTAGTCTTCCAGAACTGCTGTATATCAGCCAAAACCTAAGTACTCTTTGATGAAGATGGTACAGTATTTCTAGAGGATGAATTATCTACACAAGAGGTACCAAGGAGCATAAAAATAAGATCACAAGGAAGTGAGAGAAGGGCTGGCTGAGCACAAGCATGTAGTGACTTCTAGTTTCAATGTGAAATGACCACTTAATAACATTTAGAATTATTTTTTCTAAAGTCTTGAGGCGCTTCTATTGCATTAAAATTACCCTCTACTAGTCAATTCTGAAAGGAATAACCTACCTCAAAATGAAAATTGTTTGAGAGAGAGATGCAGATCTTTCATTCCCCGATTCACTCCCTAAATGCCTGCAGGAGCTGGGACTGGACTAGCACAGGCATTGATTTTTTTTTCAAAGATTTATTTTTATTATCTTTTATTGGAAATGCGGATATACAGAGAGGAGATACAGAGAGGAAGATCTTCTGTCCGATGATTCACTCCCCAAGTGAGCCGCAATGGCCGATACTATGCCGGTCCGAAGCCAGGAGCCTCTTCCGGGTCTCCCACACGGGTGCAGGGTCCCAAAGCTTTGGGCCGTCCTCGACTGCTTTCCCGGGCCACAGGCAGGGAGCTGGAAGGGAAGCGGGGCTGCCGGGATTAGAACTGGCGCCCATATGGGATCCCGGGCGTGCAAGGCGAGGACTTAACCACTTGTGCCACCGTGCCGGGCCCAGGCATTGATTTTTAGGAAAGCAGAGAAGTCACTCTGGATGTCCTTGACTGATATAGACACAAACATTGTTTATAAAGTAGTGAGTGTAGGTTGTATAGATGCTTCTATAGAGTTTTTTTTTTTACTGTTATTAACATTGTATTATGTGATACAGTTATATAGGCACTGGGGATTCCCCCCACCCCTCCCACACCCCTCCCCCCATAGTGGATTCCTCCACCTTGCTGCATAACCACCGTTCAAGTTCAGTTAAGATTCCTTCGTTGCAAGCATATACCTAGCATAAAGTCCAGCATTTTATTGTCCAGATAAGTTCAGTGGCCTCTTGGGGAGACCTTCTCTGGTCTGAAGGTAGAGCTAACAGAGTAAAGTTCCGGTCAGTTAAAAGCCCCAACAAAACATCAGCATCAATATACAACGTTATGGAATTAATTGACATAGTATTGAGTAAACAATATGTTAAGAATAATGCAAGTTCAATGCTTCAAAACATCTGGGTTGAGACAGTATCAATGACAGGTTCAAAAAATAACAAACAACCAAACAAAAATTACACGTTAAATCAAGGCAAACATGTGGTATCTAACCTTTTGGGATTTGCTCATTTCCCTTAGCATTATAGTTTCCAGTTGGGCCCATTTAGCCACAAAGAACTGCATTTTGTTTTTTTTTTAATAGCTGAGTAGTATTCCAGGGAGTAGATGAACCAAAGCTTTCTTATCCAATCTTGTGCTGATG